GTAATGGCAGGAAAATAGCGATTAAAGGGGCATTAGCTGTCAAATTCATATTCACCGATTTGACTCAAATTCCCATATTTGATTTATAACATACTATTACAAAAAGTCTAAAATAAACAATTAACAATGCATGGACTCGATAATATGTAATAATGATAATAATGACCCAAAATCCATCTGGGACTTACTTAATAAATTAAGACGAGTATCAGAAAATAATACTACAGAAAAAATCGATGAGCAAACATTTTATAACTTCTTCAAAAATTTAAATCTTGTGAAGCTCAATAAAAGGACAGTTAATTTCATAAAGCTATCCTTAACAAATTAGATGAACTAATAAATGCACTAAATAACAAAGATAATATGTCTTATAATCAACCAATAACAGCAGATGAAATAATTAAAGCCTCTAAAACCCTGAAAAATGGTAAATCCACTGCAAAGGGCTTGATTTGGTATACCAGTACTAGTCGACCCTATAACTAAATTATTTAACCTAATTTTCAAAGAAGGAACATTTCCTAAGGTGTGGAATAAAAGTTTCATTTCTTAAATACACAAAAAGGGCAATAAGCTGGACCCTTCAAACTACAGAGGAATTTCTATAACCTCTAACCTAGGAAAATTATTTAACAAAGTTATATATATGAGAATTACAAAATTTGTCAATGAACATAACATTATTAGCGAAAACCAAATTGGATTTAAAGAAAAATCACGTACCTCAGATCTCATCTTCGCCTTAAAATCTATAATAGAACATAAGAAAAATAAGAAACAGAAAGTGTTTGCTGCCTTCGTTGATCTCAGGAAGGCTTTTGATACAGTTTGGAAAAATGGATTTTTTTTATATCCTTTTGGAACTTAAATTCCCCTTTTAACTTTTTAATATAATTCATTCCAAGTACGACGATACTAGATGTAGAATTAAATTCACCAATGGTCTCAGTGAAGAATTTGTCTCCACCCGTGGTGTTAAACAGGGAGATGTACTCAATCCTTATTATTTAATCTTTACATAAACAATCTGGTTAAAAGTCTCCAAGATGCTAATACAGATCCCATTGTAACTTGAGACTCAACAATAAATTCCCTTTTATTTGCAGACGATATAGTTTTATTATCAAATTCTGAAAAGGGATTACAAACAGCTTTAAATGCTCATAGTGATTTCTGTCAATTCTGGAAACTAGAAGTAAACATAAACAAATCAAAAGTCATTATATTTAACTCAAATGGAAAAACCCATAATATTTTTTTTAAATATAATAATGAATTCCTGGAAACAATTAAATCATACTGCTATCTTGGCATGACACTGCAGCATACAGGAAATCTAAATCTATGCAGCTCATTGCTTGTGGAAAAGGGCAGAAAAGTCCCTTTTAAAATAAAAAAACCAGTTGGACTTGATAAGCAATGCAAGCTATTAGAAAAATGATTTGACTCCCTTGTTGTGCCTATTGCTCTATACGATAGTGAAATATGGGGAATAGGTAAACAACACAGGGATTCAGATCCCTTTGAACACTTGCAGTTTAAATTTATTAAAGAAATTCTAGGAATACATTGCAAAGCATCAAATGCTGCATGTTTAGCCGAGCTGAATTGATTGCCTTTATATACCAGAATAGAATCTTCAGCAATAAAGTATTGGCTCCATATACTAGTCAAATAATTCTCTTGCCCTAAAAATATACAAAGCAACTGAACAAAAAACTCGTGGATAATAAATATGAAAAATCTTATTTCAAAACTTGGATTTCATTTTATTAGTCGAACTCCTTTTGATATTATTTAAAACACATTCAAGAGAGAATCAAATATACAGCCTTTCAAAAGCAAAAGACTGACATCAATCAAAATAAAATATTAAACTTTTTTAATATACTATATAAACCAAATATAAGATCCTCATATGTTGATCAATGCAAATCCAAATGTGATAGATCAACATTATGTAAGTTAAGGATAAGTGCTCATACTTTATCTGTTGAAAGAGGACGATATTTAAAAATACCAAAGCAGAGTAGGATATGTCTTTGCTGCAACAATGGAGACATTGAAGATGAACTACATTTTCTTTTAAAATGTTCATCCTATAAATATGTGAGAGAGAACCTCAATAAAAAATTAAATAATTTTCTATTGAACAACAAATTACCTTCTTTATCATATAACTTGCTTATATCAATTCTAAATAGTAAGTCCCCAACAGTATTAAAAATTGCTGTCAACTATTTGAATGAATGCTTGTTGGTGAGAAACTCATTATTAAAAGGTACTTGATTACTTTTTTTTTTTTTTTTTTTAAATAATTTATTAGACAATATCTGAAAAAGTCTAATTTTTGGCAATAGGAAAAAAAAAATGTATTTAGAACCGGTATTATAATAGCACAAACCGGAGAACACACATTGAGGATCTAGGAACTGTTGTCTGTAATTCAAACAATTGTTAAATGTAATAACAATGGCAATTTTAAAAATGGTACACAAAATTCCAGTTCTTTCCTGTTACCAAAGTGAATCAATTTTAAAAAGTTTCTAATGGGAATAAGGAATAAGTTTAAGATACTATTTGTGGTTTACTAGTATATCCTGCAATAGTTAATCAAATGCCAATTATTTATTTTAGCATTTGCAATACAAAAGGTTAAGAAATATACTAAAACATAGTCCGATATGTCGGTAACATGAAAGAATCTTCAATAACAGGACAAGTAACAGGGCATAGTTGGTAACAGGAAGGAATTTTTTTTTCAAAACAATTGCTTTATTTCATAGTTTAAGAAAAATACATCATTTCAGATTGGTCACCATTGGAAGATAACAGCAAACAATGTCATTTATCTTTTGAAACTGTATTTGAAAGATGAAAAATCTGCCTAGGTAATGAAAAATTCTAAAATAAATTCCTTTCTGTTACCATCTACTATACTAGAATTGCACAATGTTCTCTGCTGTTATCAAAAGTAAAATGTCTTTTCATTCAATATACTGTATATTATGTTGAGATTTATTTAATATGATGATCATAACTTATATTAAATGAAATGTTTGACATCATAGTAGATTAACTTTGTGATTCATCAGTGAAATTGTCTTTAACATCCTTCCTGTTACTGATTATGGTTATGCTGTTACATTTTATCAGGTAACATGCCAGAACGTAACAGAAAGGAATTACACAGTACTTGTTGTCCTTTTATTCGAATTGTGTAGAAGTTTACTTCCATCTACATATCAATTTAGTAAGATACTATAAAAACACATTTACTGTTATGGTGCTGACAATGAAATATTCTCAGAAGGTACACAAAAAAGCTGTAACAGGAGAGAACAACAAAATTATTTTTCTCTAAATTCTGATCTTTGGGGAGTTAGGATTTTTCAAACTGGCTGCCATTCACCTATACATATGGAGTCATACATTCAGGAAATGATGCTCTTCTCATTGCATTACAAGAAATAAAATCTTGGTCTTTCAAACGTTTCCACAGGTGAAAAAACCCAGTGGTAACAGGAGGGAAATTACCCCTTGGGACAAAATTTAAAAGACCCTTAAAAATGCAAAATTTTATCACATGCTTTAGTTATAACAAAACCAGACCATTAAGGGACAAGTTTTCTATATAATCTATCATATTTGTGAAAATCGGAAGCCTGTTTACTTAATTTAGATATTCTTTGAATGATTTAGTTGTCAGAAAACAACACCGGACAACATGATTTTTTGGGGGGTTGAACATTTATAATATTTTATTAGAAGAAATATAAGAAAGAGTGTGTAATTGGCAATAGTTGGATAATATACTCTAGTTAATACTGAAACTTAAAATTGTCCAAAAAGATGCCTGAATAAAAATATAATTGCTGGTGAAAGATGGAACATGGAAATTAGACTTTTTCAGATATTGTCTCGTATACATTTTTATATATTTTTCTCATACTTACCCACTGCCACTCCTTTATTGTATATATGTTATTGTAGTTTGTCTGTATTTTGTTACCATAACCATTTATTGTTAATGTGTTATAATTGCTAATAAAAGTTATCTTATCTTATGTATCAACCTTTCATGTGTATCTTTGTCTAGACGTCATCTAATTAACCATCAAGATGACCTCCGAAGACTGCCGACGATCATATATCCCGATATAAACATAAAAATAAATATAAATAGATAGAAACCACGTGCGATTGGATTTTTCTAGGTATGTTTGATTTCATACTGTAGGTTACAAAATATGTTTGTCATCGTTTTTACCTGTATAAGAATGATATTTTGTGAATCGAATCAGTCAACCAAATGGTTCATCTTTGTTTCACTTTCAATGTTGACATTCTTTTCCTTTTAATGGCTGAACTGATGCATGAGTAACCCATGTTCAGCTAAGGGGTTAATTAATTGAAGCTAGGTCACATGAATACGGATTCAATGAGGTCGAATTATTCACTTGCAAGGGAATAATTCATCAGCAATGTTTCTTAGCTTATTTTGAAAAATTGAACCAAATTGGCTGCTTAAAGCGAATTGCACTGTTTCACTTTCTGTAGTGATTGAACAAAAACAAATCTTATTTTTTTATATATATATTGTAGCAAATTTTCCCCTTTAAGGTATGCAGTGGCGGATTTAGGGTGCGTTCAGGGCTTACGCCCCCTATTTGATCGCCAAAAATAATAATTATATCATGTTTCACGATGTTTATGAGTTTTTTTGCATAAATTTGTTCAAATTACTTTTCGTCTCGCTTCGCTCGGCAGTTTATACTCCGTCTTAGGGAAATGTCTCTGATTTAAATAAGGAAAATTGTCATAATAATGCCGTTTGAGATTTGGGATCAAAAGGGGCGGATGCATGAAATATTACCGCTTGACATTAATTATCATTGCCCTAGCCTGGTTGTAAAGGGCAAAACGAGGATAAGTCTTGTTATTTCCGAATGATGATTTTCTGAACACTATGACCCATTTTCTTTTCCCAGTCTCGTTCGAATGGTTTATGTTATGGATTCTAAGAATTTCAAGGTTCATGAACATGTGAAATTTACCCAGGTAAAAGGTTGACAACAAGGTGCTTGGTAAGTTTAAGTTCACATAAACTATTTTGGTTGTGTAGAATCGGCAGTTCTTCGTAAAAGGAAACGAGATGTAATATGATTAAAAATTTGTTGGGAATTCCCACAACAACAGTATACTATTATTTATAAATCGTCTCCTATAGCATGCGTTTTTCGGCATTTAAGTGTTGTTTATGTGTCATGCTGTTCAGTTTTCTCTCCTCCTTACATACATTTCATAATTAACTAGACTTTTGTGAAATCTTGTTATAAGTTGGTACTTCAGTACTTGGCCTTGGGTCCCAAGACAAGCATAGTTGTGTTTCCTGTCTCCTTGTGCATGCAGTACTACCAACTACCCTTACATGTACACATTTTATGGACATTTTTCGTTATAGCGCTCCTCTCCGTTTAATACAGTCAGGAACATGTATATTGACGGGACTTGACACTACCTAATTATAGCCGACGGTCATAGTTAATAAATGAAACGATACGGAAACGGACATGTGTAAAATACGTACTCGCTATTAACTTAATAATTTCTGATAATATCAATAAAATGTCATTCAAACTAAGTAATGAGTGATGCTTGTGTATCGAATTTGTAATCTGTCACTTCAAATTTGTCATTCATCGCTGAAGGGTACATAATGCAAACAGGGTAATAATGAAATGGCGCCGATGGCATTTGCAGTAACCACGAATTTCACAAACCATTATAAAACACTTCACATCAAATAAATCACACTGATATTGGTCATTTTATATGACAAAATATATCTACTTTACGATAAAACTTATCAATACATTGTATTTGTTGAACGTTTGGAGTTGTGTGGTTAATTTATTGAGGAGTTCCGATAGTTTTTCATTCAGACGCTTCCAAAATCCATAAATCTCGCGAAGTCTCGTAAAGTTCAGGATTTTATCAATTCTATACTGATATAAAGCCTATCAAATTCATTTCCCATTAGATATACTGTTCCCAGATGCAGTCCAGAAATTTTTGGTAAAGCACACTTAAAGTTTAAAACATTTCCCCTCATAGTCAATGTACATTAGACAAGAAAACATATCAATTATTTTACCTATCATTTTAATTTTGGTCAGATGGCAGAAAACAGGGGTAAATATATATTTTCAGCCTTATTTAGCATGTTTAGTAGTAAAAATGCTGGCTGGAAATAGATTAATCTAACTATTAAGTTTCATGTTTGAATTGTTTTACATTTGTCATTTCGGGGCCTTTTATAGCTGGGGTATCACTGTTTTGTTCATTGTTGAAGGCGTATGGTGACCTATAGTTGTTAACTTCTACATCATTTGGTCTATGGTGGAGAGTTGTCTCATTGGCAATCATACATGTCATACCACATCTTCTATTATGGGGACATGTCTATAGCTGTCATTTATTATTAGCCAAAGATTCATTGATTTTTGACTGCTTTTTGTCGAGCCTGCGACTTTTGTCGCAAAAGCGAGACATAGCGATCCTACATTCTGTAGTCGTCGGCGTCCACAAATATTCACTCTGTGGTTAAAGTTTTTAAAATTTTAATAACTTTCTTAAAATATCCTGGATTTCTACCAAACTTGGACAGAAGCTTGTTTATGATCAAAAGCTAGTATCTAGACATGCTAGAAGGAAATTTTGTAAAAATTTATTTCCTGTTTTTCCGTATATTACTTATAAATGGACTTAGTTTTTCTTCCAGTTAACATTACATACAGTCTGCAATTAAAGTTTTTAAAACATTTATTAGATTTATAAACCATCTGGATTTTTACCAAACTTGGACAGAAGCTTCTTACAATCAAAAGATAGCATCTAGAGGAAAACTTTTAATAATTTTTTCCCCATTTTTGTTGAGCCTGCGACTAACAGCAAAAGTAGGTGAGACACTGGGTTCCGCGGAACCCTTACAAATTGTTCTATATTGCACTGCAGTTTGAGAGGATGTTGTTCTTGGCAAAATTTCTGCCCCTTTTCCTATATACATGACACACCTTCGCTTTTCTGTGGCATTCCAAATTCAGCCCCTTTCCTATATAAATGACATACTCTCACTTTTCTGTGGCAATCCAAATTTCTGCCTCATTTCCTTTATACATGACATACTAGCTCATACTTTTCTGTAGCATTCCAAATTTTTGCCACTTTTCTATGTACATGACATACTCTCACTTTTCTGTAGCATTCCAAATTTCTGCCCCCTTTTCTATATACATGACATACCCTCACTTTTCTGTGGCATTCCGAATTTCTGCCCCTTTCTATATACATGACATACCCTCACTTTTCTGTGGCTTCCAAATGTCTGCCCCCTATCCTATATATACATGACATACGCTCACTTTTCTGTAACATTCCAAATTTCTGCCCCCTTTCCTATGTATACATGACATACGCTCACTTTTATGTGGCATTCCAAATTTCTGCCCCTTTTCCTATGTATATGACATACCCTCACTTTTCTGTGGAATTCCAAATTTCTTCCCCCTTTTCTTTGTACATGACATACCCTCACTTTTCTGTGGCTTCCAAATTTCTGCCCCCTATCCTATCATGCCTATATATACATGACATACGTTCGATTTTCTGTAACATTTCAAATTTCTGTCCCCTTTCCTATGTATGTATGTATACATGACATTATACGCTCACTTTTATGTGGCATTCCAAATTTCTACCCCTTTCCTATGTATATGACAAACCCTCACTTTTCTGTGGCATTCCATATTTCTTCCCCCTTTTCCTTATACATGACATGCATGACATTCTCTCACTTTTCTGTGGCATTCCAAATTTCTGCCCCCTTTTTTGTCCCCAGCGTTACGCCTTGCGGGGGAGATGGAAATACCGGGCGTACGTCCGTCTGTCCGTCCCTGTGTCCCTCCGGTCTTGTTAGTGCTCTCACGGGTAGATTTTTATAAAACTTATATTATAGGTTAATATCAGCAATATCTCGGACAAGTTCTAAAATGGTGGACGATCAACTTTTTTGAAAAGAGTTATGCCCCTTGGAAATATTAAATTTATGGAAAATGGCCTCGTTAGCGCTCTCACAGGTACAATTCTAGTCAAATTTTTATAAAACTTATACTATAGGTTAACATCAGCAATATCAAGGACAATTTCTAAAATGGTGGACGATCAACTTTTTTTAAAAGAGTTATGCCCTTAGAAATATTAAATTTATGAAAAAAATGGCTTTGTTAGTGCTCTCACGGGTACAATTCTTTCCAGATTTTTATAAAACTTATACTTTAGGTTAATATCAGCAATATCTCGGATGAGCTCTAAAATGGTGGACGATCGACTTTTTTTAAAAGAGTTATGCCCCTTGGAAATATTAAATTTATAAAAAAAATGGCCTCAACACTCTCACGGGTACAATTCTTGCCAGATTTTTATAAAACTCATACTATAGGTTAATATCAGCAATATCTCGGACAAGTTTTATAATGTGGTGGACGATCCACTTTTTAAAAAAAAGAGTTATGCCCCTTGGAAATATTAAATAAGTGCAACGCGGGGGACATTGGAACTCTGTTCTTTTATTTATATACATTTATACATGACATTTTCTATTTTATCTGTGGCATTCCAAATTTCCTACACTTCATCATATTCATCGCGGTTAACCTACCATGCTGAACCCCTTATCTTAAAAAGGAAATAACCTTAGAAAAAGTGATTAAATTGTTTACCTACAGATCCTTAGGACATTAAGGGAGTATACTACGTGATATGCTTATAAAATAAGGGGATGTGATATGATTGCCAATGATACAACTATCCACCAGAGACCAAATTACATAGATGTTAGCAACTATGGGTCACCGTACGGCCTTTAATAGTGAAAAAACCCATACCGCTTAGCAAGCTATAAAAGGCCTTGACATGACAAATTGTAAAACAATTCAAACAAGAAAACCAACAGTTTGATTTATATATAAAAAACAACAAACAGAAAACAAACATGATATACAACAAAAATTGACAACCACTGAATTGCGGGCTCCTGACTTGGGATAGGCATATTATATACAGAATGTAGTGGGGTTAAACATAGTTGCCGGCACACCAACCATCCTTTGACCTGGAACAGTGGTGCAACAAGCACAACCTAAGAAAATATAAAAATCAGTTGTAAAGGGCTTAACTTGTCAGATCGATTCAAATCACAACAACAACTTACAAAAACACTTATGACACTAAAGTATGGATCTGAGAGTACATGTACTTGCAGTTACTGAAACTAGTTCAAAGCCAATCCAGTTTTTTAGTACACATCTAATAGATTTAGTGTAAATATGTCAAACAGTTTTAGTCTTGCATGATGTATTGTAACTTTAGAAAGCAATTCCTCCTTGTGTATCTTAATCCAGAATTACAATAAACAAAAAGAAGACAGGGAGGAACAGTGAAATTGATTCTCTTATTAATATAACTTTGTCATTCAGTTGTTTTCACAAGCATGATTATGATCATGATAATGACAATTCAACTATATTATTGTTTCTACAATGTTCTAGTGGATTTACTTTTTACACATTGTGACTTGGATGGAGAGTTGTCTCATTGGCACTCATACCACATCTTCTTTTTTCTATTTATAAAGAAAAAGTATTCTTTGATTTTGATACCGTATTTTCATGATGATAGAGTCAGATAGACACTTGTCTATTCAGTGTGAAAACTGGTGAACAGCATGAACAATAACAAAGTTACTCTTACTCTTTCTTATCCACTGTAATTAAAATAAAATATCTGTTCAATTATCATCATGATCATGACTACTAGTATGTTACATGAGAAAAAAAAACATGAACAAGGTAAATGCCACTTTTGACCCTCTATACTTTTTCTTGCTCATTTTGATGTTGAACATGATGTTTTAGCTGATTTCCTTTGCTGTCTAAGGACTACACAGGTGTGTGATTTGTTATTGCCCTTTGTTTATCTTCCCTTTTGTATAGGATAAATATAAATTTGTTCATCAACATGCACATGTAGGTTGAAGTGTTGAAAGTAACCAAATTTTCAAGATGGTGTCATATATATTAGTTCTACAAAGTAGGGTTGGGACAAAATACATGTACCAGCAGTGCACATCAATTTTGCATTACATGTATTTGTGATTCCCTGGTCTTAATGATTGGCATTTATCACAAAATTGTTAGTTAATAAAGGATATATAACTTCTTCTCTGTCTTTTCTTCACTTTCTAAGCTCTTCAAAAAAATTGACGCAACATTTGCGGATGTTTTTTTTCTGGTTTTCATGAAAAAAGTTTATAATCTCTATGATTTTTAAGATTTGCTGGTCAATTAAATCATGTAACATATTCAAATATTTTACTATAGCTGCATTTGCATTAGATTTTTTGAGACAAGGATAACTATGCAGTACATACTTTTTCTCTAAAAATTGACATGTATATATATGCATTGTGGCCAAATATAAACCAGTACAAATGTTTTAAGGTATATAGCTGTGTCCAAATGCAACAATTTCCTTTGTGTATCACGGTCATGACGGTATGATTCCAATTTTACTTCACATGACACATCGATGCATCTAGGGTAAACTCCATCATGTTATGTAACCACTAGGTGGGATAATGTAATGATAGCCACCAAACTGGTGAAGTGGACAATGTAATGATTGCCACCAAACTGGTGAAGTGGACAATGCAATGATTGCCACCAAACTGGTGAAGTGGACAATGTAATGATTGCCACCAAACTGGTGAAGTGGACAATGCAATGATTGCCACCAAACTGGTGAAGTGGACAATGTAATGATTGCCACCAAACTGGTGAAGTGGACAATGCAATGATTGCCACCAAACTGGTGAAGTGGACAATGCAATGATTGCCACCAAACTGGTGAAGTGGACAATGTAATGATTGCCACCAAACTGGTGAAGTGAACAATAATAAAAGCCCTTTCTCTACTATTATGATATCCATTCAAAATTTCATTTTACAACTTCTTAGATAATGCTGGGAATAGTATACTGACACTATATGACAATATATTCTGACCTAGGATCATGTAGACTGAAAAAAGGGAAAAGAAATTAGGTTGAAAAAAATTAAGACAAAACACTCGTACATTTTGTAATGGGACATAACTTACAAACTTTGACAGTGTACTTTACATTTCTTTCTTCAACAGTTTATATTGAACTATTTCAATTTGTACTTATTATTTGTATTTATTTGTAGATTGATAAAATGTAGAAGCTGTATTGCTGGTCTCATGCAGTGGTCAGAGTAAATGACATGTGGTCACCTTAGATATAGAAATGGCCCAAAAATTGAATGTTGGCAATCGTCCATCATTACTGGCAGCTCAGATATCAGTGGCTGATGAAGATTTGTTTGGAAGTGGAGAAGATGATTCAGATGATCAGGACAAAGGGAAATCCACTGATAAGGTCTTTCAGCCGACCAATGAACAGGTTGTCGATGAAGTCTTTCCTGCAAACAATGACCATGTTGTAAGGAAATCAATTGATCAGGTTGATGAGGTCTTCATTCAGACAAATGAAGATGATGTGATAGCACCTGGAAATGATGATGTATTCATGAGGAATTCTGACCAAGTGGTTCCTGGTTCTGACAGTTATGATAGTAGTGAGGACAGTAACTCAAGTGCTCAACTGAGACGTGAGATTTATCGTAGATCACGTGAATCTGACAACTTGGAGGACACAGGGATAAGAAGATCACTTAGTTTACCTGATATTGTTCCTAAGGGATTAGAAAATGAAACCGACAGTTTCAAAAGTCGTAGACAGAACCTGTCAGATAATTCACCGGATGTTGTCAGTTCATCTTCCAACAAGTCAAGTACAGCTAGTTCTAACGAACCAGTGCAATCGATTGCCACCACCAAAGAACAAATATCTATCTTACGACAGAATAGCCAAAAAAATCCAAAATTGTCACGGTCTGTCAGTTTCAGTTTAAATGAGAAAAAAACTGAAGACATTTCTGTTGAAAGTAAAGTCGATGATGACGACAGCTCTTCAGATGCAGATAGAAAGAGGCGTGAATTCCGTTCAAGTGGCTACGGTACTGGAGAAAGTGATAAGGCTAGCTCAGTCCAATCTCAGTTGAGTCAGGGATCTGTTTTTGATGGGGGGAGTTTTAATCAAGAGGGTTTAGAGCATGGGGAAAGCAGTATTGAACATCAAGGAGCAAACAGTGATAAAAAAAGAAAGAGTTTTGATGAACAGAGAAGCAGTTTAGACCAGCAGATATCAGATCAGATTGATGGTATGACAAGTTGTAATCCTTGTAAAGAAGACAATCTTGTTGGCTTGTTAAGTCCAAGTAGCAATGAATCTGACAGTGAAAAAATAACCGTTAAAAGTGGAAACAAACACAAACAACATGATTTGATACCAAATTTAAGTGCAATAAGTCAATCATCATTAACAATAGACACGCCTCCTATTAATGGTGGATCTAAAGATAGTCATTCAGGCAGCAGTTCATCAGTTCAGTCACCCAATCAAAACAAATCAAGTCAGCCATCCATTCAGATCTCATCTAGTGATGATAGTAATTCCTCCATACAAATACCAAACTTTGATGTATTGTTAAACGACTGTCGTAACAGTTCTAGTGGATCGTCTTCTGACACTTCAGACTCTCTTAAACATGTACAGAAAAAGTACTGTAAAACCCGAGATGAATTGAAATCTCAATCTCCACCAGCATTTGCCACATGCCTCCCACAATCACCCATACATGAATCAGTTGATACTGGTATTTTCAGTAGAACTACAGCATCAGAGACAGATCATAGTCACTTGATGTCTTCAGGGGTGGATTATTTTGATTATAAAAGTTGTAAAGATTATATGACAAGAGAGATTCTGCAGCAACAGAACATCAGTGAAGATCTCAAGTTAGAATTAATAGAAAGTCCTATTACACCAAGTCCAAGAGATTATACTTATGGTAAATATTAGTGAGATGTCAAGTTAAAATTAATAGAAAGTCCTATTACACCAAGTCCAAGAGATTACACTTATGGTAAATATTAGTGAGATGTCAAGTTAAAATTAATAGAAAGTCCTTTTACACCAAGTCCAAGAGATTACACTTATGGTAAATATTAGTAAGATGTCAAGTTAAAATTAATAGAAAGTCCTATTACACCAAGTCCAAGAGATTACACTTATGGTAAATATTAGTGAGATGTCAAGTTAAATTTAATAGAAAGTCCTATTACACCAAGTCCAAGAGATTACACTTATGGTAAATATTAGTGAGATGTCAAGTTAGAATTGATAAAAAGACAGTATCCAGAGCAAGATTTTGAAAATATTTATTTTCATTTTTTCTTTATTTTACTTATAAATATGAGGGGCCTGATGGGGGGGTCTCATCACGATTCACGAGTTGATTTTTTTGTCAATCACGATTCACAGAAAAAAAATTTCCATGATCACGGATCACGAAAATATAAAAAAAAAAAAAATCTGTAAAAAAACGGATCACGATAGCGAAAATGCGCCGATCACGAAGAACGAAAATAACCCATCAGGCCCCTCAAATATGGACTTAGTTTTTATTACAGTTAACAAGTAGATACAGTCTGGGGTTAAAGTTTGTTACACATCAATTACTTTGTCAAACATTCATCATGTTCATACGTATACAATTTTCTGAAACATTGGCAGAAGCTTTTTTAGGATCATTTAGCATGTTTAGTAATAATGTCTGAAGCAAACTTTTGAAAATATATTTTTTTCATTTTCAGTATTTGTCTGATAGATGGACTTAGTTTATTTTACAGTTAACTTGTACAGACATCTGGGATTATATTATTTTGACAAGATAAATTTGTAAGCTGTCTTGGCTTGTTATGAAACTTAGACTGAAGCTAAATCTTCAAAACAAAGAAATAGCATCTAAATAAACAGTTTGAATTTTTGTATAAATTCTGTATTTTGCTAATAAATGGACTCACTTCTTATGTCAACATTACACTTTTACACTGACAGCAGTAGTTGCAGGCAAGACACAGAGTTATACGGAACCCCTTACAAATTTTTTGTATTTTGTGCAAAAACTGTAGTAGATAGCGAGAAACAGAAAAAACAGAAAAAAATATCAGCAATACAACTGTATAACATGTATAAGATCAACAACAATGCGATTGCAGTCATGAAATATATTCTAATCTTCTATGCTCAAAATGCTCATAGATCCAGGTGAGCGACACAGTCTCTTAAGAGCCTCTAGTTTACAAAATGGTTTAGATAAGTTGAGTTTTAAAAGGTTGATAAACATGATAAATGTACCTACAAATAAAATTATACAGAAAAAGTACTTAACTCAGTAATATCTGGATTACAAAAGCTAAAGTTCCTGCAAACAAATAATAAATAATATTAAATACCAAAGATTACTCTGAGACAATAACTTAAAGCAATCTCAAAGTACTTCTGTATCAATATGAATAGAATTTCTTTTTCAGACGTTTGAAATTTGATGTGAAGTCAAACAATTGGTATATTTAACATTGTTTAACAACCTTGAAATTTTACAGTTATCTCCCTTTCAATATGAAGTATTTTTTAAAAAAAGCTTTAGACATGTGTTATAGGGTACTTACTAGTAAACTGTTCCCTTCTTTTGTTAATGAAATCTTATGACAATTAACCACATTATTTTATTAAGTAAATAAAAGTAGATTTGGTGTTTACAATGAAAAATAATTCAACATGTATATAATATATCATAGTAAATTATTGTTAGCTTATTTCCAACAAAAAAATTACGCAAAAATCCAAGATTGAGGAACATGAACCCTGCCAAAACATTACACAAAAACCATGAAAACCAAAGATTGAGGAGCATGAACCTTGCCAAAACATTACACAAACAGCAAAGATTGAGGAACATGAACCCTGCCAAAACATTACACAAAAACCAAAGATTGAGGAACATCAACACTGCCAAAAGAATCAAGGATTGATATTTTTATTGATTTTTGTTAAACATCCAACGCAAAATAATTCATGTATATATTCAGAACAATTGAGGAAAGGAGAACAGAACTAAGACATGGAACAGAGGCATGATAGGCTTAGCTAAACATAACTGTAAAAAAATCATGATGGCTTCTGTAAAACATTCCAAAACATGGTCTCAGCTTTACAATCTGATACTCTTGGTTCAATGGAAAAATAGTATGGGAGATACCTAGGGGCTGGTTATAGGGTTTAGATGTTTATAGTCATATATGTGTATTGCTTTTGATAAACTTGTGGTGTTTGTTTGTTGGCTCCTTTTCTTAATTTGTTCTCTTTATTTCAGTCATACAACCCAGAATAACATCAGAAACTGTAGAGAAGTCATCCAGGTGCAGAGATGTCCATTGTAGTATCAAATTCTGCTTAAAGGTAACTTATAGTTTATGCTGTTTAACTATCCATAATGAGCTATTTGCAGCACTTGAAAGCCATCTTATTTGCCATCAACTTGTATACTTTGACTCATTGTGAAATTGTTAAACCCAAAGAGGCAATGAGCTTTTCTCATCAGTTGGCATTTGTTGTCTGCCATTAATTATAGAATAACTAATCGAAGAATTCAAATAGAGAAAAATATTCAACAAGTGACCGAACAACACATTAATTCACGAATGCGCGTATCGCATGAGTTAATTATCAGTGTTGTTCGGTCATGAGTTGAATATTTTTCTCTATTTGAATTCTTTGATTAGTTATTCTTTTTATTACATTGTCAAATGGCTTTTTTTATGAAATTAAAGTAGAAAATGTAAGGAACTATATCTTTTTTCTACGCATTCACAATTTGTTTTGATACGACGATATCGACGTCTTGACAACGCCTATTGTTGTATGACGTCAGAGAGTGAAATAACCACGTTTATTTCACATGTGAAATTATCTGTTTTTATTTGACTGGGAAGTCAATGTAATTCATTGCTACCAATGTAATAAACATATTTAATTTTCTATCTTAAGTATTTGAGAAATGGAACGTAAACATCAATTGAATTATTATCCCTTATGGCTGAAGATTTCTGTCTCTGTTTGAATAATCAGCTCTGCCTCTGTTACAACAATAGGACTTAAGGTAGATTCATGGTATACCGCCATCTTGGATTGTACAATTTCAGTACAAAAATGGTCTAGTTATTTCCCCAAATCAGCAAATTTGGAGACAGATTTGCAATTTAAACGTTAGATTGTTTATTTATATAAAGAAAACTTGGTGATTTATTGTATTATTCAAAATATTTAAACAAATATAAAATTTTGTGTTTTAAGAATCATTTTTATCAAATAAGCCATTTAAGGGGAGATAACTCTTTTAGTAAAAAATATATACTGGACTGGTAGGGAAATTTTTTATTTTTACTTGTAGCAAGAAAACAAGTTCGGTGACACCATTTTTTCTTTTTATTTTCTTAAAACATATTATAAAAACATGTCATAAAACCTATCTTACAATTTATTTCAAAATTCTATCTCATAGATTTTTTTTTATTCACACAAATGTGTTTTTTCATGAACAATCTCACCAAATTTAGGCAATTTTCAACGACTCATAGCTTGGAAAATAGCACGGTGACCCATACTTTTTATTGTATTTTTGAAAAAAGCATAGTAAAATCTTCCTTTTGGCAAAGTATAAGAAAATTCTATCTCAAAAAGTATATACTTATGATCTACCTTAACAAGTAAACATGGTCAAATGGGCAATTTAGGATATGGCCATTTAAGAAATTTTCATCACATTTATTTTTAGTAATTGAGCATGCCCTACCTTGCATGGCATTTACACAATTATCACTCACCAACTTCTTGTTTTCCTAATACTTATCATGCTTGTATCATTAGTTGAAAATAGCTAACAGTTCATTTTCAAATGAAAGAAATATCCTGGAAGATTATTTCAACTAGAAGAAAAATAACCTTGTTTGTTCCTAACAGAATAATGGGTATAGAATGTTTGTTCCACAGATATCATGGTTCACAAAATTTCAGAATTTAAGGGAGAAATGACTTCTCCCTGGCAGCTAATTATGGAGAAGTACCTAACACAGAGACTTCAGATAGAATTAAGGGATTGTATTAATGCTTTTTATGAATTAAATTTCCCAGCATCTATAATTTCTTGTTATTTTTATGAGCTTTTTGCATGGCAACTGTTAATGTGTTTTCAACTCCATGAATCAAGAAAGTTTGTACACCTATATGTGATATATTCACAATATATTGAAGTTATACATCTCCCATTATGCAATTAAAGATTTTTTAAAGATGTTTACGATATGTTATATATCTTTCCAAATATTTAAGTGCTCATTATATATATATATAGACAATTCTCCATTAAAAAAAATACCCTGTGAAACCTGATAATTTGAGTCTGATCCTTTTCTTAAACAAGACTTAGTTAAATATAGGAGCAACAAAAGATTTGGAATCAATTTAAAATCAACAAAATTTGGCTCATCAGAGTAAGAAATGCATTGAAAAAAAATAGAAATTTCACCAGTAGTTTTTAAAACAGCACTGTTTGATGTTACAAGTTACTTCTCTTATACTATTGTTTGTCTATTGATTGTTTTACCTTTTTTGCCATGGCATTGTTTGTTTTTCGACTTATGAGTTTGAATATCCCTTTGATATCTTTCACCTCTCTTTTACTACGAGTTTGAATATCCCTTTGATACCTTTCACCTCTCTTTTACTATGAGTTTGAATATCCCTTTGATACCTTTCACCTCTCTTTTACTATGAGTTTGAATATCCCTTTGATACCTTTCACCTCTCTTTTACTATGAGTTTGAATATCCCTTTGATACCTTTCACCTCTCTTTTACTATGAGTTTGAATATCCCTTTGATATCTTTCACCTCTCTTTTACTATGAGTTTGAATATCCCTTTGATACCTTTCACCTCTCTTTTACTATGAGTTTGAATATCCCTTTGATACCTTTCACCTCTCTTTTACTATGAGTTTGAATATCCCTTTGATACCTTTCACCTCTCTTTTACTATGAGTTTGAATATCCCTTTGATACCTTTCACCTCTCTTTTACTATGAGTTTGAATATCTCTTTGATATCGTTCACCTCTCTTTTACTATGAGTTCCTCTCTTTTACTATGAGTTTGAATATCTCTTTGATATCGTTCGCCTCTCTTTTACTATGAGTTTGAATATCTCTTTGATATCGTTCACCTCTCTTTTACTATGAGTTTGAATATCCCTTTGATACCTTTCACCTCTCTTTTACTATGAGTTTGAATATCCCTTTGATATCTTTCACCTCTCTTTTACTATGAGTTTGAATATCCCTTTGATACCTTTCACCTCTCTTTTACTATGAGTTTGAATATCCCTTTGATACCTTTCACCTCTCTTTTACTATGAGTTTGAATATCCCTTTGGTATCTTTCACCTCTCTTTTATAAGTTTAGTTGTTCACATCCACATTATTTGGTCTCTGGTGGATAGGTAAAGAAAACTACTGGATTCAACAATTGGGAACTGCAACACCATATGGTTACAATGACAAAATTGATGGTATAGGTATTCTATCTAGTCCTTCCTGCAGCTCGGTGAATGTGATGAACATTTTCAGCACTACTCCTCGACGTAGGAAAAGATGAAAAGGAGAAAAGATCCTTTCTAAACCTTTTCTTCGCCAACAAAGGTCTTGATGCCGTCAACTTGGGTAATATCCTTCATTATAATGCTCTTTGGTCGGGTTGTTGTCTCTTTGACATATTCCCCATTTCCATTCTCAGTTGTATCAATCGAAAATACCACCCTATCTTAAAGATCAGTCTGTACCTATCATTTCTTATACCTATACCAAACCAATTGAAACTAAAATTTTTAATTGCAAACACATGTTGCAGGATCTCAATATTGATGACTTCAAGTCTAAACCTCCTGATTGCACCTGTGCGATTCCCAATTCATATATAATCAGGCTGGCCACGTTATTACTGGTGAGCTAAACATTGTCAATACCATTCATTTCCATTATGGAATATCTGTTTCACAGATGACGACGGATATGTTCCAATTGTTGTAACTACTATCTCGTCACCTTTCCCTCGAATGTGATCTACCAAATTAGACATATCACCGGGTTTGTTCATACATGAGCAACACGGCGGGTGCCACATGTGGAGCAGGATTTGCGTACCTTTCCAGAGCACCTGAGATCACCCCCAGTTTTTGGTGGGGTACGTGTTGCTCGGTCTTAAGTTTTCTATGTTGTGTTTTGTGTACTGTTGTTTGTCTGTTTGTCTTTTTCTTTTTTAGCCATGGCGTTGTCAGTTAATTTTCGACTTGTGAGTTTGAATGTCCCTTTTGGTATCCTTCGCCTCTCTCTCATCTCTTTGGCAATAATAACACATACAAAATTATTCTTATTTGACTTTTAGTTTTATATCAGTTTTAACCTAATTATATTCATAAGACTTTTCATGCTACATCTTTGTGTTTTTTAACAAGAATGCACTTTGAAGTGTAATCACTGTTGTATTATAATGAAAAGAATCAAAAGAAATACTTTTTACAACATTTACCGATAACATACACGCATATATATATATATATATATCCATATAATATGTTACATTTATATACAGCTAACATTTTACATCAAGATCACATTTTAGATTTTCATGATTGTCTTGTTTGTTGACAGCACAGGTTTAACAACCTATAATGTTTATTTTATACAGCTTTCCAGTGTCAGAACTTTCTTCATGTGACGTACCACATCCTATATATAACACTGCAAAGGGTCCTTCCATAGTGATGGCTAGAGAATTTGGATATTCTATACCTTTGTCTTTGGTATTGTAGGTGGTCAGAAGATGACCAGTATTGTCAAGTATATGTCATGTATGTAGTGTATGACTGCTTAAGTCAGCTACAATAACATTGTCCATTGGTGTGGTTATTACAGACTGTGGTTGAAACTTGCTGTGACTGTTGATGGAAGGATGACCCCCTGTGTAATAATTGATGATATCTCCTTTACCTAACACAACCACTCTTGGATTATGATATGCCTGGACAACAAAAATATTTCCATTATGGGTACTGGTTATAGACAGAATATATCCATCAAATATAGGTTTATTGTTTTTAACTTCTATATATCTTTTCAAATGGTTACCATATGTATCCATAACAACAACCACTTTATCTCCACCTACTACGACTCTGCCATCTTTGGTCACATGAACTCTCCAGACATTACATGTATCCTCACAGTATACAGAATCTGTCACTCTATTAGATCCAGCCTTGATCTGCTTTAGTGTTGAATTCCCTGTAGCCAGTAGGATGTCATTGGTAGGAGTAACAGCTACACCAAATACATTGATGTTAAAACTTGATATGATGTTCACTTTATCCCCTACAAGCTTTATATTCTGTAGTGCTGTATATGATGTAAAAAGACGAAAACCTTCCTCCTGATCTCCATCACCAATCCATAATGAACCATCTAGAGATACTGCCAAAAACTTGATGTCCACCATTTTGTTCTGGTATTCTTTAATGTTTATTAGTTTAACATGATTTGGAGAACTGCTGACTCCTGCTTGTGGGCAACCAGACATTTCTTTGTCCTGTTGGTCCACACCCTTGCTTTGTTGGCCCACTTCCTTTATATGTCAATGATTCTATGTACTTTTTCCGACTTGAATTTAGAATGAACTTTATCTTTACATTTACTACACATCAATAAGTCACAGTCCAGACACTTCCATTTTACTTTAGGATCTCCTTCACATAACTGACATTGTATTGGACATTGTCCTTGTGGTAGGAACATTGTCATATTTGAAGAAAAAATATGCAGCTCTCTTTCTTGAATGGATATTCAGTAAAAACCTTCAACATATATGAGATAAGATAATTTTTTATAAGTGTCAAGATTTGATTATTTATCATATGAATAAAACTAGATGTGGGTTAATGTCAACAAGACAGTAAACAAACTGCATGCACAAAACATATTAATCTGAATTTACATAAACCAGGTAATTGCATACCTATATAATGTGATTCTCTTTTTTGTACAGGTTAGAGAAGGTTTTATAGGTCTTAATCATACTCTGGATGGACAATGGCCATATCACACCTGTATCATGTGTTTCTCTTTATTTACAGGTTAGAAAAGGTTTTATAGGTCTTAATCATACTCTGGATGGACAATGGCCATATCACACCTGTATCATGTGTTTCTCTTTATTTACAGGTTAGAGAAGGTTTCATAGGTCTTAATCATACTCTAGGTGGACAGTGGCCATATCACACCTATATCATGTGTTTCTCTTTATTTACAGGTTAGAGAAGGTTTCATAGGTCTTAATCATACTCTAGGTGGACAGTGGCCATATCACACCTATATCATGTGTTTCTCTTTATTTACAGGTTAGAGAAGGTTTCATAGGTCTTAATCATACTCTAGGTGGACAGTGGCCATATCACACCTTTATCATGTGTTTCTCTTTATTTACAGGTTAGAGAAGGTTTTATAGGTCTTAATCATACTCTGGATGGACAATGGCCATATCACACCTGTATCATGTGTTTCTCTTTATTTACAGGTTAGAAAAGGTTTTATAGGTCTTAATCATACTCTGGATGGACAATGGCCATATCACACCTGTATCATGTGTTTCTCTTTATTTACAGGTTAGAGAAGGTTTCATAGGTCTTAATCATACTCTAGGTGGACAGTGGCCATATCACACCTATATCATGTGTTTCTCTTTATTTACAGGTTAGAGAAGGTTTCATAGGTCTTAATCATACTCTAGGTGGACAGTGGCCATATCACACCTTTATCATGTGTTTCTCTTTATTTACAGGTTAGAGAAGGTTTTATAGGTCTTAATCATACTCTGGATGGACAATGGCCATATCACACCTGTATCATGTGTTTCTCTTTATTTACAGGTTAGAAAAGGTTTTATAGGTCTTAATCATACTCTAGATGGACAATGGCCATATCACACCTGTATCATGTGTTTCTCTTTATTTACAGGTTAGAGAAGGTTTCATAGGTCTTAATCATACTCTAGGTGGACAGTGGCCATATCACACCTATATCATGTGTTTCTCTTTATTTACAGGTTAGAGAAGGTTTTATAGGTCTTAATCATACTCTGGATGGACAGTGGCCATATCACACCTGTATCATGTGTTTCTCTTTATTTACAGGTTAGAGAAGGTTTTATAGGTCTTAATCATACTCTGGATGGACAATGGCCATATCACACCTGTATCATGTGTTTCTCTTTATTTACAGGTTAGAGAAGGTTTCATAGGTCTTAATCATACTCTAGGTGGACAGTGGCCATATCACACCTTTATCATGTGTTTCTCTTTATTTACAGGTTAGAGAAGGTTTCATAGGTCTTAATCATACTCTAGGTGGACAGTGGCCATATCACACCTTTATCATGTGTTTCTCTTTATTTACAGGTTAGAGAAGGTTTTATAGGCCTTAATCATACTCTGGATGGACAATGGCCATATCACACCTGTATCATGTGTTTCTCTTTATTTACAGGTTAGAGAAGGTTTCATAGGTCTTAATCATACTCTAGGTGGACAGTGGCAATATCACACCTTTATCATGTGTTTCTCTTTATTTACAGGTTAGAGAAGGTTTCATAGGTCTTAATCATACTCTAGGTGGACAGTGGCCATATCACACCTTTATCATGTGTTTCTCTTTATTTACAGGTTAGAGAAGGTTTTATAGGCCTTAATTATACTCTGGATGGACAATGGCCATATCACACCTGTATCATGTGTTTCTCTTTATTTACAAATAGAGAAGGTTTCATAGGTCTTAATCATACTCTAGGTGGACAGTGGCCATATCACACCTTTATCATGTGTTTCTCTTTATTTACAGGTTAGAGAAGGTTTCATAGGTCTTAATCATACTCTGGATGGACAATGGCCATATCACACCTGTATCATGTGTTTCTCTTTATTTACAGGTTAGAGAAGGTTTCATAGGTCTTAATCATACTCTAGGTGGACAGTGGCCATATCACACCTTTATCATGTGTTTCTCTTTATTTACAGGTTAGAGAAGGTTTTATAGGCCTTAATCATACTGTGGATGGACAATGGCCATATCAAACCTGTATCATGTGTTTCTTTTTATTTACAGGTTAGAGAAGGTTTTATAGGTCTTAATCATACTCTGGATGGACAATGGCCGTATGGCTGCTGCCCAGATGTGAATGATCTATGTTATGGTCTAGGCAAGCATTCAACAGCACCATGTGATGAGCTGAAGTGTGCAGTGAAATGGTGTTACTTCCTATCTGCTGAGTAAGTATCCAGGGTAACAGCATCATGTAACTTAAAATTTCTATGATACAGTGTTAGTATCTCCCACCTGCTGAGTCAATTTCTATATGGGCCTGTGACTCATTTCACAAAATATCATAAGTAAAAATACTAATAAGTCATGAACATTTCAGTATAACTTAAGATAAATTTTAGTCATAAGATTTTTTTTTGCCCCCGCCTGACAAAAGGGGGCATTAAGTTTTACCCTTGTCTGCTGTACGTCCGTCCATAAGTCCTAGAATTGGTTTCCGTTCTCTTACTTTAGTTTGCCTCAACCAAATGTTATGAAACTTATACACAATGCTTATCACCACAAAAGACAGATCAAGTTTGAATTTTGGTGGTGTCACTTTCACCGTTCTAGAGTTATGCCCTTTACAAATGGAAAATTGGCTGAATTTTTCGTTTCCGTTCTCTAACTTTAGTTTGCCTCAACCAAATGTTATACAAATGCTTATTACCACAAAAGACAGATCAAGTTTGAATTTTGGTGGCGTCACTTTTACTGTTCTAGAGTTATGCCCCTTTACAAATGGAAAAATGGCTGAATTTTCCGTTTCTGTTCTCTAACTAAAGTGTGCCTCAACCAAATGTTATGAAACTTATACACAATGGTTATTACCTTAAAACACAGATCAAGTTAGAACTTTGGTGGCGTCACTTTTATTGTTTTGCCCCTTTACAAATGGAAAAATTGCTGGATTTTTTGTTTCGGTTCTCTAACTTAAGTTTGCCTCAACTAAATGTTATGAAACGTATACACAATGCTAATTACCACAAAACTCTGATCAAGTACAAATTTGGGTAGCGTCACTTTTACAGTTCTTGAGTTATGTCTCTTTATAACATCATATGCAAACGGGGGCATCGGACACATTGCCCATATATTGTGAAAAGAGCCCCTGGATGAGGTTTACAGAATATAGAGAATAATGGCAAAAAATACAAAAAATAGAGAAAAATTCATTTTGCCTTTACCCAAGAAAACCTCAAAATTGGCACTAAAGGAATAATAATGAATCCACAGAAAGTAAGGGTTTATGGCAATATACCCTGGCATAAGATGGATTGAACTGTACAGTAACTTATCAATAACTTCATCTTATCTTCAGTGTCTTCAGTAATTTATTGATAATTGTATGATTAATTATATTTTCTTTGAAGGTTTTCTGGCCAGCCAATTTAAAGTTTGTTGTACAAAGAATGATTTGCGTACCCCCTTTGGGTCAAAAGGTCACATTTAAAAGTTGCCTCAGGTCATCAGGTCACTTTTAAGCAAATAAAACGGGTAAACTAAACTGTTTTGAACATGTTTTAAGGTCACAGTTTCGTTTAAATAAGACATCAGGATGTAAGGTGGCATGATTAAAATATATTTTCTTTGAAGGTTTTCTGACCAACCAAGGGGAGAGTTTGTGTACAGAGCTCTGAAGAGATATTATGATACACCTGTAATGTCTGCAACTGCATTTCCTCCAAATCTAAAACCCCATAAATTTTACAAGGTAAGTTTGATCTTACACCAATCAATGAAGGATGTTATATAGACAGAACAGGTATTGTTAGAAAATATTAAGGAGGATAACTATTGAAAAAATCACGTCCAGAAAACCTTTAATTACATTTCATATCTTTTATAGCTAACCTGGTACATAGGATCGATATGAGCCCTGTGTATCATTTATTTCAATTAATGGTTCTTCTGTGAATTTAAGTCTGTTCCCTATGAAACCATAGAACAATTTGGAAAAAAATGAAAGGAAACATCCATAATAAGATGTCTAGCATCAGAATCACATTCAATGTTGCTGTTGACATTACAACATGGCTACTGTTTCTATAAATAAAAGTTAAAACACTTATTTTGATCATTCCCAATGAATGTGTGCAGCCTATAATGATATGACCTTGGCAAATAAGTCTTTCAATAGTTCTGTATTAGAATTATATTGGATGGCTAGCAAACCACAGCTTTTTAGTTTGTGTCTGTTTTGATCATAAACACTTTGGATTTTTGCTCAGAGTACTAAAATGGTTTTTTGTAAGTGATTATATGTATACATCAGAAACACTGCAGTTGTAAAGGCTTCATCTACAAAATATTTTTGTAATAAGAATTTTAAATGTTACCAATCTTATTATCAGGGTAACTGAAAAAACCTGGAATGCCTAAAATCCATGGAATTGGACTGTAAAACTATCCACCAGAGATGATGCTGATGAAAGCAAGTATAAGTCGCAAACATCCTTCAACAATGAGCAAACCAATGCCATATAGTAAATTAAAAAATATTTTTTTCAAAAAAACATGTAACTTTTCTTTCTTTGATTTTACAGTTAGATGAACACTACAGACGAGATCATGCTAAATACGGTGAAACCATGACAACCTTTGGTGACTATGGCAATGTGTACATGATGGATGATTTAACTGTTATTAAAAAGGTAAATTAATAAGTTCAGGTTTGAAAATGAGCTGATTAAACTTTTCATAAAAATGAATGTTTTAACTGGAATATCATCAGCATGCAGCTAAAACAACTTCAGAGGTATGAGCAGGGCTTCCAAAATTATTTTTAGCCAGCCGGACATTTTATATATAATCCCGATTTTAATTCCTTAAGACTAAATAAACAAAAGGCAATTATGGTAATCAGTTGCCGAGTTGGCCATCCCAATGATTGACATTAAAAAAAAAAACGATATTAAACTTTCTTTGATTCAAATTCGAAGTTCTGACGTAAACTGTTAAATTGGCAGTGCATCATTCGAAGTGTGCAACAATAAATTACATCAGCGTACTCATATCTGCCTTAGACTCTTCATTTGTGCAAAATAACGTTGTCAAAAACTTTACTTTCGTTTATAAATCTTATACCGGATGTTATCTTGACAATGGTAAAACATGGACCAGAGACGGATACGTAAATTCCGTGTACGTTTGCAAAGCATGAATGAGTGGAAGTAGCTCCTTCTACGTTATTTCTTCAAGAAAATATTCGAAATAAACATGAGATAGAGGTATCAATGACAATTTAAGCATTTTTTGAAGAAATTAGGATGCATAATTAAATTTCACACCTGTGCACATGTGCACACGTGCACTAGTTCAAACCGAGACTTTCTCTAGTTCAAACAACGTGGTTATGACGATGTTTCATTTTCACCTTTTTAATTTTTTCTTCAAATCATATTTGTAAACGTATTTCTGATAATTTAAATCTTTTTGACTAAATTAATTAGATGCAAACCGCTGAAATGTAAGAAAATAACTTTGAATAGACCGATCAATGTCTGGTTCAAAATAGTTTACCTGTCACCTGAACAGGTAAATTTCAGCTGTTCGACAACTAATTAGCATTGATTAAAATGAGAAGGTATTAAAGTAGGGGTTGTTTTGATAGTAATTAATGATCATGTCACTTTTATGACCGGAAATGTGTGGCTGTTAAAGGCAAAACGTTGGGTCAAAAAGATCGCGATTTATGTTAAAATGACCGTCTCTTAAAGCCTTGAAAACTAAAAAGTAGATGACCGTTTCATGCTTTGCCCAGCCGGACTTTTACCGGACATTATACAAATGTCCGGCATATATGACCGTTTTGGAAGCCTTGGGTATGAGACATAGAATATGGATTGATTTCTAACTTTTTCTGTCCATTCTATATTTTCTTGTTCATCTGTTCAAACTTACAGATAAAATGAACAGTACTTTCACAATCTTCCAAGAAACAGGTAGGATGATTTTCTAAAAAAACAAATTAAAGCATAAAAAATTTGAACGTATTTTGCAGGTGAAATTCCAGAACTATGATTGTGACATTGACAATACAGTATATAAGAAATTGTTCAACAGACAACATAAACATATCGTAGATCATATATGGGCTGCTGTCTACAACGATATTGAGGAAATTCATATATGTACCACATTCTTTAGAGGTAGGCAACACATGTCACATTCAGCATGTTCAGTAGAGTTAGGCAGCGCATATGTACATCAATCCTAAAGAGTTAGGCAATATATCTACCATAATCTTTAGAGGAAAATAACACATTATTAACACATACTTTAGGGGTAAGCAAACATCTGTATCACATTCTTTAGGGGTAGGTGCCACATCTGTACCATATTTTTCTGTAGGAAGGTATAAGCCTATCTGTACCTTATTCTAAAGGAGAGCAATGTATATGTACCACTTTCCCATAACTGTTCTTTGTGTTACTGTTTCTGCTTACCAATCCGCATAAGATAAATTACTTTAACATTTAACTTTCTGAGTCTTTTGTGGCCCTGAGGTGAAGTCAGATAACTTTTGATGTAAAATTTGGTTACAAAAACATCATCAAAGATACCAGGCTTTTATTTTGATACACCAGATGTGCATTTCCTCTACATAAGACTCACCAGTGGTAGTCAAGCTTGTGATTGCCAGTAAGACACATCAGTGGTAGTCAAACTTGTGATTACCAGTAATACACATCAGTGGTAGTCAAGCTTGTTATTACCAGTAAGACACATCAGTGGTAGTCAAGCTTGTGATTGCCAGTAAGACACATCAGTGGTAGTCAAGCTTGTGATTGCCAGTAAGATACATCAGTGGTAGTCAAACTTGTGATTACCAGTAATACACATCAGTGGTAGTCAAGCTTGGGATTGCCAGTAAGACACATCGGTGGTAGTCAAGCTTGTGATTGCCAGTAAGACACATCAGTGGTAGTCAAGCTTGTGATTGCCAGTAAGACACATCATTGGTAGTCAAGTTTGGGATTACCAGTAAGACACATCGGTGGTAGTCAAGCTTGTGATTGCTAGTAAGACACATCAGTGGTAGTCAAGCTTGTGATTACCAGTAAGACACATCAGTGGTAGTCAAGCTTGTGATTGCCAGTAAGACACATCAGTGGTAGTCAAGCTTGTGATTACCAGTATGACACATTTGTGGTAGTCAAGCTTGTGATTGCCAGTAAGACACATCAGTGGTAATCAAGCTTGTGATTGCCAGTAAGACACATCAGTGGTAGTCAAGCTTGTGATTGCCAGTAAGACACATCAGTGGTAGTCAAGCTTGTGATTGCCAGTAAGATACATCAGTGGTAGTCAAACTTGTGATTACCAGTAATACACATCAGTGGTAGTCAAGCTTGGGATTGCCAGTAAGACACATCGGTGGTAGTCAAGCTTGTGATTGCCAGTAAGACTCATCAGTGGTAGTCAAGCTTGTGATTGCCAGTAAGACACATCATTGGTAGTCAAGTTTGGGATTACCAGTAAGACACATCGGTGGTAGTCAAGCTTGTGATTGCTAGTAAGACACATCAGTGGTAGTCAAGCTTGTGATTACCAGTAAGACACATCAGTGGTTGTCAAGCTTGTGATTGCCAGTAAGACACATCAGTGGTAGTCAAGCTTGTGATTACCAGTATGACACATTTGTGGTAGTCAAGCTTGTGATTGCCAGTAAGACACATCAGTGGTAATCAAGCTTGTGATTGCCAGTAAGACACATCAGTGGTAATCAAGCTTGTGATTGCCAGTAAGACACATCAGTAGTAGTCAAGCTTGTGATTACCAGTAAGACACATCAGTGGTAGTCAAGCTTGTGATTACCAGTAAGACACATTGGTGGTAGTCAAGCTTGTGATTGCCAGTAAGACACATCAGTGGTAGTCAAGCTTGTGATTACCAGTAAGACACATCAGTGGTAGTCAAGCTTGGGGTTGCCAGTAAGACACATTGGTGGTAGTCAAGCTTGTGATTACCAGTAAGACACATCAGTGGTAGTCAAGCTTGGGATTGCCAGTAAGACACATTGGTGGTAGTCAAGCTTGTGATTACCAGTAAGACACATCAGTGGTAGTCAAGCTTGTGAATTAAGACACATCAGTGGTAGTCAAGCTTGGGGTTGCCAGTAAGACACATTGGTGGTAGTCAAGCTTGTGATTACCAGTAAGACACATCAGTGGTAGTCAAGCTTGGGATTGCCAGTAAGACACATCTGTTGATAAAGATATGAGCTTTGCTGTTCATACTTAATGTTGTAAGTCATGCTTGTACCTTGACTACCACCACAAAATTTGAGGTTAAAAGAATTCCAACTTCCATAACGAGGAATTTAATAATGTTCAATTCTCCAAACTGAATTCAAAATTTAATTACTTTAACTTAATTATAATTGGGTAAATGCGTTCCCATTAACCAAATAATTGACAAGTTAGAAAAACCATCAATAAAGATTCAAAGAAGTCAGTTAATTATTTGATATTTACAAGCCAATAGAGACAAGTTGTTAATACAGTTATGTATTACACTGTAAAGCAATGTTAACAAATATTTGTAATTTAGAGTAAAAGATGTCGTGAGAGCAGGTCCTGATGGTAACTTTTACTGTGTTTCCATTACAGGAGGGACATTAGAAGATCTACTGCAGAGCAGAATGTTATTAAATCCTGTTATAGTACAAGAATACCTTTTACAAATACTAGATGCTGTTATTTATCTTCATGATAAATGTGGAATTATCTACCTATATTGGACTAGTAAGTTATATGTAGGTCACAGTGACTTAAACCATGTTATAGTACAAGAATAATTGACAGATGAAGATGCTTTTCAAACATTAATGTGCTGTTAATTAATGACAAAATTCAGGTCATGTTCCATATTGACAAGTTTCACTTTTGCAGTTCAGGAGTTATGGTCCTTGATTGATTGGATAATGGCTGTTTATCTTATTTCTGTGCAATTACTTGAGGTCTGTTCAACAAATGCTTTTCAAATTTTAATATGTTAAGGATAACAAAATGGAGGTCAAATTTGAAATCGATGATTTTTACTTTTACCACTATCTTGTCATATTCAATATTGATGATTTTCACTTTTTTGTTCAGAAGTTATGACACTTCATTGCTTTAAAAGAACACTTGTAAATGTAATAAAAACCCAAGGTGCCTATCATTTTGACAGCCTCTTATTACTTGATTATGTTTGTAATTCTAGAACCACTGTTTTGATAAAAGATTTTTTTTCAGCTTCCAATATGTTGTTCCTGGACCCCATCAGAAAGCATATCCTGATATCAAATTTGTCTCTCTCCGTACCCAGTAATACAGACTTTGATGTTGGGTATATCAAGCAGTCCCTTCCCCCATGTCTCACACCACCAGAGGTAAGTCTTAGTACCCAGTAATACAGACTTTGATGTTGGGTATATCAAGCAGTCCCTTCCCCCATGTCTCACACCACCAGAGGTAAGTCTTAGTACCCAGGAATACAGACTTTGATGTTGGGTATATCAAGCAGTCCCTTCCCCCATGTCTCACACCACCAGAGGTAAGTCTTAGTACCCAGGAATACAGACTTTGATGTTGGGTATATCAAGCAGTCCCTACCCTCATGTCTCACACCACCAGAGGTAAGTCTTAGTACCCAGTAATACAGACTTTGATGTTGGGTATATCAAGCAGTCCCTTCCCCCATGTCTCACACCACCAGAGGTAAGTCTAAGTACCCAGACTTTGATGTTGGGTATATCAAGCAGTCCCTTCCCCCATGTCTCACACCACCAGAGGTAAGTCTTAGTACCCAGGAATACAGACTTTGATGTTGGGTATATCAAGCAGTCCCTTCCCCCATGTCTCACACCACCAGAGGTAAGTCTTAGTACCCAGGAATACAGACTTTGATGTTGGGTATATCAAGCAGTCCCTACCCTCATGTCTCACACCACCAGAGGTAAGTCTTAGTACCCAGTAATACAGACTTTGATGTTGGGTATATCAAGCAGTCCCTTCCCCCATGTCTCACACCACCAGAGGTAAGTCTAAGTACCCAGACTTTGATGTTGGGTATATCAAGCAGTCCCTTCCCCCATGTCTCACACCACCAGAGGTAAGTCTTAGTACCCAGGAATACAGACTTTGATGTTGGGTATATCAAGCAGTCCCTTCCCCCATGTCTCACACCACCAGAGGTAAGTCTTAGTACCCAGGAATACAGACTTTGATGTTGGGTATATCAAGCAGTCCCTACCCTCATGTCTCACACCACCAGAGGTGAGTCTAAATATTCTTCATTGAAATGAGTTTTAGTAAGCAGTGTCTGTTCCCATGTATGATAACCCAAGAGTTTATTTCTCATAGCACTATCTTCAAATTTCTTTTCTACATTATTTAGTTTGCATAATTTAGATCACTGTTTCATCTGTTTATTCAAATAAAGTGACTCAGTAATTAAAAAAAAATGCTTCAGGATTTATACCAGGGATGGTATGGATTAAACATATAAAAGGCATAACAGCAATTACCAGAAATATAACACAACAGACATCAACCGCCAGCACCTGACTCCTCCAGAAACATTGGACAAACAAAGATAAACACAATGTAAAACACATAGTCCAGACAATCTGATTTGGTACAGGCACAAAATGTGATGAATTAAACCTGAACTCACATCAGCACAAACTTCCCATTTCACCTTTTTTGGAATATATTTTTTTTTTATAAAATTGTATTTTAAAGTTTACTTAACCTTTACACATTGAAGAATTTGCATACTGTAGAAACATTAATTTTCGTGGGGTTAAAATTTTGTGGTTTTGTCTCTATATAAAATTTCATGGGGATTTAATTTCGTGGTTTCCATTAAATGGAAGTGACATTATATGTAGGTTAAATTTTCGTGGGGGTTTTAATTTCGTGGATATATTCTTTCCACGAAATAAACAAAATTAAATCCTCCACGAAAATTTCTGCTTTTACAGTATTTAATCAAATAAAGTCTATATTGGTGAGTTAAACTATTTTCATGATTTTACATTTACAGAAAACAACTATGTTCTCCCAAAATATACCCTTGAAGCCTTGAAGTTAGTATTTTAATTACCTCCCCTAAAAATGAAGGTTGAATACATCTTTTATACCTGCCAACTTTTCTAAATCCCCAATGGGGTTTTAGTGTACGACAAGATTTTTAGAGTTACAATTTTTTCAGTCTTTTTTGGAGCTTTTTTTTTTTACTTTAGAAATAGTGTCATATCTTTTTTTTTTCTTATGGTATAATGATGATGATCTAATATAAAGTCTTTTTTCTTCTTTTTATTTGCATGATACTTATACTTATTTCATTTTGTAGAAAAGATAGTACATGCAGCTAGAATACCAGCAAAATATTTTTTTTTTTGTGTAGGAATAACTTACTGTTGACTTTTTCCATGTATAAATATGGACACAGAAGGACATTTATCTCATTCCTTGTGAAATATTAGATACAATACATTTAATAATTTGACCATTTGATAGCAATAATGACAACAGTAAGGAGCTGTTACAGTAAATGTAATGGCCATATAAGGGATTATCTAATATGTTTATGGCAGCACTGTAGCTCAAATTGTATCAAAGTAAGCATGAAGCTTTACTGTCTAGAGTTTCTCATCATCTGGTCATACAAAGAAGCTACTGACAGACTTGTTAGTGAATGCCCTGTGAAGGACTTGCATGATTTGAAACAACATTTAGACCACCATGGTCAATACATTTTGATTGACAATATGCATGATTAATTATTGATTCCAGGTCTGAAATGTTTGAAGCACTCCAAAGAGTCTTGTTTATTTTTTTTATAGATAATGAATGGAGACGACGGCTTAAGGTTAACTGGGGGATCAGACTGTTGGGGGTTAGGTTGCATGACGTTAGAAATGTTGATAGGAAAACAGATGTGGTATAATGAAAGGCACTACCAGAAAACCAAACTGATAGAAAAGGTATGTAACCTTAGAGATTGTTGGGCATGCAGGGGGTTAGAATGTATAATGTGAGAAATACTGATAGGAAAACAGATGTGGTATAATGAAAGACACTACCAGAAAACCAAACTGATAGAAAAGGTATGTAACCTTAGAGATTGTTGGTCATGCAGGGGGTTAGAATGTATAATGTGAGAAATACTGATAGGAAAACAGATGTGGTATAAAGAAAGAATGACATTTAGCCCTGTACCTTCATTAGAGCATAGGAATACTGTAACATATCTGGAATATCTATGGAGCTACCATCAGAAGTCAATAAATATCATAGATGTCATCAGAAATGCCTTGATCTAATCATAAAATGTATCAAGTTGCTGCTCTGAGTTTGCCCTGAAGATGGACACCTTTTCCCTTGAATTGGACATCAACAAATAACATGTCTAAAAATCATACACCTTAAAAATGATCTACTATAATGTATTTAAATAACTTTCATAATAATCATTGTCACTAGAAAAAAATTATTTGAAGTTTGAACACAGTTGATACCTGCTCATGACATAAAATGTCCAACAGAAGTGCATCAATGAAGCAAACAAAAAAACATGCAGAAATAAAGGAATTTCCAACATAAAATGAAAAACAAATAATCGGGTAATCTTGCTGTAAAAGTATTAATCAGCAAATTTAGATTTTTCTCTAATACAATGTGCCAATATCTCAATATTGCATTTATTTTAATTTGTTACAATAGAATAATGATATGAAAATGTATGACTTAGAGGTATGTCTGACTCAGGATAGAATTACCCTAGTTGTATCTTTCAGTTTGACAATCTCATCATTTTAACGTTAAATTTTGCAGATAAAAACAAAAGATATTAGTCCGCACCAGTACATTCCACGACACAGATTGCCAGAAATTTTCCATTCTTTAATAACTAGATGTTTTGAGGTAAGCCTTTATCTATAGTTGTTGGATTGTTTACATTTAGTTTGGATTTATGAGGTTTTATGACAATCAAATAAAATTGAGAATGGAAATGGGAAATGTGTCAAAGAGACAACAACCCGACCAATGAGCATAAAACAGCCCAAGGCCACCAATGGGTCTTCAACACAGCGAGAAAATCCCGCATCTGGAGCCGGGCTTCAGCTGGCCCCTAAACAAAAATGTGTACTAGTTCAGTGAAAATGGACGTCACAATAAACCCCGAAACATATAAATGAACTAAAATTAAAAAAAACGTACAAGACTAACAAAGGCCAGAGGCTCCTGACTTGGGACAGGCACAAAAATGTGGCGGGGTTAAACATGTTTTGTGAGATCTCAAGCATACTTTGACCAGCTTGTATTACCACAAGGTGTTGGTTCATTTATGTTTATATTTAGGTTGAAACAAAGTGGTTTCAACCTAGTGCTAAAAATTGAAATTCATAAATTTAGTGCACAAATTTGGTTGAAATTGCATCTTTGTCAACTTTTAACATAACCAGAATTTCAAGTGTGAAAAAATAGATGAATTAATTGGAAAGTGGAACCAAATTTCAGGACTCTTAATGTAGGCTTTTAAAGGAAAATGTTTTAAACATAATCAGATTCAATAAATATTAATCTACAATCTAAAGTTGGTACACAAAGATATCTGAAGATCTTCTTAAAAATAGAGTTAGTTAGGAATGTAGTAAGACAATTTTACCTTCTTAGAAAAAATGTTGACAAGCAAAAAGATATCCTACAAGTTGCTCCTTTTACCTTTAGGCCCTGAAAATTGTATTGGTAACAGAGAGTAAGATGGACAGAAAAGATATCATATAAGTTGCATTGAAATGTTGTCAAATTGATAAAATGTTGAACATAATTGTTTAAAAAAAAGCAGCAGTTTTAAGGGAGATAATTACAAATATCTTTGTTGTAATTTCACAGTTATCTCCCATTAATTGATTTCTTTGGTCAATACACATTTCATTATTTACTCAAGGTAGAGTAAAGAACAGTGAAGTTTGAGGGTGATTCAAAGGAGTATGTGTTTCCTCTAAATTTAATTCAAAGGAGTTTGTGTTTCCCCTAAAGTTGATACAAAGGAGTTTGTGTTCCTCTAAATTTGATACAAAGGAGTTGGTGTTTCCCCTAAATTTGATATAAAGGAGTTTGTGTTCCCCCTAAAGTTGATACAAAGGAGTTTGTGTTCCTCTAAATTTGATACAAAGGAGTTGGTGTTCCCCCTAAATTTGATACAAAGGAGTTTGTGTTCCCCCTAAAATTGATACAAAGGAGTTGGTGTTCCCCTAAAGTTGATACAAAGGAGTTTGTGTTCCCCCTAAAGTTGATACAAAGGAGTTGTTGTTCCTCCTAAAGTTGATACAAAGGAGTTGGTGTTCCCCCTAAATTTGATTCAAAGGAGTTTGTGTTCCCTTAAATTTGATACAAAGGAGTTTGTGTTCCCCCTAAATTTGATACAAAGGAGTTTGTGTTCCCCTGAATTTGACACAATGGAGTTTGATATTTTTGTTTATGTAACTTTGTAGTTTGATGTAAAGAACAGGCTTGGTTGTGAAGAGTTACAGAGTCAACTTAAGAACTGGAAATACAACTAAAGAAATGAAAGACAGATGAAATTAAAGAATTAAAGTGTAACTTCCAAAAAAAAGAACTGGAAATATGTGAATATGTAGCAAGATTTACCTAGTCTGTACTGTTAATAGTGCAATTAATTTGACCGGTGCCATTTCTCAAGTTCCTAGCTGTTCAGAAGTTTATATTATGCAAACAGACCACAAAAAATCATTTCTTATCTTGACAGTTTGTTGCGAATATGCACAACATGTTATCATCATAGACATCATTTAAAATGAAATCTGTATTTTATTACAGTTATATTTTTGACTGATATTTAATGTGTAAAGTATTCACCAATATTTTTACTGTAATTTTGGTAAATAGTACTATTAATATCATTTATTAAAAAATTGTCTCATCTTTTTTTTATAGAAATCCTATTTGATACTTTGTCAGGGGTACGTTTGATTATGTATAGGACTGTTTGTATGTTTATTATTTTATAATGATTTAATGTTGTTCGTCTGGATTGGGGTCTTCATTGTTTGCTACTTTAATTCTAAGGCCATTTTCACCTTTTTATGCCAAAGCCGTAGCGGAGGGGGCATTAAGTTTTACCCTTGTCCGTCTGTACGTCTGTACATACGTACGTACGTCCCAAAATTGGTTTCCATTCTCTAACTTTAGTTTGCATCGACCAATTGTTATGAAACTTATCCACAATGCTTATTACCACAAAACACAGATCAAGTTTGAATTTTGGTGGCATCACTTTTGCCATTCTTGAGTTATGCCCCTTTACAAATTGAAAAATTGCTGAATTTTATGTTTCCGTTCTCTAATTTTAGTTTGCCTCAACCAAATGTTATGAAACTTATACACAATGCTTATTACCACAAAACACAGATCAAGTTTTAATTTTGGTTGCGTCACTTATACTGTTTTAGAGTTCTGCCCCTTTACAAATGGAAAAATTGCTTAATTTTTTGTTTTGTTTTCTAACTTTAGTTTGCCTCAACCAAATGTTATGAAACTTATACACAATGCTTATTACCTTAAAACACAGACCAGGTTTGAATTTTGGTGGCTTCACTTTTGTCGTTCTAGAGTTATGCCCCTTTACAAATGGAAAAATTGCAAAATTTTTGGTTTCCGTTCTCTAACTTTAGTTTGCCTCAACCAAATGTTATGAAACTTATACACAATGCTTATTACCTTAAAACACAGATCAAGTTTGAACTTTGGTGGCGTCACTTTTATCGTTCTAAAGTTATGCCCCTTTACAAATGGAAAAATTGCTGGATTTTTTGTTTCGGTTCTCTAACTTAAGTTTGCCTCAACTAAATGTTATGAAACGTATACACAATGCTAATTACCACAAAACTCTGATCAAGTACAAATTTGGGTAGCGTCACTTTTACAGTTCTTGAGTTATGTCTCTTTATAACATTATATGCAAGCGGGGGCATCATCTGTATCTCATGGACACATTCCCTATTTATTTTTTGTATTGTAGTACATCTTTCTCTATTCTTTATTTTATTGGATTATTTTTCCCTATTTTTTTTGTTGGCTATTATTCTCTGTAAACCCCATCCAGATCCTCTGATCAGTGTTATTAATATGATAGCTCAGTATAAATGAAACAAGGCATTAGTTATGTTTCAATAAGGCAGTATTTGACAATACAACAAAATAAGAAAGACATCTCAAGGTCAACATATGGTTTTCAGAATTAGATAGGTTACTTTACAAAATATTAAGTTCTAAATCAATGCAAGACTAGGCAATGCAAGCAGGGGGTAAATTTAACACTGACAACTGTTCCCACTCCAATAAGGTTTCACAGAAAACAGCCAACCAACAATGTAACAAAAGGAATTTTATTCAAAAATTTGATTAAATTAACTTGCAGACAGATACACAGATACATTTCTAAGTCCAATTTTCTTTAACCTTGTATAGTCTACTGATTCCAGTCACTTCCAAATGAAAATTCCAAGTTGATTATCAAAGTTTGTCCAATGAATAATGAGAATGTCAAAGTTGACAGTTGATAAATCCAGCAGTTATGATATAGTCCGCAGATAGGTTGTTCAAAAATAATATCCCACAAGTTGTTAATTTATCCCACATATAATAATATATATAATGTCCACAACATTATACCACAGAATAGTATTGAAACTGGAAGGCATTCTTTTTAAGTCTCTATAGAATGATGAAATAAATAATGATTATGGTGACAACATTATGGGAATAAAATTGGTAGAGTGTGAAATTTAAATTAATTATTAAAATAAATCATTTGATAATCAAACAAATACAGGTATTGTAAATTCTGAAATTTTTGCTAAATTTTTTTATTATTGCAAAAATTGTGATGAGATAGGTGTCACAAAAATACAAGCTTGCATTTTAAATTTTGATAGCATTATTTGTGTATGCAGCATTTCCTGTAATCACAATAATTAAACTGGCATTTATGTTGATTGACTAACAATCAAAATAATAAATGCACACACAAATTTCTGCATTTGCAATATCATTTTTACATACATAGATATATAACACAACCACACATCATACCACAAAATAGAGTAAGACCAGGAAATGAAATCTAGTAATCTTAAATTTGATTAAAATGAACATTTTAAAGAGATATATAGTGTTGGAGTAAGTTGTAATTTTATGTGCATATTCTTATGGTATTTTTTTTGTTGAAAATACATGTGAAGAGATTATATGTTTCTCTAGATCTCATTTTATTATTTATAGGGCTTTTATGTTTAAATTATTTGTATAAAATGGATTATTTGGATTCTGTGTTTTTATGTCTGACATATGAATGTATTTGCGCATTATAAGTTTATTACTTGGTATTTTTCTCAAAATCTGCCTAGGGTATACATAATTGTTAAATTTTTTCATATCATCCAGTTTGTAGAATCCCAGTGCTATTAACCTTTAAAGATGATTACTTAAAAATATCTTGATGTTCAAGTAAAATGCTAATTCATATACTGTGAGGGTACCTAAATTGCCCCTTTTTTGACAATTTTTTCACCTTTTGTTTAGTTTTAAAAAAAGCCAAAAGTTTCCATTCTGTATTGATTTTTGTAGATATATGCTTATTTACAATATAGTTCCACAAATTTGATATTGAATCCATACTGAAACGTAGAAAAAAATGGGTTCGAACCAACTTCCAAACGATCCAAGATTCTGTAATGAGAAGTACCTAAATTGCATACATGCTTAACTTTGCATCCATACAAATCAAATAACTGATGCTTTGATTTATTTTTCCAAATTTTTAGAAAAATTTGACAGTAGTCCATGCTTAGTTTGCATTTTGTAAGAAATGGATTCCTGCGACTTTTTTAAATTGCGCATTTTAAAAGTCAATTTTTAAACATTTTACTTTTTTTCCAAATGGGTGCAAATTGGTTACTTGCTGCAATTTGGGTACTGTGAAATTATGCATGCAAGTTATTTATTTTCTAATTGATTAATGCTGGCAGTTGTTCAAATACAGGTGTTATCTTCTAATGTAACCATAGAAAAGAATTTAATTAAGTTTTATATCAGCTGACATCAAAACAGGTGGAGAATACTGCTATTTCTACAGTTACTGTAAATTCAGAAATTATTGCGTGCATTTATTATTGCGATTTTGTCATATTAGACTAAAATGCGATTTTAATTTTTGCGATATTGAGAAAAATCCTGTTTAATTCATATAAAAAATTTCAGAATGCGAGTGTGAATTTACAGTATATGATTGATGCCCTGAAATTTGCTAGTGTTCCAAACATTGTACTTACTGTATGCTTTCTATGTGCCTTTTAATTCTGTAAATATGCAATTTTTATCTGACATTTTTCACAAATATTTCTGAATTTTCAGGTGCTAAGCGGTTTGTAAAAAATTAATATGGCATTTTTGCTTTTCTTATAAAATAATTTTTGCTTTAAAATATTGCCATTACTTGGCATTCATCGTTGTTATTGGCCATTTGTAAACTTTTTAAAAAAATCCTCTGAAACCACTGGTCAAATTAATGCAAGTATTTGTCATCATTATTTATTTATTGCCATTGGACTTGGTTATCAGAATGGTTGACCCACTTATTATCTAATTACAGATTAGGTGTGATTTTGTTAACTCATGATATATTTGTATTTATTGTTTTTTTTATGAAATACATTTTCATCATTTATAGAAATTATTTATTGCCATTGGACTTGGTTATCAGAATGGTTGACCCACTTATTATCTAATTACAGATTAGGTGTGATTTTGTTAACTCATGATATATTTGTATTTATTGTTTTTTTTATGAAATACATTTTCATCATTTATAGAAATAAAATGGTTGTATTTGGGCTGTGACATGTTATAAACATATGGCAAATCAGGTCATGCTTAATATTTCATGCATAAAATTTAAAGAAAAAAATTTGGAAAGAGTATGAAAAAAATTTGCAAGTTATACACTCCACACTAAGGACTATATTTGTAGACGACGAAAATAAAGGACGATAACTGTGTCCTCGGACCATCAGTTAACATTATGCTTAGAATTGTTCCATTAAAACATACATGTTATCCAGGGAAGGATCTTTGAAAATGGGGTAACCATCTGTGAAGGCAATTTTAAGTTTTCTCTTACACTTTCACTGTATAAAAATACACAACCATAGATCAGATTTGGAAGTGCCTTCCCTGTATCCATGTGTGTTTTTTTATGAAACAGCCCAAAATTACCATGTGTGTTTTTTTATGAAACAGCCCAAAATTACCATGTGAGTGATATAGACTCTTTGGCACTCTAGTTATATTTTTTAGGGTATTTTTTATAGATACATTTGGTGGTAGAGTTTATTTTTTATGAAGACTCTGGCTCTTAAATTTGTCCCTGACTTTTCTTTCTAACAAGGATATTATTTATCGTGTAATTTATATTGAAGGTTATTATTCTGTGATTTATATTGGAGGTTATTTTTCCGTTATTGTTATTGTTTTTTAGATCTTTATGGCTCCATATTGTTCTATGATTTTAATGATGTAATTATGCATATTTTTTACCAGTGCTTTGTCTGCTCAAGATACTTTTTTTTACTAAATGTTATTGTTTATAATATTATGTGAGTGCCATATTGCCAGACTTGCAGAAGATTTTAACTTCATTTTAGCCATTACATGAGTTAATTAATTTCCTATATATTTTTTGTGTATTGTTATATATTTTTCGTAAACACTAAAAATATAGCTTTCAAATTTTGTATAAATATTCACATAAGGATTATCTTGTCTCTTGCTACTAATGGTGATTGGATGATATCTTCTGAGTTTTCACCAACATTTTATCTGCCTCATTTGGAGGCCTGAATAGCTTGCTTTAAATTTATAACTGAAACCATTCATGAGTAATTTTATTTAGAGCTTCAGCTGTTGAGACTAAAATTTCTCAGTTGAAAATCGCACGGAGCAAGCAGTTTAACTTGAGCAATACTGATTATAATGTTAAATGAATCAGAATGATATTCCTTGAAACCAAAAATTTAAAAAAAATCAAATTATCCACCACCAAAATAACAAGCAAACAATAACAGCAACAAGAATAATTAAGACCCCCCCCCTCCCTCAAAAAAAAGAAAGAAAAAGTAACAAAAATAATACACTTTTGCTGAACACTTAACATGATTTTATGAAAAGCTCCAGAAAAGGGACATAATTCTTTTGAATTCTTGTGAGAAAAAAATTAAAAATCATAAAAGGACACATTAATTGTTACAGTCACTTTTTGTTGTTGAATGTATCAAATACTGCAGCAGATGAGATATTTTTGTGTCTCGAATTACTGTAGTAATAAATTTATTAAGTTAAACATTAAAATTATAGTGTACACAAGTTTTAAATCATCATAGGCTAGCATGTTTTTCACACAGATGTAGACAATGTGATCAGTGTAATCATTGTCATTACACAAAATTTGCTTCTCTTCACACAGGTTTAGACAATGTGCATAATTGTTTTCTTTGTTATTACATAAAATGTGCTCCTCTTCATTCACCCAGACAGTGTACAAAAGTGTTTTCATTGTCATAGCACAAAATATGATTTTTTTTTCACTCATATGCAGTGTACGAAAAGGATTTTTACTGCCATTGCACAAAATATGCTCACCTTCTCTCATACACAGACAGTGTACAAATGTGCTTTCATTGTCAATACTAAACATTGTCAATACCAAACATCTGCTCCATTTCACAAATATCTAGTGTACAAAACTACTTTCATTGTCAATGCAAATATATGCTCCACTACGCATGCACACAGTGTATAAAAGTGCTTTCATCATTATTACAAATACATGCTCCCCTACACATGTACATAGTCGAAAAAAGTGCATTCATTGTCATAACAAATTATATGCTCCCTTACACACATACTTAGTCTGCAAAAGTACTTTCATTGTCATTACAAAATATATGCTCCGCTTCATATGTACAGTGTACTATAAAAGTGCTTTCATTGTCATAACAACATATATGCTCCCTTGCACAAGTTTGTAGTGTACATGTCTCAAGTGCTTATCATCATTACAAAATACATGCTCCCCTGCGCAAGTATGCAGTATACATGAGTGCTTATCATCATTACAAAATATATGCTCCCCTGTGCAAGTATGGAGTAGACATGAGTGCTCATCATCGTTACAAAATATATGCTCCCCTGCACAAGTATGCAGTATACATGAGTGCTTATCGTCATTACAAAATATATGCTCCTCTGCACAAGTATGCAGTATACATGAGTGCTAATTGTCATTACAAAATATATGCTCCCCTGTGCAAGTTTGTAGTATACATGAGTGCTAATCGTCATTACAAAATATATGCTCCTCTGCACAAGTATGCAGTATACATGAGTGTGAATCATCATTACAAAATATATGCTCCCCTGTGCAAGTATGTAGTATACATGAGTGCTAATCATCATTACAAAATATATGCTCCCCTGTGCAAGTTTGTAGTATACATGAGTGCTAATTGTCATTACAAAATATATGCTCCCCTGTGCAAGTAAGCAGTATACATGAGTGCTAATCGTCATTACACAATATATGCTCCCCTGTGCAAGTATGCAGTATACATGAGTGCTTATCGTCATTACAAAATATATGTTCCCCTGCGCAAGTATGCAGTATACATGAGTGCTAATCGTCATTACAAAATATATGCTCCCCTGTGCAAGTATGTAGTATACATGAGTGCTGATCGTCATTACAAAATATATGCTCCCCTGTGCAAGTTTGTAGTATACATGAGTGCTAATCATCATTACAAAATATATGCTCCCCTGTGCAATTATGTAGTATACATGAGTGCTAATCGTCATTACAAAATATATGCTTCCCTGTGCAAGTATGCAGTATACATGAGTGCTTTCGTTGTCATTAGGGTTGTCCCATTAAAATGGACGAGGGAGGATAGAAAGGAACCAATATACCCACGGTATTACAATGTGTAGTTTTGTATATATCAAACAGACGTAGATGATCTAGAACCCTTATCCAAAAATAATTTCCTCTTCTACCATCCAACATCTGTTTAAATGGAACAGCACTAACATATTACATGTGTTGATTATTTGTTTTAATGGTTGTTATGTTCGACATGTTGTTTCATTCATATTCTGTTAATTAATAAAAAGTAGTTTTTAATGATTTCATTTTAAAATCAATTTTTTCTTAAAAATTAATCAAAGAAAAATATCAGATAAAGTTAGATTATGTAAATTTTGACAATTTTGAATATTCCTTGAACCATTTTATCACTTAAATCATAATATCAGAAAATTTCTCTTAAAGTGAAAATAATACAGAATCTATGAAAAAATTATGTATGGTCTTTTTACCTTTAAATCATGAAATAATTGATATGTTTACTTTAATCATTATTTTGTTACGTTTGATCATTTGTACACTGCCATTATATTATATGCTAGTTTCAATAAAACAATCTAACAAAAATCTGTTGTCATAGTTACCAATAACATGCTTTGTGGAGCTTTTTACTTGTTGAAGCATGTGTTGTATGAAGGTTCCCTACACTTAATTTATGGTCATTGGTGGGGTGTTGTCTCATCTTTTTTTATTCAACTTCATTATTGCTATTTTCCTAAATTTTGCTTTGATCTTTTTGTGCGACAAGCTAGTTGACTGAGAATGGTTCTTCTTAGTTGAGTATAGTGAGAACACAATGATGTCACAAATTAATGTCATTGAAGTTGCCTAGGAAAATAGCAATAAACAGATAATCTATGGTCTTTCAACTAGAGGAAAATTCTGTATCGCCTTGCGATGAGACTGTACCTGAGAAACTCCTTCATGTTTTCACAAACCTAATCTGTAATTTTCAGTAAGTTCAACTTTGAAGTATGTTCAACTAAGTTAAAAAAGAGAGTACACAAACAGGTTGAGCTGATTCAACATTAAAGGAGGATTTTCTTTCATGTGAAGGTTTCGGAAGAATTGAAGGATTTATTTCTATTATTTTACTGACTAATTCAAATATTAATCAATCTCAGAATGCTGAAGAATATTTCATTAAATTTTGCATATGCACGTTCAATTTGCATTTAAGAGGCTTGTTTAGGGGGGTATCAATATCCCATATCCCATTAAGTTTTTATCCCAATATCCCATATCCCTATAATGTTTACCCCTAATATCCCAATAAATATTTTATACAAATATCCCATATCCCTAAAACTATTTTGAAATATCCCAAAAAATCATTATAAATTCATTCCCAAACCCATTTTTTTCTCATCATCACTTCTGATGAGGATTTTGGCTCAACTTCAACAATTTTGACTGAAAAATTATCAAATTATATTATCTATTTTCAAAATACTAACATTTGATTAAAATTATATTCCTTGTTGAACTAGAATATAAAGAGAAAAAAAACTGTGGTAAAGGAAATTTACAGTGCATACTTCCATTGTTAAATAAGAAAATGTGTCCAAAAGATGAAGTGTTCCATCTTAGAGCGTTGTACAACAATAACTTTTCATGTGATCATAAACGATCAATTTGGTGTAAGGGGTCTAATTTCAAACATTTTTTTTTAATTGTTCAAACCATGATGTATATGTCTGTAAAATTTCATTTTGATAGCATTCTTCTTTCATTGATAAGAAACTTCATCCTGCACGTTAACCTATGTTGGAAAGAACAGAAGGACGCAACCCTGTTTCTAGACCGAGATTGCTCTGACACCCAACGGCTGTTTTGCCAGACAAGCTGAGGCTGTGGGACGTCAGAGCACGCCCATATCAAAAAGTGGATATTCAGCATGCAAGTTCAAAAACTCAAAATTTAACACAAGAAAGCTTTCTGCTAATGCACGTACATTAAACTTAACTATTGCAATATTTTTACAGCAAGCAAAATTTGCACAGCCCTTGTTTTGCAAAGAAACACAAAATTTGACTATGTGATCTTGAACTTTATGAAATTCATGGATCACAATATTTTTGTTACTTTTACTAATTTCCTTCCTCAAAACACCAGTAATAGAAGAAAAGATTACACTGATTATTTATTCCTAATTCTAATTCTAGTTTAACCTTTTAAAAAGCTATTTAAGAGGTAACTTCAAATTCAAACAGGGCATCCATTTTGTACGGCTAAATATCCACTTTTTGATATGGGACGTGCTCTGACGTCCCACGGCCCCAGCTTGTCTGGCAAAACAGCCGTTGCACATCAGAGCAATCTCGGACTACCCTTGGTCCATAATCTGTTACAATCATTGAAACGTATAGAGACCGCTGAAGATCCTCGGCACGTAAAAAATAAGAGGTGAAACACCAGAAAATATCCCGTAATCATATAAAGCATCAAAATAAACAAAAATATTGACAACACTATATAATCTATGATTATTTCAAGAAAATTATCAATGCAAATGAGCATATAATTATAAAAAAGAAGATGTAGTATGATTGCCAATGAGACAACTCTTCAAAAGATACCAAATGACACAGATATTAACAACTATGGGTCACCGTACTACTTTCAACAATGAGCAAAGCTCATACCGCATAGTCAGCAATAAAAGGTCCCGTAATGACAAATGTAGAACAATTCAAACAAGAAAACTAACGGCCTAATTTATGTATAAAAAAAAATGAACAAAAAACAAATATGTAACACAGCAACAAACTACAACCACTGAATTACAGGCTCCTGACTTGGGACAGGCACACACATACAGAATGTGGCGGGTCAAACATGTTAGCGGGTGCCCAACCCTCCTCCTAATCTGGGACAGTGGTGTAACAGTACAACATAAGAACGAACTATACAAATCAGTTGAAAAAGGCTTAACTCATCAGATGGATACAAATAGAAAAACATCTAACAAAAACACAGAGTGGACGTGACCGAGTACTTGTGCATCCCATCAACAAAATGACACTAAGTACAGATCTGAGAGTACTCGCAGTTACTGACAGCTAGTTCAAAGCCAATAACAACTACAGCTAGTTCAAAGCCAATAACAACTAATAAAAAAAATCATGCATCTAAGACTAAATTATCAATCATTACACATCCAACATCCAATGGCACGGTAAACAACATCTCCGTAAAAATGAGGATGTGCTATCCCGTTTGAAATAAGTTTTCTACAGGTACAACCAAACTTCAAAACCAAATCTTTATATCTACGGAAGAATTTAGTAAAGATGTTAAGTGATTTGTGGTAACGAAATCTCTGATTTAATAATTTACCAGTGATACATAGATTACATTCATTAAAATCCAAAAACGTTACAATAGACACGGGCATAGCGAAAGAGTTGTGATATACAAACACCGTAAGATAGTGCAAAAGGAACATCACCATCCAAAAAAGGAAAATTAACAATAAGGAACGAAGTATGGAAAGCAAAACAAATACTTTTAAAATTATCAGTACATATGAGCATATAAATATCGAAAATAGATTAATACTTTTTGCTTGGGTGGGTTTGGATGACTTTTAAATAAAACGACCATAATTTCATAAACTCAATGAAAATCACAAAGCACTAAAATGACCTTATATATTAATTTTTTTGGGCAATTTTATCAAGTGAGATGTAAATATTTCTGTACTTAACTTTTAAATTCCACTTACTTTTTTTCATGTTCAAAATTCAATATCCTTAAAAATGCATCAATATCCCATATCCCATTTACTTTTAGGACAAATATCCCATATCCCTAAAATTAAAATGGCAAATATACCGTATCCCAATATACCCTATACAAGCCTCATTTAAGGGCATTTTTATCAAAAGTAACCTATTAGCCTTCTTAATAGATTCAAATGTGAAAAAAATTGCTGACAACACCAAATTCTCAAAATGATAATCACTATTGAACAAAACCAACAACTTTAAACAGTCACAGTAACATGTGACAACTAGTGTATTGAGATCTCAACCCTCTCCTATTACTTATTCGTCATCTTGCTCAGTGGAATAAGCAAAGATACAATAGAATGCACAATAGAAATCTGTAAAGGAAAAGCACTAATAGAGGTTATGATGATTCTATATGAAAAATATAATTCTTAATTCGTTGGAATCACAATCAACAATGTTTACTTTGCCATAGGATGATGCTACCACCAATCACCATGGACAAGGTTTACGATGATGGCCCCACAAATCTGGAGTGTTTACTACAGAAACAAATTAAACCATGGTTACAAAACATGGACACTGTTCTTTGTTCTATGTAGATGTCTCATTAGCATTCATACCACATCTTATTTTTATATTAATTACATCACTTCTGTACAATGATTTAATTTGTTTCACTTCCAAAAGAAAATGGAAATCTAATACCACTGATTAACCAACTCTTCTTAATTATAAGAACTGAGAGAGACAGCTCCCCTCTGCCCTTTCTGTGCACCTCTCTGCTCATATAGTCCTGTAATATGCATTTCTGTTTTCTAAAGATAAATATTTTTCAATGCAAAACAATCATTTTAACTACTAGGACCCCCCCCCCCCCCCCCCACCCCCTCCTCTTTTCCCCCTAAAAAACTAAATACCAGAAGCAAAAAAACATTAATTTATTGGATTAATTAAATTTTTCATCTAAAACATGAACAAATTGGTTGGTTTTTCAGACAAGAAACCCTGCTAAGGTACCCGTGCCCCTTTGCCATTTAATTCTAGAAAGAACACTGACAAAGATATATAAATTGACACATGTTTTGTAGGTTGTTATATAATGTGTTGCTGGGTTTTTGTCTCATTGAAATATGCAGCACATCAAAAATTAGACAATGGAAAACAGATGATGAATTTAATGAAAAAATCTACAAAATGATTGTACATTACATTCAGATTCACAATGAATTTTAAACTTCTCTGATGATAACAATTAAGTGTAAAAATAATTAGGTGTAAAGACCTTTGTCGGGCATATTTATGATCCAATATTATAGAAAAATCTTCTCACATTTTCTAAAGCTTTTCATCATACATATACATAATTTTATTTCTTCAAATAATGTCCTCTGTTGAAAGGAGTCAAATAAAGCATAGGTGTCTTGTTAATCAAATAAATCATAGGTGTCTTGTCAATCAAATAAATCATAAGTGTCTTCTTAATCACAGATTAAATTCCAAACATATTGCATTGTTTGGCACCATTGTAGAGTATAGACCATAAGTATATAACCTTCAACAATAGGATTATGTAAGTCTACATTTAATAATAATGAACCATGCAAGTTTAATGAGAAAACATTATCATTGTGTAAAAACAAATTTCAATAAAAACATAATATAAATCTTAAAAATACTCATCCATTGCAGAATAAAAATAAATTTGAAAGATTTATAAAACAAGAATGTGTCCATAGTACACGGATGCCCCACTCGCACTATCAATTTCTATGTTCAGTGGACTGTGAAATTGGGGTCAAAACTCTAATCTGGCATTAAAATTAGAAAGATCATATCATAGGGAACATGTGTACTAAGTTTCAAGTTGATTTGACTTCAACTTCATCAAAAACTACCTTGACTCTGTTTTTGAGTGCGAAAATGTGAACAATAAAAGTATTTTGTAATGTCAAAATAAAATTATCTTGTTAATCAGGCAGACAGACTTTTTTCTGGGTCAGGTAAGTAGAACTATTCCTTTATTTCCTATCTATATAAGTTTTGTTTTGTGGAAAAAAGTTACTTTAAATTACAATACAATATAAAATTAAACTAAAAACAGAATTAAAATTATGATAATGTTTCTGCAGATGGATTGATACTTGGAGAGTTAATTCAAGACAATAAAAAACTTAGGCCCTACAAATGTTTATGATAAATTTTAGCATAGCAATTATTTAAACTATTTTCATTGAATTCACAAGTGCTACATTTATACAACATCTCATTCTAACACTTTCAAGTTCATTCACAAAATGACTGCTCCCACTATTGACTTGACTTTAGAGTGCCATCTGTAGAACAATAGGACAATGATCACTCCCCATCACATCCTGCTGTATAGCATGGTCACACAAATCTTTCTTTAATCTGTTTGACAACACAAAGTAGTCCAACCTCCTGAAATACAAGCATTAGAAATATAAAGCCTTTCAGTAATAATTTTTTTCTTGGTTTGAATCAACCACTTCCCTCAATGGAGAGGAGCAAGCTACCAAGACACAAAGTAGGCAGTTGGTTCAGACTAAAATTATATACTGTGAAGGTACTTTTACTTGTTGGTATCAATTTTCGTGGTTTTAGCAAAAGTTGTATGTTTGTGGGTTCTTAAATTCGTGGATTTTAGTTTTTTGGAGAAAAAAAAAGAGTGAAAATTTTAACTCTATCAGCAACAAAGATTCTTGAAAATAGTCATATGTTGTTTTATAATGAATTGTTGGACATTGCAAAATATGATGTTCATTTTCACTTACTTGTTCATATTTCATCAATGACAACATTCATCAAATTTTTGAAAAATAATTGCTTTCGGAAATAAGCTGTCAGATTCATCTATGCTTACAAATTGTCTCAATTAAAGGAAATTGCAAAGTAAACATTTAAATTGTTGCACATGTGTAATCAGAAGTGATAACACAAATTAACCCGATATCGAATAATCAAAAGATTTTTTAATGATCATCAAAGTTGTTAATTGGGCCATACACATGTCACTTAAAGGAAACGGCTACAAAGAAAAAATACCACAAATGTACTTTGAATTGTAAAATTAATTCTTATGCAATAAAAAAAACATGCCAAATATGATTTTTTTTACGTATCAGAATTGTGAGGAGATAAAATTATCACTTCATCGTCTCATATCATCACCGGAAGTCTGACTTTCATCGATCAAAATTAATTTTTCATGAGAATTAAGAGTCGTACAGTTAAGATTTTTGAGAGATTAAATGGGTTAAATCCTGTCTGAAGTTGTATAATTTATATAGTTCATAGTGCGTTTGCTGATATTCGATATATTTTCTAGATTATGTGCCTGTATCCTTGAGTCAAACTTACATGGGGATCTTTCCATGTCTTGATTTGGACATCAGTTGTTATATTTCGTTGGACACTTAAATTAATGGATAAAGCCATCTACGAAAACCACAAAAATCGGTACCCCACGAATAAAAGTACTTTCACAGTACGTGTCTCACTTTATTCAATCAATCAAGAACCAAAACTCTGGAATGCACTAAAAAAATCCTGGTGCCTCTCCTTCAACCATTGCTGGCAGTGTAAAAATATTATTTTACTGCCGTAATAACTAATGGTTCATTGATCAGTCATGTAAGTTAAAAACAGAACTTGAGGCTCTAAAGAGCCTGTGTCGCTCACCTTGGTCTATGTGCATATTCAACAAAGGACACTCTCCAACATTGTCGACAAGAATAGAATTCATGACAAAAATCTCTTTTTTGTTGATCTTGTAATGTTGATAGTTTTGTCTGTTTAGTTCCTTCCTCATTTAAGGGCAATCACTCCTAAATAGAGTGACTGTCTACTAACTATATCAGCAAAATTTGACTTGTTTGTAGATCTTGCCTTGCTGATCATTTTTGTTTTCCAAAGTTTCTATTTATTTTATTTTTTATCATATAAGGTAAAACACAAACAAATTGGTAAAAATCGTCATTAAAAAGCATGACAATAAGGTGTCGTCAGATGATTTCCTTCATGTTGTCTTAATTGTAGATCTTGTCTTGCTGATCATTTTTGCTTATTTAAGTTTCTATCTGTTTATTATAATTTTTAAGATATAAGGCAAAAACGCAAAAAATTGGTAAAAATCGTCATCAAAGGGCAATAACTCTAATAAAGAGTCGACTGACGATTTCCATCATGTAAAACTTATTTGTAGAACTTGTCTTGCTGATCATTTTTGCATTTAAAGTTTCTCTCTATCTATTAAAGTTTTCAAGATAATAGGCAAAAATGAAAAAAAGTGATAAAATTTGTTAATTAAGGGCAATAACTCCTATGAAAGTCGTCTGTCAGTTTTGTCATATATACAAAATTTGTAGAGCTCAACATTTTGAATATTTCTGCCCCGTCAGATTTTCTCTATTTGTACAGTTTTCAAAATAATGGACAAAACTTGCATTTTACCCCTATGTTCTATTTTCAGCCATGTCAACCATCTTGGTTGGCAGACAGGGTCATCAGACACCTTTTTTAAACTAAAAACCCCAATGATAATTGTGGCTAAGTTTGGTTAAATTTGGCCCAGTAGTTTCAGAGAAGATTTTGTTAAAGTTACAGATGGCGGATGATGACGAAGAAAGATGCCAAGTGATGAGAAAAGCTCACCTGGCCCTGTGTGCTAGGTGAGCTAAAAATGATTTAAGAAAAAAATAACACATTTGCTCATGTGTTATGTGCAAGCTCTACTAATTTCTTTTTTGTTAATGATAGCAGCAATAAGTCAGGAATGAATGGAAGTCCTCAATTCTCATAATTTCGGCACCGAATAATTGTTAAAATTTAACATCATTTTGTTTTTAAAATTGTACAAAATAAATATCCCATGATTTACATTATCACATGATAAAAAATATATCTAACTTCAAAAATATGCACTGCATACCACTGCATCAAAGTGAATACACTTTACAATGTCTCCTAGAGTAACATGTAATTGTCATATCCAAAACTAAAATATTTACCATCCAACATTTTTAGCTCTGGCATTCATCATGTAGGTCCAGAATGACCAACAGTCCCTGGCATTAGGGTACAATTCTCTGAAAGAGTCAAAGAATCCCTCAGCTAACAAGTCTGTAAATCCTTGCCTCTCGTCGTCATGGAAACCTGGTGTTTTGTTTCTGTTTGTCTTTGGATTCTTGAGATCTAAAATAAATCAAAACATTTTTAATGTATAACTGTTACATCTCACAAGACTTACTGTTAGGGTTTCAGTGTTGTAAATTTTTAATTAAATATTTCACTTTTATATTAGAGCAAATCACACTTTAATAGTGAGTCAACGTAAATTAATTTCTTTTTCAAAATTTCCCACACAATTAAACATTTTGGACTTTTAATGATAATATGAGAACACTTATTTCAAATATAACCAGTTTACACAAGTTTTACTTTTTAAGTTTTTAATTTAAAATTTGAGGCTGCTAATAGCATTGTAAACAAAAGGCCGTAGAAATTCTTAACACAATATTGCAGGCTGTGAATATTTAGTTTTTATTGCATTGAAGATTACATTCCTTTCTAGCACAGAGTAAAAAGAATGTCCACCTAAAAATTTCTGTTTTACTCCATGTTTAACAAGACCAATACTGGGTCTGGACCTGTGTTGCAGCATACAATTGATTGAGGTAACATGTATTCAGGGGCATAAATGATCATTCCCAGACCAAAAATTAAAATCATTCATTTCAAAAGAAGCCAAGAAAAGTTGGATGGAAATTTCCTTGTACAATGAGTGTTGTAAAATTTCAAACTATCGGCAAACAGGAAGTGGCTACACTGCAGATGTTAAAATTGCTTCCTTGCTTCAACTACACATCATCAAGCTGTAGATCAGATATTAAATCATTCCCTTTCATAGAAGCCACGAAAAAAAACTTTGACGAAAGTTTTCTTTTGGAAGGAGGGACGGACTGGAGCGTTTACTAGACCTGCTTCCGTCGAAGGCGATGCAGGTAAAAATGTATTTGTAATTGAACTACATTAAATCAATAGAACTTTAATGACTATAAAAGATCATTTACTATTTTAAAGTCCTTATTTACCTGTTTCCTGATGAGCTACATTCAAATCACCACAATATATTACTGGCTTCTTAGCATCAAGACCTTTGATATAGTCTCTAAATGCTACATCCCATTCTTTAGTTCTGTATTTCAATCTGACGAGGCCTTTGCCAGAATTAGGTACATCTACAACAACATAAGACTCTGACTAGAGAAAGGTACAGATACAATGTGTAAAGTGGATTATACAAAACCAGTGGAATCATACTTTATATTTTGTATGTCATATATTCAAAAGATCTTATCAAAATTTGTCATGGTGTCAAAGTTCTTTTTGTGTCTATTGTGGAAGATTAGTTTAAGATAGGATAAAGATGTATTGTTTATAGGGAATATGTGAAGGTAACTATTAGCTGTAAGGGCCTACATAGGTTTAGAATTTAATCATAATCAACTCTTATCATGAATCAGACTTTCATTCTTTGACTGAACTTGAACAAAACTTAGCAGTCTTTACTCTAACAGCTGATACTTGTTTCCAACAGATTTATGTGCTCTGAAGGAGTCAAATAGATGTTTTAACACAGACTTACAAGCTCCAACTAGGTTAAATGTATCATATTCAGCTGTAATTAGTCTACCCTCTTCATCTAGCTTCTTGATTCCTAAAAGAACAAGTGAAAAACAATTGAGTAGGTTCAACTTTGATGTATTATTTGCAGTATTCATAAAACAAACTTTATTCATTGATCAATAAATGGTAAAACAATCAATATAAAGATAAACCCTGATATTATCCTTCTATATACCTATAACCTAATATAGTTGATATGTTACTATCAGACAGACATGTTTTACTGACCTTTGATTTTATGTTGAAAGTCTTAATGATAACGGTTTTACTACATGTATAAACTTAACATTTTTAAAGATCCATGACAATGAGGTCAAGGTCAGATAAAAACTGTCACACAGACATGTACACCTTACAATTATTCCATACACCAAATATAGTTGACCCATTGCTTATGGTAATTGAAACACAGACCAAAACACAATAAACTGCTTCGCCGAGCTCATCTGGATACAACCGCAGAGGTCCAACCCTGAACAGTTGGGGCAAAAATGAACACAATATTCAAACTGGATACCGGTCTGAATTTGGAATTAAATATTTGACACATTATAGGTTTCTGACACAGAATAAATGTAGTCAAAGAACTTGAAATATGGTTATATGACGACGCTAAAGTGATAGCATTATACGAACGGAAATTTTTTGCGGTCATATAAAAACTTAATGTTAACCAATGAACCATGGAAATGAGGTCACGGTCAGATGACACCAGCTATACAGACATGTACACCTTACAATCATTCCATACACCAAATATAGTTGACCTATTGCTTACAGTACTTGAAAAACAGACCAGAACACAAAATTAACAATGAACCATGAAAATGAGGTCAAGGTCAGATGAAACCTGCCATCCTGACATCAGACATACGGTTTTGTATCCCTTACAATCATTCCATACACCACATATAGTTGACCTGCTGCTTGTAGTATCTGAGAAACAGACCTAATCATGTAACTTTAACCTTGATCACTGATCCATGAACTGAGGTAGAGGTCAGGTTAACCCTGTCTGATGGACATGTAGAGGTTGCAAGGAACCCATATACCAAATATAGTTATCCTATTACTCATAATAAGTGAGAAATTCACATGACAAAAAAACTAATTCTTTTTCAAGCAATCGCTTGAACCAAGAAAATGAGGTCATGGACAATGGGCACATGACAGACGGAAACTTTGTAACATTAAGTATCTGATTACAAGGTATGAAGCATCCAGGTCGTCTACCTTCTGAAATATAAAGCTTTATACAAATAGTTTACGCTGCCGCCGGATAGTAATACCTATGTCTCACATACTAAGACTTTCGTTGCAGGCGAGACAAAAACTGAAAGGAGCTTGAATTGACAGAAAGGAATCTGACATATAATCATTTAAATTAGGTTAGGGTAAAGCAAATTCATCTTTTGAAACTATCACCCTATATCATGTATATAGGTGGGGTTCCTGTTGCTTAGTCTTTAGTTTTCTATGTTGTGTCATCTGTACTATTATTTGTCTGTTTGTCTGTTTATTTTTGGCCATGGCGTTGTCAGTTTGTTTTCGATCTACGAGTTTGACTGTCCCTCTGGTATCTTTCGTCTCTCTTTTATATTCACACTTGCAGTTCCCTTGATTTTTCCTTGGAATGGATTGCAGTTTAACCATCTTTATAAATTCATTATCTGTCTAAGGTCAAAGACAGAGCATTTTATTTTCATTCAGCATTTGTTCAGAACTATTTTTCTCATTTTCAATGATTGGTTAGAGACAGGTTGTTATTCACTGAATTAAAGCTAAGGTTGATATTCACTGAATTAAAGCTAGGAGACATATTTTTTCTTTACCCAATCCAAATGTAACATCTTGTTATTTATATTTGGAGCATAATGCATTTCCAATTCAATGACAGAGCACATTATTTTCATTCAGAACTATTTTTCACTGTGGTTAGAGACAGGTCGATATTCACTGAATTAGAACTAAGAGGATATTTTTTTCTTCTTATTACAAATGTTACATTGTTTTGTTTTTCTTTGGAGTATAGTGCAGTCCTGGGTCATAGACAGAGCACATTATTTTCATAATAACTATTTTTTACTGTGGTTAGGGACAGGTTGATATTCAGTAAAATAAAGCAAAGTGAATATTTTATTCTTACCCATTCCAAATGTAACATTCTTTGGTTTTTCTTTGGAGTATAGAGCAGTCCCAGCATACCCCTCTGTGTCCCCTGAGGAGAAATAAGAGTGGTACCCTGGCACATTGAGTGTAGCAGGGAGCTTCTCCTGTGAACATTTAGTCTCCTGGATACAAAATATGTCTGGTTTATACTTCTGTAAATAGTCGATGCCATCTTTCTGAAATAAATGATTGATTGATGGTTGCTTAACATCCAGCAGCAAATATTACATGCTACTGAAATGTAAAATTTCTACACTTGTATGATCTTACTGTTTATATTATGACTCACATTATTTACTGCATCCATGACATGTGCAACTGTGACATCATTTACCAAAGTATTTATAGGATTAAAATAAATAATTTACCATGGTTACTACATTAAATGCTCATCTTTAAACAATGTGCTAAACAATGTGCTCATTAGCACTTAAATACAGGTAAAGATTACTTTTATTTTGCATTGTGAACTTAAAATTAAACACTTCATTGGATTACTCAAAACACATATTGTTGCATATTCTTGTAGTACAAGGTTTCCTCTTTCAAATGATATATAATCTAGCTGTGTGTGTGGTGGGGAGATTAAATCTAAAAAATTCTGTCCTTAGTCACCGCACTAACAATATTTAAATACATGTAAGTTATAGAAAATTCATAGGACAGACTTCTCAGTTAACAATGGTCAATAGGCAATCTAACATTTCAACCTTTCTTGACATATTTTCAAAAACCTTTTACTTGGGAAATATATATGTACGTTACGTATATAATTTTTTAATACTAGTTCAAAATCTACCAGTAACTAAACTCTTTTCTTTACAGTGATTTTTTTCATGTTCTTGCCTCTTATTCCACATCCATGTATAAAACGAAATTGGTATATATATATATATATAACTTCTTAGTGACAACCCAAAATGTCTTTACCTTCCAAACAATTTATCTTGTTTGTTTTTGATGTGATTTAGATGAATGTCACTTTCTTTACACATGATACATGGCACTATTTCATGATGGTCAAAGGTTAACTACTGAACTCTGTCCAATTTGGACATAAAATGACCAATATATACATGTATATGAAATGTTTGTGTCTGAATTTGTTCATTTTTTGCTAAAGAAAAGTATAAGGTAAAGGTTTGCTATTTCAAAGCATTTCCATGACTATCAAAAAAACTGTACAATCACAGATATCCTTCTACTTGAGTACAGAAAAGATATCTTTGTCTAGTCTAATTCTACTTTGCTAAAGAAAACCTTTTGGTCTCCCAAAAGCTTGACGTATCCATTTTTGAAACCTATCAAGTACCTTTAACCAAGCCCTCACACCATTCACATTCCATGACACAATAGTCTTGGTAAATTTCCTTCCATCCTTTGTTTTAGCAGTAGGATTAATCTGTGTAGGAAATGAAGTATCTACATCATCAGGGAGGTCTGTACTGGCTGTGCTGGATTTCTTATCTAACTTTGTCTTCTTGGTTGTTGGTTCACCATCTGTTTCTGCCTTCTGTAATAAGATAATCAATCAAATCATTTTATTGGATTAACAAACGATAAAGCACATTTAAGTACAGTGTACAGTGTAATGATCTAATACAAAGATGAACATAAACATCCAAGGGAATAAATAATCACCATAGTGTACAGTGTACAGATCCAATACAAAGATGAACATAAACATCCAAGGGAATAAATAATCACCATAGTGTACAGTGTAACGATCCAATACAAAGATGAACATAAACATCCAAGGGGATAAATAATCACCATAATTGCAGTCATGAGAGTGTACAATACATGTATGTACTCATACATTTGTAATGATCAATTCTAACTTAGCAGTACAACAGTATATTAGCAAGATCTGTAGTACGTTTACAATGTAAAAAGATCAAAGATGACAAATAGTACATGTGTATATACATGATAAATGTACATTTTTTATAGGATTTAATGGAAGACAAATAACTATCCTCAATTTTTACATTTACCCTTTGATTTTACATCCTAATATTTTTTAGATTAATACTGTATCATCATGTTTTTTCATAATTTATTAATAAAATGCATACATCTCCTTGCTCAGCCGCCCCATATCAGGGTTTCTGTGTATCATACCTGCCAACTTTTATCTCCATGGGGGATTTTAAGCACAAGAGGACCTAATACATTTTGTACTCCTCATAAATTGCCACAAGTGTTTTTAATCTACTACTATATTGATTGAATGAGTATATATGTGCTTGAATATCCTTTCAACTCATTTGAATGACTGTTTTGAGGTGTTTAGTTCATATAATACAGAATTTAAAAATTCAGGTCAACACCTCTCATGGGGGATATCCCCCAAAAATCGGGATAGTTGGCAGGTTTGGTGTATAAATATATTTTGCGATATCTCTACGTATAAAACCTGATACTCTGTTTATCATTCTATTACTGGTCTTTTCCCCATTCCCTTAGAGTTTTACACCTGACAAGAGCAAGCTTGATTACTTCTCCTCACACATATTTTGTGATGTTAAGGTTCATCATAACCTTTAAGCAAATATGGCTGTATTTACACCACAAATTTCACTATGAGAACAGACAAACCTGTGCACCTGGAAAAATTTTGAAGCATGGTTGGACCTAGATAAATAAAATTTAAATGGATTTTAAGTTTCAAAATATTAAAAACTTAACTGGATTTTGCTTTTCATTTTTTTCATTCCTGCAGAAGGTGCCAAAATAATGGAAGTTGGGAAAGAGGTTTGAGAAGCTCCCCTCATATAATAAATGTTGTGAGTAGTATTGATTTAAATGGACAATAGAATGACAATAGACATCTGCAAACAAAAGGTGATTTAAACTGTGTAACTGAGTGGACCGTATCAAATGAAACTCAAGTGTTAGTTTATATTGCTATCTTCTGCAGACTGGAAAAAAATGCACATCGAAATCCGGGTAAGTTTTTAATTTTCTGAAACAGACTACATATATATCATTTATATATCTGGTCCTGCCATGCCTTAAAACTTTCCTAGATGCATGTTTGTCTGCACTCATAGTTGATTTTGTGATTATACACGACCATATTTTTCAATTCCTTTTGATGAACCTTAATGATAACTTCTCAGAATTGTAACGATGCTGATAATGCCTGCTCATGTCTCAAAGCTGTGATATGAGAATTACGGAGCGACTAAGCAGGGTTAACTTTAATTCTGTGTTTTAGGATATTAGCTGCCATTCCAACCTGATAAATGCTGTTTAGGCAGAATATATCATTTTTCTCAATGTGTTTTAATAGAAAATATTTATCAGGTTGGGAACAACCCCTTAAATGAGGTACATCCCTTAAATGAGGGACTATCCCTCAGACAAGGGGTAATTTTGCTGTTGAAGAAAAGAAAAAAGAAAACCTTGGCTTTTTAATCTTAAAAGGGGAAACATTTATCACTGTTCATTATATTTGGAACAACTTTTCTAAAAGAGGGATCCACTTATTTTTAATAATAAAGAAGATTGAAGTCCATGATATTACAAAATTCATGGACATGTTTTGACAATATTATTTCAGAAAACCTTCCAATTTAAACGTATGCTAATAATAAATATGTTATATTCCATGAAAGTATTATACAATATATTGTTTGCCTTTTTTTAGTACAAAAGGGTTGAGATCTCAAAAACATGTTTAACCCCGCCGCATTTTTGCGCCTGTCCCAAGTCAGGAGCCTCTGACCTTTGTTAGTCTTGTATCATTTTTAATTTTAGTTTCTTGTGTATAATTTGGAGTTTAGTATGACGTCCATTATCACTGAAATAGTATACATATTTGTTTAGGGGCCAGCTGAAGGACGCCTCCGGGTGCGGGAGTTTCTCGCTGCATTGAAGACCCATTGGTGGCCTTCGGCTGTTGTCTGCCATATGGTCGGGTTGTTGTCTCTTTGACACATTCCCCATTTCCATTCTCAATTTTATGTTCTCTACCAATGTACCTTTAATAATTTGTTATCTCATGATTATCATTGTAAAATTGTTGTATTTTGTGTATATTGCCTTGAGGGCCCATGATTGGATCTTGAATCTTATAATACCAGATATGGCACACATAGATGTATAGTTCTTCTGGAAAAGTTTCTACAAATAATATAAATATGTGCCCTTTTGTACCAAGAAGTGGTTTTTTACAAAAAAATATTTTTCATCACTTGAAATGTACCCCTCATAAAAGGATAGTCATTAAATAGAGGGGTTATCCCTCATTTTGGGGGTTGTTCCCAATCTGTTTATTTCACATTCTTCTTGCTTTAAGTTTAACACTAACAGTGCTTAATGACGAAATATTTTTTGGCTGATTAAATTTGGTTTATTTTACCTTTCTTTTCGGTGGCATGATACTTAAATTCGCTGAACTGATGACTCTATTAAATGCCCGTATCAGCAAATTTCTGTTTACAAACAACATTCACAATAGAAAATTTCCCGCCATGTGTACTTTTATTCCGAAACGAATTACTTTAAAAACGATGTAAAATATTTCAAGTCATCCTTGTTTTTAGCAGCAACCGATATCTGAGCTAAAACAAATTTATAGTTTATTTGAAAGACATATACTATGACCTATATTTTCTTAGTAAATAAAACATAAGCTTTGATCTTCACATTGTTCCGTTTATAAGCGATTCCATCTTTTTAATTAAACGGGCACCTGCCGGAAGTTTACATTTGCTAAGTTACGCATGGACGTTATAAAAGCTGACTTTCTCCTTGAGCTTTTTTTTCTGATTTCACAAGTTCAGTTCATTGTCATGCATAATTTGCTTATCATATGTATGAATTGATATTTCAATTATATTGTGCAAAATGTGGTACTATCTCAAATTATTAATTATGCATAGATTAGATATATTTCAAACAGAACACTTTCTTCTGCTGTTCAGAAATACCAGTACATATCTATAAGAGAGAAATAAAATATTAATTTGCCTCATTATATCTGGGAGGAGTCAATACATAATGTATCAGATTATTCCGATCTTTGATTTATTGCTAGGGAGCACATACTGGTTGAGGATTACTTAGGACACTCAGGCTGACAGAAAATTTGGAATATAAAATTTCTGCTTTTGGTGACAAAATTGGAAAACAATGGATTATTTTGAAGATGATTTACACCAATGTATTATTCAGGGGGATGCTGAAACACTACGTGAATATTTGAAGAAAGGCTTGGATGTTAACCATGCTTTTAGAAGCAACGAAAGACCAGAAAGAGTGGGCCAAACAATGGTGGAAACTGCAATAGAAAATGATCAAATTAATATTGTACAAGCTTTAGTGCAAAATGGATGTAACACAAATCTAAAATATATAGTGGATGTTTTCAACTATACATACATTTTGAAACCATATAAAAAGAAAGAGCGACTAAAATTAACAATTATGTTTAAGTGCATTGTGAAAGAAGATGTCCCAATGGTTAAACTACTTGTACAGGGTGGATTTGATGTCAACATCGTTGATGATCGTGGATGGTCTCCATTGTTACATGCTGTTGATATGGATAACTATGAAATGGTGAAAGCGATTCTGATCAGTGATAATTGTGACGTGAATATAAAAGATACAGCAAATCTTAGGCCTCTTCACATGGCTGCGATGCATGCAAACAGCAAAATTGCTTCACAGCTGGTACGAAGAGGAGCAAAGGTTGATGTTGTGCAAATCAGAGGTTGGACACCTCTTATTCTGACATGTCGAGCAAACTGTGTACAGACCACCCGCTTGTTGCTGTTGAATGGAGCCAATCCAAATCATACTGGATTAAACGGTCATACTCCACTTTCTACAGCTCTCCAGTTTAGCACCTGTAAAGAAATTCCAGAAATGCTGTTAGAAGCAGGTGCATCAGTGGACATAACTTTAATTAAAAGATGCCAAAGTGAAAAATTCCAAAATCTCATTCTTCATCCAGAGCTGATGGGACTGATTAAGTATTGTGCAGAATCTCCTCAAACTTTGAGAACTCGTTCATGTCTTGTAATTAGACATTCATTGATTCATTCATCACAAAACATTCATTTAATGAAAAAAGTGGAGCAATTACCATTACCAAAACTAATAAAGGAGTATATTTTATTAGGACATTTGTAATTGATGTAAATTGTTGATACTCCCATTTTTTGAATAGGTTGTTCTCTTATATGATTGAGCATAATGAATAAAGTCTTTTGATAATGACAAAAAAAGCAATATTTGAGATGAACACAAAGATTCAATTAATCAGAGGCAATAAAGTTTCATGTTATTGTAATAAAAATATAAATAAAAACAAAATACTTTTAAGGTGTAAAATGTTTTAACATGTTTAAAGTCATTATCCTACATCATGAGTACATGTCTCAAACATGTTTTGCCTTTTTCTATGTGTACATGTATGCATGTTTACTTACCATCTAGTAAAAACAAAGGGAACTCATGGAATTATTTCTGTTTTGCATATAAATAATGGTAAAATAAACTTGATAAAACAATGATTATGAAATTTAAAATCCATAAATGCATTTAATACTTGATCAGATTATTATAACCCTTTTCCTTATATATACAAACATGTATTATATTTTAATGATTATTCCTATGCCTAACATTCCAAACTGTATTTTCAAATGCTTTTTTTTAATCAATATTGTCCATGAAATTAATTTTTTTCATTTTCTTACCAATTTAACTGCATCAGACAATTTGACAATTCAAGTCTCTTCAGGGATGATTTCAATTATACTTATTTCATCTTGTTCATTTACACTAGTTATATTATGATTGCAAAACCATGATGTTGTGGCTCTGTATTAAAATAACAGTAAATTAAGGGTTAAATCTATTTTTTTGTATCAACAATTAGTAAATAAAATACATGTCATGTTATCTGAAGAATATCAGTATATGTATAATTTATTATATTTATTTTGGAGTTTTGCCACATTACATAGAATTTAAACATGTTAAAGGGACAATAAACATTCAAAATTACATTTTGTGCTGATATATTTACATTCAGTTATTTTTTGAAATTTTCTTGCCCTCAAAATAATTGTGATGTTTTTGTCAAATCTTCTGCATCTTTAATTTGATAAGATATAAAGTATGTTATATCTGATTTTATAATTATGTTGAAAGAGGTGAAAATAAAGAACATGGCTCACTCACAGTGGACAACAGTATTAATAAATATCTCTTCAAAATGTCGTAAAGTCTGGCATGAGTTTAACAGATATAACCATAAATCTTAGTGGTCTTTACACTTGCATGCTCATAAATAACATCTAAAATTCACTGTTTCTTTTGTTCAGAATAAACAATGACTATTTTTATTTCTGTTTTTGGATCACATTCTTATTCAATTTATCATTGCTTCTCACAGTTGGTCATCTTTTGATTATTTACCTAAAACATTGTAAAATGGAAGTTTTAATTCTGTTCAATAAAGTATTTTTTTCTATAAAGAACTTTTTCCCATGGCCATATACATGTATACTTGAATCATGCTATAAATTGGAAATTTTGTATTGATTATGACATAAATTAATAAATAATTAATTCTCTTAGCCATAAAACACTTCCACAGAGGATACTTAAATAATTAAATCTGTGTCTTAATTAAGAAGATAAGCTTCTTGAAACCTGTATTGATTTTTGTGTATATCTGCTAGATTGATGTGTTAGATGTTTAGTATTAACAACACAGAAGAGTACTTTGTATCTTAATGTCATATCATAAATATCAATCGATTATTTAAAAAAAATAAATTTTCTCCATGTTCAGTATTAAACAACGATGATTGTTTATCAGGAAATTTTATGACATTTTGTTTATCATATTTATGTTTCAATATAAAACAATTTATACATGTTAGAAGTTTGTGTTGTTTCAAGTGGTCACATAGAGTGGTCTGTCTGTTTGTGTTCAAAACCTAACCTAGAGTGGCCCATCAGTCTGTTTGTGTTAAGAGCCTAAAATAGAGTGGTCCATTAGCCTGTCTGTGTTGAGAGCTCCCCATCAGTCTATATGTTAAGAGCCTCTCACTAGAGTGGTCCATCAGCCTGTCTGTGTTCAGGGCTCCCCATCAGTCTATATGTTAAGAGCCTCTCACTAGAGTGGTCCATCAGCCTGTCTGTGTTCAGAGCTCCCCATCAGTCTATATGTTAAGAGCCTAACATAGAGTGGTCCATCAGCCTGCCTGTGTTCAGAGCTCCCCATCAGTCTATATGTTAAGAGCCTCTCACTAGAGTGGTCCATCAGCCTGTCTGTGTTCAGAGCTCCCCATCAGTCTATACATTTGTATGTTAAGAGCCTCTCACTAGAGTGGTCCATCAGTCTGTCTGTGTTCAGAGCTCCCCATCAGTCTATATGTTAAGAGTCTAACATAGAGTGGTCCATCAGCCTGTCTGTGTACAGAGCTCCCCATCAGTCTATATGTTAGGAGCCTCTCACTAGAGTGGTCCATCAGCCTGACTGTGTTCAGAGCTCCCCATCAGTCTATATGTTAAGAGCCTCTCACTAGAGTGGTCCATCAGCCTGTCTGTGTTCAGAGCTCCCCATCAGTCTATATGTTAAGGGCCTTTCACTAGAGTGGTCCATCAGCCTGTCTGTGTTCAGAGATCCCCATCAGTCTATATGTTAAGAGCCTCTCACTAGAGTGGTCCATCAGCCTGTCTGTGTTCAGAGCTCCCCATCAGTCTATATGTTAAGAGCCTCTCACTAGAGTGGTACATCAGCCTGTCTGTGTTCAGAGCTCCCCATCAGTCTATATGTTAAGAGCCTCTCACTAGAGTGGTCCATCAGCCTGTCTGTGTTCAGAGCTCCCCATCAGTCTATATGTTAAGAGCCTCTCACTAGAGTGGTCCATCAGCCTGTCTGTGTTCAGAGCCTAAAATAGAGTGGTCCATTAGCCTGTCTGTGTTCAGAGCTCCCCATCAGTCTATATGTTAAGAGCCTCTCACTAGAGTGGTCCATCAGCCTATCTGTTCAGAGCTCCTCATCAGTCTATATGTTAAGAGCCTCTCACTAGAGTGGTCCATCAGCCTGTCTGTGTTCAGAGCTCCCCATCAGTCTATATGTTAAGAGCCTCTCACTAGAGTGGTCCATCAGCCTGTCTGTGTTCAGAGCTCCCCATCTGTCTATATGTTAAGAGCCTCTCACTAGAGTGGTCTATCAGCCTGTCTGTGTTCAGAGTTCCCCATCAGTCTATATGTTAAGAGCCTCGCTAGAGTGGTCCATCAGCCTGTCTGTGTTCAGAGCTCCCCATCAGTCTATATGTTAAGAGCCTAACATAGAGTGGTCCATCAGCCTGTCTGTGTTCAGAGCTCCCTATCAGTCTATATGTTAAGAGCCTAACATAGAGTGGTCCATCAGCCTGTCTGTGTTCAGAGCTCCCCATCAGTCTATATGTTAAGAGCTTAACATAGAGTGGTCCATCAGCCTGTCTGTGTTCAGAGCTCCCCATCAGTCTATATGTTAAGAGCCTAACATAGAGTGGTCCATCAGCTTGTCTGTGTTCAGAGCTCCCCATCAGTCTATATGCTAAGAGCCTAACATAGAGTGGTCCATCAACCTGTCTGTGTTCAGAGCTCCCCATCAGTCTATATGTTAAGAGCTTAACATAGAGTGGTCCATCAGCCTGTCTGTGTTCAGAGCTCCCCATCAGTCTATATGTTAAGAGCCTCTCACTAGAGTGGTCCATCAGCCTGTCTGTGTTCAGAGCTCCCCATCAGTCTATATATTAAGAGCCTCTCACTAGAGTGGTCCATAATGTCTGTCTGTTTGTCATAAGATATTCACATCTTCATCCATTTAAAAAAACACAGATTATAAAATGATCTTACAGAATCAACATCGGAAAATAGAGAAATTTTAATTAGAGCATAGCAGTAATTGTACTTAAAAATAAATTTAACATACTAAGATATCTCAAAATAATGTGATAAGTTTCTTGTTACACGATATCAGTTTCAACACAGAGTTTTGGGTAAATATATGTCAAAATGTTTGTGTTTGTATTCAAACATAAAAAATTGTTACACTCCTGGTATCCCGATCTGAAATCCACATCCAGAGGAGCAATTGATGAAAAGTTTGTAACGATGGGTAGGTAAAATCTGGATCCAATTCCTACGGAGCAAAATTCATCCATGGGAATTGGATCCAGATTGTACTTATCAAAACTTTTCATTAATTGCTATTAGGGATTTTGATCCCTAGCAGTTTTGGATCGGGATACCTGGTGTGTTGTTACTAATAACCAAGTTCTGCATCAAGGTTTCCATCACCCATTCTGATTCACAAAGTCAAAATTTAATTGGGCCATCAACTATTAAATAGATAAAACAGTCCGATAAAAATATTGTTCCTGCTTTAGTGTAGGCCGTTCTAACTTACCACTATAGGTAGTTATATTCTTTAGCTACACACATTTATACAGCAACATGTGATTTCATTCCTGTTTTTCATCTAAAATATCATGGTGGCTTTCTGACCTAAATGGATAGTTCACGATCTGTATAAAAATATTGGAAAATTTGGTCAATTTTGACATGCATCAATTATTTATTGTCTATATTTTAATAGGTTATAATTACTAGATAAGGAGTCCTTTTAGGGATTCTCTTTTTTAATGAAGCTTTTGGTGAATATTACAGGCATCTTAAGGCTAAATCTACCTGGGTGTACTGAGGAAAATAATTTTTGACTATAGAAAAAGCCTTAAGGCTAAACTTAAACTTGCCTGGTGACCAACTTCTAATGCTGTGATACTATGGAATGTGAGCTCCACTTCTTTCTAAATTATGTGTGGTATTTTATTTCCTACTTCAAACTAGTGGCCATCCTGTTAGTAGCTACACTGCAGGTTTTTTCTCTATTGCATTGTTCTTTAAGACATATGGTCTAGGAAGGTAAAGGCGGTTGTTTGTGCCAACATAAAATGCGCTTGTAACAAGTCGGACTGTCTGTACCATGTGTTATTCTATAATGTATGTCTTTAAAGGGTACTCCCCATCAATATAAAAATAAGGTCATGTGTTATGAACTCTCCATCAATATAAAGATAAGGTCATGTGATATGAATGCCTGCTGAAAATTGACAAAAGATAATAATCTGAGAAAAATTGTCAAGTGTGTACACTAAGTGAGTAGCACATTTTCAATGGAAACACAAACATTTTTAAAGTTTGAAGGCTTTCGTAAGAAATCAAATGAAGTTGATTACACAAGTTAGGTACATGTTTCACCATCCACAAGATTTACCCTTTGTGCAACCAAGCCTAAAATCAAGAACAATCAGGCAACATAAAACACATAATAAATTTATTTGGACTACAGACAGTAATAGTGATTATATTATAAATAAGATCAAAATAAAACAACACAAAAATATTTTCCAATTTTATTCTGCTTCTCCAAAGCAGTACATTTTTAGTTATACATTGTGGAAATTTTTAGTTATACATTGTGGAATGTTAACTCTGTGAGCAACTAAATAAAAAAAACCTTAAATTCACAATCATAGCAAGTATACACTAAAACATAACACTTCAATTTTAATATGCATATCACCCATACACATACATGGGGAGGAAACATAGAATTCTTAATATTAAATGCAGACAGTAGTTTATGAATTTACAGTATTTTTGTCTATTTTATAAACACATTTTTCATCTGATCTTTTTGCAAGCAATGTGTATCAAATCAGTTTAGAAAAAAAATGCCCAATTTGAGGTATCTTTATACTTTTGTGAATGAATTTTTGAACATCAATGTCATGTTTTCAACCTGACAAATTAATTTAAAAAAAAAATGGCAACAAAAGTTCTTTTATGTGAAACTGAAACAATGTTTATAATGTTAAAATTATGTTAAAGTAGCATGTTGCAATTTTGAAAAAGATAGACTGTTATCAGTGTTCTCAGGCTAGTATAAACCATTGTAGATGAACTACTTAGACCACTTGGCCACCAAGGTCCCCTAAAAGTTGAAAAACTGAACATGTTTTAAACAAAACCTCTGTAAGTAAACATGTTTAATCTTAGACTGAACTGACAACATAAATAAAACTTATAATGATCAAAAATGTTTCGTGCTTTGGTAGACACTTTATCACACACATTTCTTTATTGTTTTGACTACACGTTTCTATTGATAATCAACATATTAACTCCCCACAATGTGCAACTATTTGTGTCAAAATTCTTTAATAAGCCCCTAGATGTGAATCTAAAATTCATTTAACATGACCTTGCACTGATCATTTATTTTAACAAATCAATTATAACAGAAATTACAGCAAATTATTCAGAAGCTTAGATGGATATCTATTGTTTTCAAACTATTATTCTGAGATAAAGCTTTTGTTTATTACTGCAATATTAATGAAATCTAATGCAACTAACATATATTGTCTTGGAAGAACTCCACAAAAGTTAATTCAAATGACAATTTGCAAGGATGAGATAATTGTCTTTATATTTCAATAGAAGTAGAAATTTAGATGTCAAATTTTGAAAATCTTTACAATCTTCTTTATAAGAGTTCATCTGATAGATCTCTATCATTATACAACAGTACAAAGAGGTTTAATAATTAATTGCAGGTTTGAAAGAGATTTGACTATTTCCCTATTAAATCTGACTATATTGTATCTATGTTTTAATTTATCAACATGTTATAACATCAAATGGCACAATTGACATAATATCTACAAAATAATTGGTTTGACCAGTTTGTAGAGTGGCCAAAATACAATGTCGGAAACATACTTCTTTTAACTTTGAAGGCCTTTGAGTTCTTTAGAAATGAATTAAAAAATGTAAAGACTCTTATGCAGTCAAGATATATACCAAAGAAATCATCTCTTATAGCCTGACCATGAATTTGAAGATAGGGTGCACTCCACTGTTTTGCATGCTGACTTTTCTCACAAAGCACTTTATACCTTATTTGAAGAGATGTTTTTATTGAAGCAATATACAAAATATGAGCAGACTAATACTCAAAAATGCCATATTATCTAAGTTCTAGAAATTAACAGGTGATTTAAACCACTGTTATTTATAGCTTGGAAAGAAACCCACTATTCATAAATAGCTGTGGAGTGCATCAATAACAATATTTGTAGAAGTCTTATTGCTTGAAGCTACTTGGTTTAATTTGTTCAGCACCAAGTGAGTATTGTTGATGACATTGTAAAATTGGCCAGTCAGAATTAAAATAAATGATGGATGCATACATGATGTTGGACTAAAATTTATAAGGGCAGTGAGCAGAAGTTGGGAAATATACATATTTCTATAAATAAATACATTTTGGGGTAATTTTCTCTATTTTTCACAAACAATAGGTTCTGAGTGATAACAACATTTACATTAAGTCCAGATAATTATCATTTTTTGGAAATTGACTGTGACAGACATATAATTTCTAGTCACCTTTCACTTGGCTGACAATTGTCTTTATACTAAGGAAATAATGAAGAAAGTGTATGTGTGCCTCTTCCAACACAATCTGGTTTCTATTTAACATCTATGTACTACTATTTAAGGTGTCTGTTCTTGGTTTGAGTTTACATAACATTTACGATTTGTATCTATACAATGTTTATAAATAAAACTTCTATACATGTATGTACAAAAAATAATAAATAGTTTTATATGTGCTACATATATATTATATACAAATAACAAGATGATAAAAATACTGATTTATAAAAAATAACTAACAACTTATCACTCAAGCTACAACAAAGAAAAGAACTGCAATAACCACAAAAGGTTCATACACACTACATCAGATAATAAGCATCTACAGGAAACATTGTCAGTTAGGGTTGGTGGGATTTTTAAATATCTGTAAACTCTTATAATTCTTGGCGGTCATTTTGTTTGGGTCAACTATTTTCTCTTCACCCAATTTACTAACTCACATATAGGTGGATAAAGTTTACCTTGCCCTTCTTTGCCATTAAATGTCAAATTCCTACTGTAATCATTCAGGGCATCGTGTGATGTCTACCTAATACCTGAATTACTCTGTTACTTTCATGTCTGTTATGTTAAATGTAAAAGTAAATCTACTGATCTCAAAATATATGACAAAAACTTTAATTGGGGCGGAATCATTAGATATAGAGAAATGTTCTACAGATAACTTGGACATACATTACAAAAGTACATCTTGACCTGTGCTGTATAGTATATGGCATTCACGATGATGGTGATTTACATCCTGTTGATATAAGAAGTCAAAGCAACAGCAACCCAGCAAAAAATGTCACTATAAAATGCTACACATCACCATAAACTCTTCATCTTAGGCAAGACTTTTACTCATGTCTAATTTAGTTTCACTTTTGAAATCGAAAATAAACACATTAGACACAATTGTTTCAATGAATTTACTATCAGGTCCCATAATTTCTCTTATCTCATTAGTTCTTGCACTTCTTTGATAGAGCGCTAAATGAGCAGACTTATGGAATGAGCAAAATTATTGTCCAACATATTGTTTGGATTCACATAACTGTTTTTAAACTTAAATGTCCATACTGTCATCAAACTGTAATTCAGTACACAAAATAAAGCACTTATAACATTACTACAACTGATCTATTAATACAAAACAACTTATGTTAACCATTCACAAGAGGATTTATCTGGATTAAATTATAAAGATTAGAAGAATAGTGCGATGAATCTGTTATAAAGATGCTATATCAGGTGATGTTTTGATGATAAGAAAATTTGTTAAATGCTGAATTACTTCCAGCCATGTTCAGAATTTGTTAAAAATCTATCAGCACCATATCATTCAAATGGTCATGTGAGGAGCTACCCTTGATGTAACCTCATCAATTATGAATGTACACAGCAGTGCCTGGGAACTGCCTTATTTAGATTTCTCATTTTCTTTCTATACTCTTAAAACAAACATATTTCTTGACCTGATCTTAAAATATGGTGTTTACAGCTAACATGAGAGATATTTATCAAACAAGAACATTTGAAAATAGCAAATATAAGTCATTTAGTCCAATTAAATCCAGTTATGAATGATGACACACAACTGACTTTAAGTCTTCACTTTAATGTAAACAGTGATATAAATAAAATGGACGGTTTCTTTAAAAGCTGAACACATTAACATGGTTTGAATAAGATGATTTATCATGATTCTGACGGACTCTCGATTGGTTCTAAGTCAGAAGAATAAGATTCCATTCTCTGTAGTAACTGTGTAGCTACAGGACAGAAGTCTTCAGACCAGGTGTCCTGGAAAAAATGTTTCATTTCTTCGTCCTCATCATCCAAGTCCTCAAATGCACATTCTCTGTCTGTAAATACAAAAATTTATAATATATCATCTCAATTAACCAAATTAAATTTCCAGGTTTATGTCCCCCCTTTATCTCATTTTTAGAAAAGGTGGCCAGGTTTGCTGATTGTTGGAAATACCAGAAACTAACCCGTATGAGGCATTTAGAATATAAATTCTTGACTATTTTTAGCCATATAATCTAACTGTTTTTATTAATATATAGATCTGTATTCAAAGACATTGCAGGGTTATTCCTTATATAACATCAGAATGCATACTTTACATACCTAATAATTCTAACAAAACATCATTTAAGTCTTTAGATTCTTGTTCCCCAAAACAAGAATTAGTACTGGTTATTTTAACGCTGTAATTCCACAAGATTTGACACACCATACTGGCTAACTCCCAGTCTGTTTTGGCAAAATCTCTTAATACTTCTACTAATCTGAAATTATAAAGAGTCATTCATAGTATACAGCACGACACATAAAGTCAGGTCTGGTAAATCTCTTAATACTTCTACTAATCTGAAATTATAAAGAGTCATTCATAGTATACAGCACGACACATAAAGTCAGGTCTGGTAAATCTCTTAATACTTCTACTAATCTGAAATTATAAAGAGTCATTCATAGTATACAGCATGACACATAAAGTCAGGTTTGGTAAACTTCTTAATACTTCTACTAATCTGAAATTATAAAGAGTCATTCATAGTATACAGCACGACACATAAAGTCAGGTCTGGTAAATCTCTTAATACTTCTACTAATCTGAAATTATAAAGAGTCATTCATAGTATACAGCATGACACATACAGTCAGGTTTGGTAAACTATTGACACACAATTTCTAATAAAAATTAAAAGTCAAAAGAGCTCCATTAAATTTTAAAAACTTCACCTTTAACATAGTATATTATTAGTCATGTAACATAATAGAATATCTCTACAACAGTGTAATAATTTCTTTGCAATCTTTTTTAAATATTGATATATCTTAAGGATTAATTTCCATTTAATAGGTAATTTGGTGTTACGACAGACTTTTAATAGTCTCTGTTAATTTATTTACAATTTTTCTTTGAGACCTGGGTCTATTCAAAGCTTGATTTATTTTGTAGACACTAGTCATAAGTTGAGGACCTAATGTTAGCCTGAAGATGTTGTTTCAATATTGGTTTTGTTGGGTTGCTGTCTCATTAATGTAAAAATCCTATGAAAACCTATTGTTAGTCTTATATTACCTTTAATACATACTTTACAATACCCAGGATTATTTTTATACTGACAGATTATCTCCCCATTAACAACATATCATGAGTCTAATATCATAATACTTACTTTGCAATACCGCCATCTTTTTTTAATACTGATCGATTCTCGTCATCCACCATAAAGTTAATGAGAACACCGCAGGCGATGTAAACCACTTCTCTGTTACCAGAATCTAACATTGTTATCATCATCTGATCAACTAAAAACACAAGCAAACATCCATAAAAAATTATCAAATTTTTATCATTATACTTCTTAGATTACAGTTTGAGATTATTTCAATTATTGCTATTTTGTGTATTTTTCCTTTGATCTTTTTTTGTGATAATTTTTCATATCACGCTTCTCGCTTGAGATAGAAAATTATCACTAGTGTCTAAGACCCGTTAGGTAGATTATCACTAGTGTCTAAGACCCTTTAGGTACAGCATATTTTTTCTCAGTCTGGAGAAAGATAATGTATGACGCCTTGAGTCTACATCATTGACGTTGCCTAGGAAAACAGTGATAAACAGATTATCAATGGGCTTTCAAACTCAAGGATGTTTCTCCACTACATCTCATCTGAGGGCTGTTGCCCTTCATTGAGATTGTAGCTGAAAAACACACTTTTGTTTGAAATACCATTGATAATCTATAACTCTATATTTAACACAAATATTTATCAATCAGAGACAATTTTAGTTTATATCCTCAAATCTTTTTTGCATCATATTTTCACAAATTATAGTTTACATTGGACCTTCATATCTTTTAAGTTATTTTATGTCTACTTTTACTGGATAAAAGGTTTGAACCACAGAATTTTGTACATTTGTTACCTGGATTTGTTATTTCAGTGACATGGAAATCATATTAATGACTTTATATAATTTGAAGGTTTACTTTTTATTTACCTTTATTTTCCACCAGATAGTCTCGGACACATTTTTGTCGAGTAAGATTTCCGAAAACTCTCGATGACTCTACCATAGCCTCCATATTATCAGCTAGTACCATTTTTAGTAACACTAAAATCATCAATATAAGCTATAGTAAAATCATTGTTAATGATAACTAAATTCACAATCTATTTGGTTTCTTATTACAAACATAATGACGAACAAATACTTCTAGGAATGCTTTTCAACTATTCAATACTGCGTTTGTGAACTGTGAATCTATTATAGTTTAATATAAAAATAAGAAGATGAGGTATGATTGCCAATGAGACAATTCTCCACAAAAGACCAAAATGATGTAGAAGTTAACAACAATAGGTCACTGTATGACCTTCAACAATGAGCAAAACCCATATCGCCTAGTCTGCTATAAAAGGCATGTTCCTTTCATCATAGGACAACACTGTAAACATCCCATGTATTATATACATGTCCCAGGTTAAGGGGAGGGTTAGCGTCTTCAAACTAGTTTAACCCCGCCACATTCTGTATGTGTCTGTCCCAAGTCAGGAGCCTGTAATTCAGTGGTTGTTGTTTGTTGCTGTATATCATATTTGTTTTTCATTCATTATTTTATACATAAATGAAGCTGTTAGTTTTCTCATTTGAATTGTTTTACATTTGTCATTTTGGGGCCTTTCATAGCTGACTATGTGGTATGTGTTTTGCTCATTGTTGAAGGCCATACAGTGACCTACAATTGTTAATTTCTATGTCATTTGGTCTCTTTTGGATAGTTGTCTTAATTGCAATCATACCACATCTTATTTTTGTATGTAATATTCAATAGTAATGTCTCTAAATACTTGCAGGAGAGTAAAACATGTTGCAGAAGAAGACTTAACTTTACCATTTTTGAAAATCTGCAAAATTTTCTCAAATGTGTACACAAAGTGAGATATTCTTTTTTCCTGAATAAAAAAAATTTGAATGTTAAAAAGTTGGAAACTGAAGGATGAGTTGATTGCACAAATCATTCCTTCTTTTCCCTGAAGGCCTACCAACCTGCCCACATACCCTCATGACATTCACTACACTATAATCTGGAAACTCGGCTTAAACTGAATAAATAGTCTAATTATTTTTAACTCCCCTCTTAATTGTCTAATTATTCCTAACCCCCTCCTAATTGTCTAATTATTCCTAACCCCCTCTTAATTGTCTAACTATTCCTACCCCCCTCCTAATTGTCTAATTATTCCTAACCCCCTCTTAATTGTCTAACTATTCCTACCCCCCTCCTAATTGTCTAATTATTCCTAACCCCCTCTTAATTGTCTAACTATTCCTACCCCCCTCCTAATTGTCTAATTATTCCTAACCCCCTCCTAATTGTCTAACTATTCCTACCCCCCTCCTAATTGTCTAATTATTCCTAACCCCCTCTTAATTGTCTAACTATTCCTACCCCCCCCCCCCCTCCCTAATAGTCTAATTACTCCTACTCACCCTCTATAATTCTCATTTGCTGGTCTGTTATTGCACTAGTTTTTGTATTGTAAAAAGATAAATTATTTATAGTTGCTACAGTATTAAGTGATAACTCTTCACTGGACTGTACATCTTTACATTCTGCAATGGAATAAAAAATATGTATTAAGCAGTTGACTAAATTTTTTTTATGTCTGTTTTGTATCTTATTGTTATATTCCAGGTATTTTACAGCATCGTATTTTTCAACTCTTTTTACTTTGTATATTATTATAGAATATTAACGGTTTTCTCCATTAAACCTTGAATTTCATGGATCATGTGAACTGAAAAAGCAATTGTAACACTTTTTCCAACTTTTATCATTTTCTGCAATAACTATCCCAGGTAAAGGGAATTGAGTGCTCACAAACATGGTAAACTCAGCCACATCTTTTATGTGCCTGTCCCAGGTTATTCAGTGCTTGTGTGATTGGTTGCTGTCTGCCATATTTGTTATTTTTTTTGTTGATTTTGTTGTACGAATTGTTAATCATTGGTAAATTTTTTAATCAAATTGAAACTCATTACGACTTACCTAATATATTAAGTAAAAGTTCAACAAATTGTTGATTTGATGCTAATACTGGTCCCACCATCTCATTAATGGACATGTTGGCAACTACCCGTACAGTTTTAATTAGGACATCTTCACAGTCATTGCCTTTACTGCTATCCTGTTTACTGGTCTCTTTTTCTTTTTCCCTTGATCTAATCTACAGAATATAAATAAACAAGGAATGGCATTTGGAAAGTAATTTTATTCATAAATGGGCTTCTATATTGCTGATGATAAGTTCAACAACAACAAAATTTGGCTTCGAAGGGCTCTCATCTTTTTTTTTAAGCAGGCCTTAAATGTTCTTTTTACATGCACTTGATAACAAAATATTCTCTTTAAATCAAACCTACATAAATTTACAAGTACCTTGATATCTCGATCTAGATAATATTTCATTATAGCTAATAATGCCTCCATTGATTTGTTTTCTTGGAAAAGGCGAAGTCTGGCATCGTCATTCTTAGCTGTCATATTACCTAATATAAAACACACTCGTACAACAACATCCTAAAAAAAAAACAAGAATTCTCATGAAAAAATAGTGATAAACATAAGTTCTATAATTGCTTCTAATTAGATATATTTCTCCACTCAACACAATAAAATATTTCAAATTTAATTGTTCATGGTAGGGAAATGTCTGTTCATGTGATATAATCTGTTTTTGAATGATTTTTACATAAGTAAAAACAAAAATTACATGCCTTCATGGTGATCAACAAAAAAAATCAGAAATGTTTTGTGTGATGTAATATTGCAATGGCATTTACCATGCTTTCAAACTGCTCATGTAATGTCATGGTTCCCACACAAAGAACACCACTTTCTTGCATAATCTTGTTATAAGCACAAGAACACAAAATAAAATCCTATACCTTGTATGTAAATTTTTTCATGCAATTACAGAGCCTCCTACTTATAATGTTTTACAATAACAATAATTTGACTGCTGTTAAAATAGACACTTGATCTTTATGTCATTACTACAGTAAAAATATAAAATCTTATGTTGGATCTTTTTTTAATTTCTTTTTGTTTGTTCTGTTACCATGGTAACTGGACTGAAACAATACTTACTGCTTTGTGTTGTTGTTTGTTGAGTAGATGGATAAAAGACTTGTACGCTGACGGCTGGGTAATGAGAGCCATACAGCAGTCTGTATGTAACGTCACTTTACTGAAATACAAAAGATAGGAATAAATTAAGGTTGTTTTATGCACCCTGTGTTCCAGTCACTCTGACTAAAGGAAGTATATGTTTTCAACATATAAAGTTTATTAATATTCCAATCAGAAGTTAAGTGCAGTTCATCTGGTGTTCCAAAAGTTTTATGGGATGGACAGACACACAGACAGATATGATAACAATACTTATGTAGGAGGATAAACTAAACAATTATATGTAAATCAATAGTCACTACTCCTTATTCTGTAATATATTCATTTTCTGCGGAAGCATGTTTATGGTACATATATAGAACTTTTTTAATTAATCTACCTAAATATTGGTAAAATACGTAGCCTTACCATGCAGGGGTCGTTATATTATGGCCTCTACCCAAAATATTGTTTTATCGCTCCAATGGCTCTCCATACTTTTAGAATTCAACTGTATGGTATGTAATTCCAAATCCATGCATGTTTCTGCAACTTAAGGCTATTTATTGTTATTTTTCTCAGGTGCAATTTGAGACCAAATGCGAACCTCGTAAATTGAAATCGGATGAAACTGAGTTTTGTGGAGGTGTAGGCTTCCCTTTGGTGTCTGGGAAACGCAGTACAGAGGCATAAAACTTCCAAAAATTGTGTCAACCCGCAGGCATATAACTACTGTTCATGTTTATTATTGAAATACACTTAGGGAACAACTACTTCCAGTTGCAGGTCCAGGCGTAGCCAAAAATCTGGAAAATCGCAAAATTCTGGATTTATGGTGGAAATGACCTTATTGAGACTACCATACTTAGATCAGGTTCACTCAGAACTCAGCATTTTTTGGGTCAATGGGTTCACTTTGGTCCACTCTACTTGCAGACTACGGTGAGACACATCTTTCAGCATTTCTTTATCTTACAGATCAAGAAATAGGACGACAAATCATCAAATTTGACGCTTTTGCACCCGAGGACCACCTTTGGGGTAATCTATATCTACTAGTAACCACCTGTATAACAGACCTACCTAAATATACGTGATATATTTAACATGAGATCACCATCAGCAGTGTATGTATCTATAACATAACACAAAGATTCCAGCCCTTTACTGTTTAGTAACCTCTCTCTACTAGAACTGGCATCAGCAAGGTTCCTCATTGCTGCAGTTAACTGAAAAATATATGTCTATCTGCTAAATTCTCAATGTCAAACAGTAAATTCTAAGTAATCAAGAATATTTGACCAGTCAGAAATCACCACAAATCAGAAATTGCTCAAGGGAATTCTCTTATGTAAAAAATAATCTTGCCACGTAATTTTTTTGTTATGAAGTGTAAATAAAGTTTGCTTATTTTTAAAGGAAAATGAGCAATTGAAGAGTCTGACAAATATTTAACAGCTTTCTACATTCATGATTAGCAAGATTTACCAAGATTGTTGTCATAACATACATTAATTTTATTTGTTAATATTATCATTATTTTTAATTTTTGTCGATGTTTAATAAATAATCATTCTCCTTCATGTATTTAAGTATGAAACACTGTCTTGCTTGCTTTTCTGTTGGTTCACTCTACCATTCCCATATCCCTCCCCCTTATTGATAGGCACACATGATAATATACACTGGTCATTTCAGTGCAGAAATGTGATGTGTAAAGTGACTGTGATGTCATAAACATATTGGAGTTGGTATATTTGACCTCAATCAACCATCTTAAAAAATAACAAAAAGAGCTTTTGGTAAACTAGTCTTACCAAAAAGGCTATGTCAACATTTTTACAAAAGACATCTGAAGAAAAAAAATTTAGGGGCACGGATGCTACACATATAAGTACTGAAGTCTAAGAGACTTATATTTTTTATTTACATATGTAGTTAGCTAATAAAGATGTCAAATCTGTTTTTAAATATTCATTTCATGATTGATAACAAAAAGTATATTTGATATATAAAATGGGAAATGGTGAATTAATACACCACACATTTTTGTTTTTCAACTTTCAATTCTCATGACCTACAATACTTACTTGAACTAATATATGTCCTAACTGGTCATTGGGTTTGGTATTTTCTCTATTCTGAAAAACAAAATTTCAATTAGACAAAGAACAAATCTTAATGAAAGGGTTCAATACTACATACAATACAGATCAAGTCTTAGGAATTTGTAAACCCAAACCTTTCCTTTTTATTGACATACACTATCATGGGAAAAGTTAACTAGGGGCTCAGTAGCCCAAGGTACTTATGTTTGGGCTAGCTGGGCCACTAAATTTAAGTTGAAAAAAATCCTTAGTGCTTATGTTAATCTTTCATATTGTCACAGGTTTGGCCCCTATGTTGAGAACGCTGTCTTTTTTCACTGACTATAAATCAGTGTAAGGTTGGAGTACAATATCCACATTTCATTTTTCTTTGTTGTTTATTTTTATTCTCACTGTTTTACTTATTCCTTTCTTCTGATTAATTTTGTAACAATAAGCCCTGATACTATATATGTTCACTGTTTATTCATCACTGTCAATATTCAAGTTATCTAATGCCTCTATTCTGACTTTTTTTGTAATCATGTCCCCAGATATTGTATAAGCTTTGTTTTTATTATTCCCTTTAATAAGTTAGTTAATGCCCTTGTTCTGACCTTGAATTATTGTAATTAGGGGCCCTGTTACAGTATATACTGTACTCACTGTTTTATTCATTTCCATCAATAAGTTAGTTAACACCCTATATTCTGATCTTTAATTGTTGTAACCAGTGGACCTGCCTTGTTCTGACTTTAAATCGTTATAATCAGTGGCCCTGTTACTGTATATACTCACTGTTTTATTTATCCCTATCAATAAGTTAGCTAATGCCTCTATGCAATCCTTTTTGACTAGTTCTTTGACTATTTTGGTATTTCCTGTCATGAACTTGATGGCCCCAACACAGTATATTAAAGCCTCAGATGATGACACTGGGTCTGTGTTCCTAACAGTCTCCAATAATAAATCTGAAAAACAAGAGTGAAAAGTTACCAGCAGTGTATGTTAAAGATAGATTTAAACAAAACATCAGTTTTTTGGTTTTCTTAAAATGGCTGAAACTCATCCCTTTAAATGTTTGTAATGTTGTAATATGTGACTTTTCTCCAAAGAGTCCAGATTAAATAACCTGTTCATTTAAATATATAATTAGCATTACAACATTGGTTGCAATGAATTGCCGTGATTTCCAAGTGAAATAAAAACCGATAATTTCACATGTGAATAAACTCACGCCTCTGACATCCTACAACAATAGGTGTTGCCAAGACTTTGTAGATGATGTTGCATGAAAGCAAATTGAATGCATAAAATAAGATATAGTTCCTTGCATTTTCTACTTTATTTCCATTAAAAAGCCCATTGCCAATGTAATAACTAGAGGCTCTAAAGAGCCTGTGTCGCTCACCTTGGTCTATGTGCATATTAAACAAAGGACACAGATGGATTCATGACAAAATTGTGTTTTGCTGATGGTGATGTGTCTGTAGATATTACTTTACTGAACATTCTTGCTCCTTACTATTATCTCTATCTATAATGAACTTGGCCCGGTAGTTACAGTGGAAAATATTTTGTAAAAATTTACAAAAATTTACAAAATTTATGAAAATTGTAAAAAATTGACTATAAAGGGCAATAACTCCTTAAGGGGTCAATTGACAATTTTGGTCATGTTGACTTATTTGTAGATCTAACTTTGCTGTACATTATTGCTGTTTACAGTTTATCTCTATCTATAATAATATTTAAGATAATAACCAAAAGCTGCAAAATTTCTTAAAATTACCAATTCAGGGGCAGCAACCCAACAACGTGTTGCCTGATTGGTCAGATTTGCTCTAAATGCTTTGGTTTCAGAGATATAAGCCAAAATCTACATTTAACCCTATGTTCTATTTTTAGCCATGGCGGCCATCTTGGTTGGTTGGCCGGGTCACCAGACACATTTTTTAAACTAGATACCCCAATGATGATTGTGGCCATGTTTGGCCCAGTAGTTTCAGAGGAGAAGATTTTTGTAAAAGTTAACGACGACAGACGACGACGGACGACGGACGCCAAGTGATGAGAAAAGCTCACTTGGCCCTTTGGGCCAGGTGAGCTAAAGAGAACAACTAATCAAAGAATTCAATTATTGAAAAATATTCAACTTGTGACCATACAACACTGATAACTATTAAACTCATGTGCTACAAATGTTTGAACTAATGTGTTGTTCGGTCACTTGTTGAATATTTTTCTTTATTTGAATTCTTCTGTAAGTTATTCTATAATAATTGTGAAAGGCTTTAATAGTAATACAAAATTCCATTTAAAAAATCAATAATAACTCTGATAACAGCTCCCTCCTCCTTTGCACAAATGTTATCATAAATGCTAAATTTTAGCAGGGAATATTGAATTGGACAACTTACCTAAAATATCCCCTCTGAGAAACTGTGGGTCATTTTTTTCATTTCTACTAACTTTGAATACTAGTTTACATACACTGGTTAAATTATTTCCACTAACTTTAAACTGAAACAGAAATTAAAAGATCTTGAATAATTCGAAACAGAACATCAATAATAGCAACCAAGAACAACATTTTTGTTAAAGACCAGAAATAATCTTATCTTTTTCAGTTCAGAACTGTTTTTGTTCCAAAGCAAACGTTAACAAAAGTTTTTTTTACCTAAACAATTGATGATATCCATTTTTAAAATTTTTTTTTATTTGATTCACCTATTTTTCTATTCATAATCAACAATTCTAAAAATTAATTATTTTGAGTTTACCTTATCTTAAACAAACTTTATATGCAGTATAATACTGAATGGGTGTTGAAATCTTTTGTACCTATATTTAATTGACTTACACTTAATATCAGTCTTGCAAGTCGAAGTAATACTTTAGGGTCATCCAAATCTAATATTTTGAAGATAGTTTTTAATATGACCGATCGTCTTTTACAATTCTTGCCAAGCAAGTTTTCTTTCAGCAGTATGGTATAAAGTTCATCTGTAAATTTGACCACATGGTCAGCCTCTTTCTCTGTTGATAAAGTATAAATCACAAAATATAGTGTAAATAATGGTTTAACATTAATGAAATACAGCAGCTGTATCTGTATGATTTTTCTTTTAAGTTAACCAGCAAAGACTTTAACATAGGTTTTATATCAAAGTATGTGAAAATAAAGAGGAATTCTTCATTTGAAAAAAGGAGTAACAGAATCTATATAAATTTCTATTTTTAAATTGATAGTTTGGGGCATACACAAATAAGAAAACTATCAAATGACAAAAAACCCAGAAGACTCTTGACTAGACAACCTCTCTTCAACATATAGTGTAAATATATTTACTTTTGTGAAATGTAATTTTTGTATTTTACTGTATCCCATCTAATTAATGGTAGTGTTTGTGGTGGGTTTTAGAATTAACAAATAAATCAGGATTTTTTACTTATACTTGTAAGAAATGAACTTGGCACTAATTAAAACTTGCAGTTAAAAATTTGCTAATTATTTCTCTGTACCAACCCTATTTATTACCTGCTCTCTGTACTGCAAATACAAAAGATACCATAGATAAAAATCTGCTGTCAAAATTGCAAAATCCATTGTTTTACAATGGCAATCAAAACAGCAGACAAAAATCTGCTGCACATGATACCAAATGCAAATGTTTTGAATATAGTTGGAAACACAGATCCTATTGTATGTTGTAGTTAAAGCCAGTGATAGAATGTGTTTACAGATATACCATTGACTAACTCAAATTGCAGTTCTCCAAAATATACATTTTTTGGCAGTTGTTCACAATTTACAATAAATGTCCACATCATTTTATTAACAATATTTTTGTACCATTTATAATGTTTTTTTTTAAAGAATTAACTTTCATAGCTTCTTATTATGTTCCTCCAAACTAATTAAAACTAGCATACTAGAAAAATAATTACCATATGACATCAGACAAAACAAACTATGCAACAAGACTCACTTTTAGCAGAGACAGTCATTTTTTCCAGCAGAGGAGCTATGTGATCTGTATAAAATGAAGCTTCTTCAGGTGTTTCTTCAACTTCTCTTTTACCAGCACTACCTGTAATTAAATATACATTGTCAAGAAAAATTTCCTGTGTAGTATCACACATCTTAGTAGAACATACCATTATCTATTCTAAATAAGAGATTATTACTCCAGGTTTTAATCATATGTCAGCATTATCGAGCTCTGTGCCATAATTCTTCTTTGTTCAATGTTTAAGAATAAGAGTGCACACACTGAAATGTCTCACCTGCTTTATTATGATTGAATTTCATAATTTACACCATATATATAGTTAGACTATTACTTATAGTATCTGAAAAACAGACCTAATTATAAAAAATATTGACCAATGAACCAATAAAATGAGGTCAAGGTCAGATGACCTCTGCCATACAAAATACACATCAAGTAATCATTTTATACACCAAATGTAATTTGCTTATAGTACCTGATAAACGGACAACACCATGAAAACTTAACATTGACCATTGAACATTGAAAATGACGTCAAGGTCAGATAAAATCTGCCAGACAGACAAGTACATCTTACAATCAATCAACACATCAAATATAGTTCACCTATTGCTTATAGTATCTGAGATACAAACTTAATCTTGATCACTGATCCATGAAATGAGGTCATGGTCAATAACACTAACACAGAAGTGACTTAGTTGATTTCTACTTGAATTTAACCAAGTGTATGTAAATGTAGTTAAAATTTCATTATATGTCTGTTTATGTGATATGGTGCATGTATAATTAATTTGTCAAACATTGTATATATATCCTATAAGCTGTACTTGCTTTTGTTAGTCTCTTTCTTCCCCTATATAAACTCTATTTTCTTCTTTTCTATTGATAACTGACAAGACTAATTATCATGACTAAATCACTTACCTGTTCTGCCAGTACTTCCAGCACTAGATGTCCTCTTACTTCCTCCACTCCCAACTCTGCTTTCTTCTCTACTGCCAGCACTGAAATAACATAAGTCATAATATCAAACACTGAAAAAATATTTGTGCATAGCAACCACATTAAAGCAACTGCTAATTAAATGCTCTGCAAGGCGCAGTTTGATGCGATTGCAGAGGTCGAACCCTGAATAGTTGGGGCATGTATGAACACAACATTCAAGCTTGATACAGCTCTGAATTTGGACTGTGATTAAATATTTGACACAGCATAGGTTTCTGTCACAGAATGAGTGTGGTTTAAGAACTTAAAAATTTAAAATTAGACATTTACCTATTATGGTCCAATATCCAAAATCTATATTCATGGTGAGATTCAGCATATCAAAGAACCCCAAGAATTCAATTTTTGATGAAATCAAATAAAAAAAGTTTAATTTTGCACCCTTTGGACCTCAATGTGGACCATTTTGATAACAGGGCCCAAAATCCAAAATCTAAATACACAGTTAGATTCAGCATATTGATTTGGACCAACTTGAAAACTGGGTCAAAAATCAAAATTCTATACATTTCAATATTCAGCATATCAAAGAACCCCAAGAATTCAATTTTTGTTAAAACAAGAGTGCACACGCTGAAATGTCTCGCCTTCTTTACTTATCATTGATATTATGTTGATAGTCCTAAATATAAAGCTTTATTACAACTGTCACATAAACTTAACATTAACCAAGAAAACTAAACATTGACCAATGAACCATGAAAATGAGGTCAAGGTCAGATGAACCATGCCAGGCAGGCATATACAGCTAACAATTCTTCCATACAACAAATATAGTTGACCTATTGCTTATAGTATTAGAAAAACAGACCAAAACACAAAAACTTAACACTGAGCAATGAACTGTGAAAATGAGGTCAAGGTCAAATAAAACCTGCACGACTGACATATAGATAATGAAATATTTCCATACACCAAATATAGTTGACCTATTGCATATAGTATTAGAAAAAAAGACCAAAACTCAAAATCTTAACTTTGACTACTGAACCATGAAAATGAGGTTAAGGTCAAATGACACCCAGTGTTCTCCCCAGGCCGTTTTAGCGTCGCGGCACCGAGACGCTATATTTTTTTCCTGTGATGCTATAATAATTTCCGCGACGCTATAATTATTTTGAGGATGCTATTTTTCTTGTCTCTATATCGCAAAACCATGTCCTAAATTTTGAACTTTCATCTAATTACCGCTTGTGATCATAAAAATTATATCACCTTTAACTGTAATCCCTTCAAGTCCGACAATAGAGGCAATTTAGAGTGATTAAATAGGTGTAAATAGCCCTTTGGGTAATAACTGAATGGATACTAATACCCCAAGCTGACACTTGTGACATGACTAATACCACGTGGTCCAATCGCAAATTTCAACATGGAGAAAATTTAATCAGAAAATCGAAAAACAATTCGAAATCTACGTTTGCATTAATCCAAATTCAAAGATACAAACGATTTCTCTCTTTAAGAAAAGAGGTTAGGTCGTATATTTTTACAACTTTAAAAAAAATTACTTTCTTTCATTTCCGGTATCTAGTTAATCGAGAGCGTACATGGCGTATATTAAACATTTTGATTTTGAGTTAAATAAGTTTGATACTTCTTTAGAAAGAGATCATAATTGGCTTTAGTTAATGTTTCATCCATTTAATGCATTTAAAGCGTCATATGCATTCCCAATCTCTTGTCAAACATTGTTTATTTTCGTAAATTTTTCTTCCGCCGCCATTATATTTGTGTAAACTACGGATCGGAACCGGACCAGATATGACAAAATTCCGCATTTTTACGATAATAACTACAGATGCACACATGGCACAGTAGACAGAAAAAATTATCACAAAAGAGAAAACTACGCATTCCACACGCATTAATAGACTATCTATTAGATATCTTTGCTAAAAGTATTCTCTTTGAAAAAGCATTGTTTTAATATACTGACTAAACATGCTAAAGTAGCTTAACTTTGTTAAAAATATATATCATTTTGATATAAAGAAACAACTGGGACTAATTCATTGAGTACCATTAAACAATGAATTTCATAGACATGATAAAGAAAAAAGTTTTTTAATTGAAATTTTATTGCTATATGATACATTCTCTTCCCTTTTTATATAAAAACCAGTTCTTTTTTTTGCTAGATATTTAGAATGGTATATATACAGGTTGCACTATAATAAACCATTCATTCATTCATTCATTTAGTTGAGTAGGTAGGGTAACTGGAACCACACATATATTTTTATTTGGTCCAAGAGGAAAAAAATAATTCTGTAACTATAAATGAATATAGAAAACATAAACTGAAACAACTGTTATCATGGTTATAGTTTAATTGTATTCTCAGTTATGAATTGAACAATATAAACATATATAACATAAAGGAAATAGATCATCGCCCCGACGTGTCAAATGTCATTGAAAAAAAATGTTTATTTTTTTAAGCCAAATGTGATGCTATCCAAAATTTCTGGGGAGAACACTGACACCTGCCAGCTAGACATGTACACCTTACAATCATTCCATGCACCAAATATAGTAGACCTATTGCATACAGTATAAGAAAAACAGACCAAAACACAAAAACTTAACTATAACCACTGAACCATGAAAATGAGGTCAAGGTCAGATGACACCTGCCAGTTGGACATGTACACCTTACAGTCCTTCCATACACCAAATATACTTGACCTATTGCTTATAGTATCTGAGATATGGACTTGACCACCAAAACGTAACCTTGTTCACATGATATGCCCGTCGTCTTGTGTGTGAATTTTTATGCAATAAGCATAAATAGTTTCTGACATACGGCGTGACATGCAAAAACCCCCTTTTTTTTTTACAAAAACTCAATATCTCTAAAATTAAATTTTGAATCAAAACCAAAAAGTATACAGATCTTTAGATTAATATAACTAAGAAGTGTGTTAAATTTTAAGCAATAATCATAAATCGTTTTTGAGATACGGTGCGACATGTGAAAACCCCCCTTTTAAAAAAAAAAAAATCAATATCTCAAAAATAAAATTTTGAATCAAAACCAAAAAGTATACAGATCTTTAGATTAATATAACTAAGAAGTGTGTTAAATTTTAAGCAATAATCATAAATCGTTTTAGAGATACGGCGCGACATGTGAAAAACCCCTCCCCCTTTTTTTACAAAATACTCAATAACTCAAAAATAAAATTTTGAATCATCACCAAAAAGTATACAGATCTTTAGGTTAATATAACTAAGAAGTGTGTAAAGTTTTAAGCAATAATCATAAACTGTTTTTGAGATACAGCGCGACATGTGAAAAACCCCTCCCCCTTTTTTAACAAAATAATCAATATCTCTAAAATAAAATTTTGAATCATCACCAAAAAGTATACAGATCTTAAATATTAATATAACTAAGAAGTGTGTAAAGTTTTAAGCAATAATCATAAATTGTTTTTGAGATACGGCGCGACATGTGAAAAAAAACACACACCTGTTTACTTACTAAGTCCCGTAACTCAAAAAGTTTTAATCTTATTTTCACCAAAAAGTATACAGATCGTTTGACTATCATAAGAAACAACTATGTTAAGTTTCATGAAATTTGGATAAGTCATTCTCAAGTTACGGTGCGACATGTTTACGCCGGAAAGACAGACAGACGGATGCCGGACATTTGTATTACATAATACGTCCCGTCAAAAATTTGACGGGCGTATAAAAACTGTTAACTTTTTTTTCAAGTAGTCACTGAACTATGAAAATGAGGTCAAGGACATTGGACATGTGACTGACGGAAACTTCGTAACATGAGGCATTCATATACAAAGTATGAAGCATCCAGGTCTTCCACCTTCTAAAATATAAAGCTTTTAAGAAGTTAGCTAACGCCGCCGCCGGATCACTATCCCTATGTCGAGCTTTCTGCAACAAAAGTCGCAGGCTCGACAATAAAACTAAGTTTAATTTTGGATCCTTTGGACCTTAATGTGGACCAATTTATAAACAGGGCTCAAAATCCAAAATATCAATACATGGTTAGATTTGGCATATGTAAGAAACCCAGGAATTCAAGACTTTGATTTAGACCCCATTGAATTTGGTCAAGAAAGAAGCAATTTATACAAAGTATTAGAAAAGTGTTGTTTTGGCCCCTAATTCCTAAACGGTTTGGGCCATAACCTCCAAAATCTATCCCAACCTTCCTTTTGAAGTATGGAACCTTGTGGTACAATTTCATATAGATCCATACACATTAAACACAAGTTATTGTCCTGAAACCAAATATCCTCAGACGACGATCACAACAACAGCGCTGACATCGCTATACTATTATACATTTTACAGCTGCATGCATATTTTTGGGGTCGTATAAAAATTGTAGGAATCCTATTGTCTGCACGTATATTTTTGTCTAATGTATTTCAGATTAATATTATTATATACCTTTTACTTTGAAAAAGACATTTATACTTGACAACCGGAGGACTGCAGAGTTAGGTGCTCTCTAATGATTTTTTCTTCATCTGAAAAACTTTTCACCATTCTATCAAAGTATATCTAGTGTTTCCCGCAGGATGTTTTGGCGTGGTATGGTGCCCTGCCCTTTTTAGGAAAAATATTTGGCGCCATGCCCCTTTTCCGTCGTATTTTAGAACGCCCCGCTGTAATTTAATATCGGTTCTGTAATTCATCTTTTAGGAAGACCATTTCCAGTTATTTCCCTTGGAACGAAAGTCAAAATTTTAGTGGCTGACATTTATTGAATTTCGTAATGTTTGAAGTTTTGAAGCAACAGAGTACAAATACGATTCATGATTGGATCTAATAGGGACAACATCGATTTGTACCTCTACGAATTTAAAATGTAGACAAATTAAAAAGGAACCAGGCGATCGTTTGAGTTATAATTTTACGATAACATTACCACTGATAATTTACTTAAACAATCCGATGTTTGTTTATATTTCCAGTTTATACTATTCGGACAGTCGAGATGTTGGATTGGGTGTGAATTTACGACGGCTTTCTTACTGTTGTTACCTTAATAAAATTAAAGTTAAGAATATAGCTGATTTTGTTTTGAATAGTACAAAAAATCAACAACGTTTCAATAAATAAAAAAACACAGATGGAAGAAAAGATGAAAAGCAGAAGAATATGTATAGTAAGCCTTGCTATACAAATCTTTGAATATCCTAAAACTATTTGTACAGTTATGAGCCAAGGTAGCTTTGATTGGTATAAACATGCGAGATCCAAAAGGTATTTGGCACTAATTCTTTTGACAAGTTTTGTGCATCTAAAAAGCAATGCATTGCATGCCATATGCTCTTGGTCATGAAAAGTCCACTTTCACAACACATCCTTAGACAATCAGTCTCAGTGATCCAGTATTAAAATTTATAACTGGAGTTGTTGATTGAAATGAGGCAGTTGCACAATGAGCATGATCAAAATTCTATTAGCTGAGTCTAGAAGTGATAATTTTATTTCAAAAAGGAATTAAATTAACAACCTAATATACATATCTTTATTTCTTACCAATAAATATGAAACAATGGTATATTCGATTAAATCACTATCCATTACAGTACCTTTATATCAATGTAAAGAGTGCCCTAAAAGTGTAGTCCTCCGCACAAAGGGTGCCCTTAAAGTGTATCCAATCGCGCTTAGAGTGCCCTCTGAGAAAAAATTACCCTGCCCTTTTCAAAGCTGCAGGAAACACTATATATTCAATCCCTCTTATTAAGATATAAATATAATTTACCTTCTGGGAGGACTTCTAACAGCTGCAGAGCTAGGTGCTCTGTGTGGCATTTCTTTGCCATCTCCTTCTCCCCTCTCTTCTAGAGGTATAGGTTGTGTTTCCTCCCGACCCTCTACTGGAGTTCTCTCCTTAGGACCACTATTTACTCTCTTAGGTGGTTCTGAATCTGGTGCTTTTACTTGTTTTGATACTACAATAATAAAACATGTACAAATTTTAATATACATAGCTATACTGAACCAGTCTCATGTCAGGATTTTGTCAGTGCTTTTTACTCTTTGTGTGTTGTATTTTTGTCTGTTGGGAATCAGGGGTTTATGACAGATCTTTGATAGATATAATTGTTGTTGTTATTGGTTTTGGTAGGCGGCTTACTTATGTAGTAATTGCGCCTTAAATTCATATAACATAAATATTATGTATATATACTTTCAGTTCTTAATTTATTTTTAGTATTACGTTTTGGCGAGTAATTATATGAAACTTTGACGAACATGGTTGACTGTGTTACAATAAAGTATTTATATGTAGAGAGAAAAAAAAAACACATAACAGAAGGTACATGTAATAGGAAAATGAGAGAGAAAAAAAGCAAATGATACTTCCTAATGAAATGTACATTATTAATTGATAGGTATCATAAAATTGTTTAGAAATTTCATCTGGTTGTTCACCTTTGTGTCGTCTGTGATATACTTATAAAAAAAAGTATATTTAGAAACATAAAACAAGACATGCGCTAGTTAAATGCTACCAATGTAAGGACGTCTCCAACGATTGATGTAGCAAATAAAGAATCCTTAACCCTTTCGCCGATGAGTCTAGGTTTACCGGGATTCACGCTTCAGACAGCTGACAATGAGTCCCGTTTTACCGGGATCGGAATACCTCTTTTATATTTCCCGCTCAAAACAGTGCAAACACGAGTTATCTTTCTTTGTTGAATACCCGGATGAAAGTGTAAACATGGCGCTTCTGTTTATTGAAAACCGTGTCAAAATCAGAGGAAATTTATGGAATTTACGAGAATTTAAAATGAGGGAACATTTTTTTTGGAAGAATATGGAAGAATTGAAGCCAAACTAGTATACTTTTTTGACATAAAATGTCGTTTTATGTACAAAACACTTGGAATGGACATCTTTCAGTGTAAGGAATTTGTTCAGCCTCATTAAATTTTTCAAAATTTTGCCGTTTTGGGTTAAAAAATTACGATTTTGGGTCAAAAAGTAGAATTTTGAGAATTTCACCTAGATAATGCCGAAAATTTGAAATTTGAATATTTTATGAAGAAAAAATTATCAAAACATGAACAAAACTGTGAACATGGTATTCATGGTATTAGTGAATAAAATAAAGACACAAATAACTAAAGATAAGTTTTTATTGACATTTATTATGAAGATCTCCCACTTGAGTAATAGTAGCCAGGGAAGCCATCGTCTCAGAGTAGCTTCTGTCTGGGCAGCTATCGGTGAAAGGGTTAAGTAAGGATTGATTGTAGTTTTTCCTTTTCCATAACGGCAAGTTGCGTCAATTTTTCCAAATAAATTTCCAAAGACATACTGGTAGATATAAGAATATAGTCTGTTAATTTTTTTCATCATTTATCTAAGTTAGGACAATAAAGAGCTTGACATAACAATGCATAATGTATGTAAACTTATCTTTTCATTAAGAAAGTGTGTTGACCTCTTATATATTTACTCAATATCTTTTTTTGTTTATAACAATTAGTGAGTAATGAAGTTTTGCAATACTGGATTCAAATTCAATTCAAGAACCTTATTGAGCGCGCTCACATACCCCACGTCCCCACATTGTCACTGGAGAAATAAAATAACTGTAAGAAAAAAAAATTGTATAGGAAAAAACAAGAGTGCACACACTGAAATGTCTCGCCTTCTTTACTAATCATTGATATTATGTTGATAGTCCTAAATATAAAGCTTTATTACAACTGTCACATAAACTTAACATTAACCAAGTAAACTAAACATTGACCAATGAACCATGAAAATGAGGTCAAGGTCAGATGAACCATGCTAGGCAGGCATGTACAGCTAACAATTCTTCCATACAACAAATATAGTTGACCTATTGCTTATAGTTTAAGAAAAACAGACGAAAACACAAAAACTTAACACTGAGCAATGAACCTTGAAAATGAGGTCAAGGTAAAAAAAAACCTGCGTGACTGACAAATAATCATAATATATTGCCATACACCAAATATAGTTGAACTATTGCATATAGTATTAGAAAAAAAGACCAAAACTCAAAAACTTAACTTTGACCACTGAACCATGAAAATGAGGTCAAGGTCAGATGACACCTGCCAGCTAGACATGTACACCTTACAATCATTCCATACACCAAATATAGTAGACCTATTGCATACAGTATAAGAAAAACAGACCAAAACACAAAAACTTAACTATAACCACTGAACCATGAAAATGAGGTCAAGGTCAGATGACACCTGCCAGTTGGACATGTACACCTTACAATCCTTCCATACACCGAATATACTAGACCTATTGCTTATAGTATCCGAGATATGGACTTGACCACCAAAACTTAACCTTGTTCACTGATCAATGAAATGAGGTCAAGGTCAAATGAAAACTGTCTGACGGGCATGAGGACCTTGCAAGGTAAGCACATACCAAATATAGTTATCCTATGACTTATAATAAGAGAGAATTTATCATTACAAAAATCTTCACTTTTTTTTTCAAGTAGTCACTGAACCATGAAAATGAGGTCAAGGACATTGGACATGTGACTGACGGAAACTTCGAAAAATGAGGCATCCATATACAAAGTATGAAGCATCCAGACCTTCCACATTCTAAAATATAAAGCTTTTAAGAAGTTAGCTAACGCCGCCGCCGGATCACTATCCCTATCGAGCTTTCTGCGACTTTTTAGGCTCGACAAAAATTGAATCATAATTTCCTGTCGATATGCACATCTACATAGTATGTCCTTATTATCTACAAAGTTTCATGAAATTCTGTTGTGTGGTTTCAGAGGAGTTGCGATGACAAACTGTTGCAGAGGTATATTGAAGCAAATAAGTTCAAAGGGGTGCAACTCCTAGAAAAAAAATTGAAACATAAATTCCTGTCGATATGCACATCTACCTAGTATGTCCTTATTATCTACAAAGTTTCATGAAATTCTGTTGTGTGGTTTCAGAGGAGTTGCGATGACAAACTGTTGCAGAGGTATATTGAAGCAAATAAGTTCAAAGGGGCATAACTCCTAGCAAAAAAATTGAATCGTAATTTCCTGTCGATATGCACATCTACGTAGTATGTCCTTATTATCTGAAACGGTTTCATGAAATTCTGTTGTGTGGTTTGAGAGGAGTTGTCATGACAAAAGGTTGCAGTAGTATATTGGGCAAATAAGTTCAAAGGAGCGTAACTCCTGGATAAAAAATTGAATCGTAATTTCCTGTCGATATGCACATCTACGTAGTATGTCCTTATTATCTACAAAGTTTCATGAAATTTTGTTGTGTGGTTTCAGAAAAGTTGAGATGACAAACTGTTGCAGTAGTACATTAAAGTAAATTAGTTCAAAGGGGCGCAACTCCTAGAAAAAAAATTGAATCGTAATTTCCTGTCGATATGCACAACTACATAGTATGTCCTTATTATCTAAAAAGGTTTCGTGAAATTCTGTTGTGTGGTTTGAGAGGAGTTGCGATGACAAGAAACAGGACTGATGGACAGACGGGTCAAAAACATTATACCCTCTGCAACTCGTTGCCTGGGGTATAATAAGTGATGATTAGTGTGTGAAGATATTTTGACTGTTATAGACAATCTGTGAGAGATGGGGTTTCATTACGTTTAGACTTACAAGGTTTTGACTGTTCTGGACTTACGGTCAGTGAGTGACAAGGTTTTGCCTGTTCTAGACTTAAGGTCAGTGAGTGACGAGGTTTTGCCTGTTCTAGACTTACGGTCAGTGAGTGACGAGGTTTTGACTGTTTTGGTTGACTCCTCCACACTGTTTCCAGAGTATAGTCGACTGTTTCTGGTATACTTTCTCTGTGTTTTATTAGGGTCTGTTGGAGGCTTTGGAGGTAATGGACTACATGTACTCTCTGAACTGTCTAATTCTGGGATCTGTGGTGTCTGGAAATTAGAACATATTGTTATCATGCATACAAAAATAGACTAAAGATTCAATGGCTGGGTTGCAATTTTTCTGTTTTGTAATTTGAATATAAGGGGTAATAAAAAAATATTTGACATGCTTTAATGAGCATCTACTTGCAAAAATAAAAAGGAAAATCAACTTAAATGAGCAATAGGGTCATACATGTATTATATTATGTAAGCAAATGAAACTTCACAGGCTTTTTAAAAATCTTACATATCACACAAAAATAATTCTTATACATTATTCATCTATGATTGATTGATTTGTTGGTTGCTCATCTTCCATGGTTTTTCATCTATGAAATGAAATCAAACACACTTAGAAAAATTGTCATTAATACACAACTTCACATGCTTTTCGATGTATTTATATTGATGTTTATATCAGGTCACAAGACCACTGAGAGTCTTCTGAGGTCAGTTCGATTGTTAATGCTAAGGCATCTAGTTCTAAAATAAGTACAAATGCTTATACTTAATTACTAGTTCATGTATTGTTTTTGTTTTCTATGGAACTTGTATAATTCTGGTAAATATTTTAGTATATTATTAATCAAATTAAAAAGATTTTTAAGCCAATCAGGTGGTAATAAACTTTTAAATGGTTGATGGGAAATATGAAACTAGACTTAATATATTAGCAAATGTATTGATATCACTAGAGTTAAGTAGAAATTGTTATTTAGGTAGATTTTCCCCCACCAATCCCCCACAGCTGACAATATGGTCCTCCCAACATAAATCAACAAGAAAATCATAAATCATTTCATATCTAACAGTTGAATTTGAATGCATTGAAACTATTGCAATTAAAAGAAAATGCTTATTTTTTTGCCTAACTTTTTTTTCACTGAACAGCAAAAAATATACACCATATTAATGGCCATCGTGGATTGGCAGAATCTAAATCCACCTGAGCTACAGAGAGAAACATAAACAACATATACAGTGAATGCTTACTTCTTCAGGAAAAGATGTAGATATAATACCAGGCTTCTGAAAATGTAAGATGTCATGTGAAGGATGTGATCAGGCTAAATTAAACTGTAATCATTTATTCCTGTTATTCAAATATAGAATTAAAAACTTTAAGTCAAAGTTAAATTTCAATTACTTTCACCAAGTATATAGCAGAATACAAATTTGTAGACAGTAGTTATAAAATAAATGTGAAACTTTTGGTGTTAACCAGGAATTAATCATCATAGGAAAAGAGTATATATATTCACATGCTTGTTATTTCAGTATGTAGAAACAAATTAGATAGCAGAGTTGTAGAAAGATGAAAGATTTTACATATTTTCAAATAACTTTTTTTGGTCAAAATTATTGCAAGAAACACAACGAGTTATTGAAGTGGTACATGTTCGATCCTTTATAATGTTGGTGTGATTTGTTGATATACAACACATTTCTATCATGTCATCAATTTAATTAACAATTTTACACATTCAGTTTCATAACTATTTTCATTTGATTAGCATAAAATGTTAACATGATCAAATCCTGTCCACACATTTTTTCTAACTTTTATATTTGTAGCTTTTAGAGACATTTTTACATAGCAGGCAAAATATAGTTAGTCTAAGGGGTAACATGACCAATGCAAAGATTACACAGACTAATTTTATTACAAATAATGTGTATGCATGTGCATGTACATGTAAAATGTTATGTACTGATAAAACTCACTTAAAATATCCATAAACCCAGCAACACAAATTATATATGTATATTTTTTGTAATAATTAAATTGTAATTTCTAATGTCATTACCATGATTATTGTGTACAGATATATTTTATTTATAAATATATGTTTCACTAATGATTAACGAAAAATATGATTTTCTACATACTTTAAACAGGGCGACTCTATACAACATGCTCAAATTGTCTATACATTGTACATGTACATTTTATAAGAAAAGCATGCATGGATAGCCTCACAAGAAAATGTGCATTAATATATATATAACATTTCAGCAAAAACTCACATGGTCCAAAGGTATTAATCTGGCCCCTGAAACAGGTCTGGATTCTGGCCCATCAAAATGTTTGGATGAAAGGCTAAAATAAGATTAATATTTATTTCTTGATTCATTCAATCTCACCACATGTATTCTCCAGAAAAAATATAAATATATTTCCTTTATTCCAAATAAAGAGACCAACATTCACATACTTATAAATTTTAAAATACAAGCCATGTCACAAGTGGAGCTGAAACTAATCACCCTCTATATACATTGTAACTCCAGAGTTCAACCTGGGATGTAAGCATGTTAGGTAGGGTTCCTAATCATGCTAATGCTCTATCATTTTTGTGCTGTATTTTGGGGACTGTTGTTGGGTCCTTTTGATCATTTTTATTAAACTTAGTCAACTCCTTTGTTACAGGAAAATTAAATCCACATTGTAGGGGACACAACTCCGATCTCATAGGATTTTTTTCACATTAAACATTAATGCTAATGTTTAACCACTAATACAATGTAGCACTGACATTAGAGTTAATTATAATTTTTTAAACAGACCATCCTAATAAGATAAATCTATAGATTACATGAGTGCATGATTTTATAACAAGAAACATTGTTAGAGAAAGTTTCCAACCCTTTATCCCTCCTTACATTATGTACCAGAACATTTCTATATGACCATGTATCAATCAAATGAACCTAGAATTGATGGAAAGAATTCAGTTCTGGTCACATGATCATGAGGAATTCAAACATTAAATCACCTGAATGCACTAGGAGGTCTGGAATCTGGATTTCTACATGTTGTTGTGGGAAACAGACTTCGACGTTCATCTCTCGGAGTAAATGGCCTCTTGGTTGGTAGTGACCGAGGGTTTTTTATGCTTCTTTTAGCATCACTTATGATTTCTGATGGTGTTGGTACATTTTTAGGAGGAATATAAAATGGTCTCTCTGGTTTGTTCTTTTTCTGATCCATTGCTATCAGAGTTTAAGATTCAAGTCATTATTTCTTCCTGAAACAGAAACAAATTTAATGAAATCAAAATAATGTTAATGCTTGTAAAACCTTTTTACCTTGCAAACTGTTTAAGAACTCTTTAAATACAAAGTAAACTATACATGTTCTCTTTAAATACAAAGTAAACTGTATGTGTACTCTTTAAATACAAAGTAAACTGTACATGTACTCTTTAAATACAAAGTAAACTGTATGTGTACTCTTTAAATACAAAGTAAACTATACATGTTCTCTTTAAATACAAAGTAAACTTTACTTTACTCTTTAAATACAAAGTAAACTGTATGTGTACTCTTTAAATACAAAGTAAACTGTACATGTACTCTTTAAATACAAAGTAAACTATACAAGAAATAAAAATATTGAAGCCCATAAAGCTAAATAGCTCTGAGGGAAAAGATGGCCGACCATTGATAATAGCATGAATAGTATTTCTTCCCAAACATACTTCAACTGCACAGGTCTGTGCTATTTTAAAATTCAATCTAAATATAGTTTTTAAATTATAAAAATTGTAAATGTCTTTAGTGAAGTGTTTTATACAGATAAACAATAGAATTATTGTGGTTAAGTTTTTGCTCTACTTAAACCTCCTTCTTGGAAATTCAATTGCAATAATTTTAAAAGAATTCCCTGTTAATATTCTTATCAATCCAATGTTCTTAGGCCAAATAAAAATATATGAGTGGTTCCAGTTACCCTACAGTACATACCCTATTTTCTAGTCTTAATAATAGCCTACCCTAAAGAGATATAAGAAGATGTGGTATGAGTGCCATTGAGACAACTCTCCATCCAAGTCAAAATTTATAAAAGTAAACCTTATAGGTCAAAGTATGGTCTTCAACATGGAGCCTTAGCTCACACCGAACAGCAAGCTATAAAGGGCCCCAAAAATTACTAGTGTAAAACCATTCAAACGGGAAAACCAACGGTCTAATCTATATAAAAAACGAGAAACACTTATGAACCACATCAACAAACGACAACTACTGAACATCAGATTCCTGACTTAGGACAGGTGCAAACAAATGCAGCGGGTTTAAACGTTTTAATGGTACCAAACCTTCACCCTTTTTCTGATGCAATAGTGTAACATCACAACATAGAAAGACACACTATAAAATATCAACTGAAATAGCTTATCTCAATCAAAGGACATATTAACACCAGTGAACATACACTGAACAAACAAATTTGACCTATGATACAATGTAAATACAAAATAAATAAACTCAGGGAAGAATAATAAAAGTAACATGTTATACCGCTATGAAATGTAAAACAATTTAAGAAAAACAATATGCTCGAACAAAAATATCAGCCATTTGCAATTACTTTTAATAAACACAGGTAAATGAAAATAATTTTGTTGTTAGGTATACGTATACAGTTCAAATAGAGAAAGGAAATATTTTTACAAAATAAATAATTTTGATGTTCATAGTACAAAGTGAAAATTTATAGTAATACCAAACACTTATCAAAGCTGGTATATAGACCAGATATAACCCTGAATAACATTAAATAATAAAAAAGCATTACAATTAGTATCAACAGGTCAAATAAACAAGAAAGTACGATTTGAGAATACAATGTACTCGCAGTTACTGACAGCTAGTTAAAAGCCAAAAACAATTAATAATAAAAAATCATGCATCAGAGACTAAAATCAACTAAAGATTTTTTTGTCATATTCATTAAGCACTGTTAAAGTCAGAATGTTGCTCCCATAGACTCAATGTAAAAAAAAAACATAAAATAAAAAAAAATCCCTACCTACAATGTACCTACCCTAACTTTTTTTAGATGTAACTGGAACCACACATACTATTTTATTTAGCCTTAGGTTCAAGCATACATTTTTACTAGTCTTAAATCACTAGTCAATCAGTTCTTCTTATGGCTTTAGAGGGCAATAAATAGAGATCAAATATATATAGGCGAAAATTTTACAAGACTGCTAACCCATAAATGGTCACAGTCCCAGAACCTCTCAAAAATTAGGAAATTTAATTAAATAATAAACAACTGAAGAGATAGAGAATGGTTACATGTAAATTATTTCAAGTATGAAAGTCTTGGGAAAACCGTGTCCAAGTTACAAGTATTAGTGTGTTTGGTATAGACAGAAAGTTATTCTTTTTAAGGGTTGCATGTTTTTACAGAACAAAACCATGTGCAAAAAATGCAGCAAAAAAATGTAACCTTTGAAATTGTTGTCATGCACTATAACCCCCTGGGGATTTTCAAAAGTTGGCAGGTATTATTGAAATGTTCAGGACTTACAAAGTATTTTTATTCATAAAATTTTTTTAAATGAGTCGCAAAACGGTCTTACTAAAAGATGAAACACAGTGCTGATCATTCAATAAAGACGACAGGCACTTACAAATATGGAAAATGGTGTCACACCTTCCCATTTCATCCAGAAGAAATCACTACAGTTTATGTTGTGTTATGTCGATTGGCGACACTGATGATAGTGATCTCTTGCTCTTGATCCCCTTTGTGCCTTCAAAGAGCTGATTCAACTTGGGTTTATCCCCCTTTAGGCTTCACATGATGGTCTTAATGCAAGTGTGATTATTCTGCTGAAAAGCCTTGCACAGTTAAAAAAGAAGGGAAAGGTATTTCATCCCAAACGGACTATTCTTACACCTTAAGATTTCGGAGATTGGTCCCAACCTGTCATGAAACAAGTACATGTCAGTCCTGTATGTGTCAGGAAAAAGAAATTCTTTGACACAGATTTGTGCTATGGTTATGGTACAGTTTACTTCTTCATATTTTGACGTTTAGTATCAAACGCCTTTTTAAAGATAAGTTGACCATATAATAGAACTTTTTGACATTATTTTTACCTAAGATGATTTCAAACGGCGAATCCAAGGAATGTTTGGGTTCACAACCATCACGCATGCGCAGTGCTATGCCGGAAATAGGAAAGGAGAGGGTATACCTAAAATATAGATTTGCTATATCTGAACAGAAGTTTGTATTACAGCTTGATAATTTTTTACAAAAAGTTGGATATCATTAGATTAAAATAAAAAGTTAAGATTTTAATATGAACTAGCAGCTATTATAAGTAAATGGAATTTAAATTTCATATAATTGTTGATATTTTGCCACTATCATGACTTAATGTACTGTATTGAACTGTAATTATTTTTTGTATAGCACTTTTATATTTTTCATTTCATTTATTATACATTCGTTGTTCCAGTTATTGAATATTTCAAAACATGCGTAAGGATCATACTGTCCATACAAAGACAAATAAATCCGTTACTTTGTCAACCTAACAGACAAACTCTGAATCGTGTAACGCTTTATGAGGGTCGTAAAGGGGGTACCTTCATGACTAATAACGGTAAAAATTCTTGCCAAATGACGTTAACGGTAATTTTTGGTGTATTACGATAAAATGTAGATTTTCTTTTAGACGATAAAAAAATTGACTGATTTTGACGAATCACGTTAATTTTTATTTAAATAACGGTAACGATAATTATTTGAGACCTCTTACGAACCACGATAAGGATATTTTGACGAATCACGGTAAAATTTTAACCAATTTGACGCTAACGGTAGCCGAAAATGACCGTTTGACGCCTGACGGTAAAGGACATTCCTACCCTCCTTTATATAATATTAACTGGCTATAGCGAAGATTTAAAGTTTAACAAGACTTATCAAAAGTCCAGTTTATCAACAATAATATCTATGCATAATCTCCATCATAGTAATCTGAGACTACTATGACACATTGTTATGGTAGTCTCAGTAGTTATAAATTTTAAACACTGTCCATGATAAAAAAAAAATACTGATAAAATTTTCGAAATGCTGATTGATATAGTGTTCTTTTTTAATTAAATTATTTGATAAATATTCAGTCTTACCTGAAGCAGATAAAAAAAAATCCATTTTAAAACAATTTATGCTTGGTGTTCTTATACGAATAGGAATACGAAAGTTTTATTTTGATTCGGTTCACATATAACAATACAAACATAAGCTCTTAAGAGCTTTTTATCGAATATAGAGTAACACAAACACAACATTTCTTAAATCAATATCTCAGTTCTATGTCATTCCATCTATTGATATCACCATTAAAGATGAACTATATACCTTTTATTAAACATGCCAACACTTTAAAGTTAACTTATCATTAAGGTTTGATTATTAACAATGAGTGAGGTGTGTTATGTTCTTGAAGGTGTGAATATGTTTTCAACTGGTCAGACAATACTTGATCATATTGTATGAACATTATAAACTCCCGGCTACGCCTCGGGGTTTGAATGTTCTTAAAATATGACAGGGCATTGTTAAGCCTATGTTTAATTTACCAATTAGCTATAGTCTATCGCTAATTAAATTGTCATATTGTTTCCAATACAACTGATTTACCTTGAGCCAAACCATGTAAATTGACATGTAAATTTTTCATGTACTTTTAAACAATGAATTTGTAATAACCGACCGTTAATTGCTACACAGTTCCAATGATATGGAGGTGGGAAAATGAAGATACAATGTTCCAATTGAAAACGTTTTTCGTTCTTCAAATTTATAATAAGTAATAAAATTGAGAATGGAAATGGGGAATGTGTCAAAGAGACAACAACCCGACCACAGAACAGACAACAGCAGAAGGTCACCAACAGGTCTTCAATGCAGCGAGAAATTCCCGCACCCGGAGGCGTCCTTCAGCTGGCCCCTCAACAAATATATATACTAGTTCAGTGATAATGAACGCCATACTAAACTCCAAATTGTGACAGGCGCAAAAATGCGGCGGGGTTAAACATGTTTATGAGATCTCAACCCTCCCCCTATACCTCTAGCCAATGTAGAAAAGTAAACGCATAACAATACGCATTATGTAAATTAATTTTATAATTTATAATCTAATTTTATACATAATATTATACATCAGAGAAACACATTATGAAATTATTCTAGATTCCCGCCGTCCTTAAAAGACATATGATCCACTTAAACATCATGCCCATTATATTAAAAAAAAATTATTTAAAAGTATAAACAATTACTTTTACATGTTTTAAGATCAACCTTTGATCAATAAAAAGAAGACAGAAAACATAGAATTTATCAAAAATAAAAAAAAAGATGTGATAGATGGTCAATGAGACAACTGTCCACAAGAGACCAAATGAAATCGAAGTTAACAACTATAGGTCAACATACGGCCTTCAACAATGAGCAACAGTTTTGCATATGCTCTTGGTCATGCAAAGTCCACTTTCACAACACATCATTAGACAATCAGTCTCAGTGATCCAGTATTAAAGTTTATAACTGGAGTTATTGATTGAAATGAGGAAGTTGCACAATGAGCATGATCAAAATTCTATTAGCTGAGTCTAGAAGTGATAATTTTATTACCAAAAGGAATTAAATTAACAACCTAATAGTAATACACATATCTTTATTTCTTACCTATAAATATGAAACAATTAGGGTATATTCGATTAAATCACTATCCATTACAGTGCCTTTATATCTATGTAAAGAGTGCCCTAAAAGTGTAGTCCTCCGCGCAAAGGGTGCCCTTAAAATGTAGCCAATCGCGCTAAGAGTGCCCTCTGAGAAAAAAAAAACCCTGCCTTTTTCAAAAGCTGCAGGAACCACTAGTCAAACCCATACCGCATAGTCAGCTATAAAAGACCCCGAAATTACAAATGTAGAGCAATTCAAACGAGAAAATAACGGCCTGATTTATGTACAAAACAATGTACGATAAACAAATAAGATATACAGCAAAAACGACAACCACTGAATTACAGGCTGTTGACTTGGGACAGGCACATGCAGAATGTGGCGAGGTTAATCAAGTTTGCGGACGCCCAACCATCTACCTAACCTGGTTCAGTTGTGGAACACAACAAAATATAAACAAACTATAAAAATCAGTTGAAAAGAGCTTCGTTAACTCATCAGATCGATAACAAAAAATAATTAAAAAATTAAAAATTAAAATTAAAAAACAAGTAACAAAACACAGACCGGGAGTTGCAGGGTATTTATACATCCCCACAACATAAAAGAGCAGTTGCTGACAGCTAGTTCAAAACCACTAACCACTAATTATGAAAACCTTATATGCACAAGAATAGACAATTAAACATTAAAACACTTTTTAGTAGTTATAATTTTGTCGTTCTCCTCTTAAACATAAAATTCCATGGTCTTTCTAATAAAAACTGAATGTCATCACAGATCATAATATGATTAAATTTCTCTTCCACACTCAAGGTAATAGAATGAGTGAATTAAAAAGTTCATATCTCAAGTCCAAATAAAAATTACAGTTCCTTAAAAAAGTTGTTCAGTATCATTTGTATTCACATCACAAAACTAACAAATTCTTTCACTTAAATGTGTAACGTCCTGTTTCAATACAATGGCGAGTGATAAAGAGCCACAACGAAAATTTGACAGAGTTCTGCGATAGTCTCTTAATCTTACGGATTTCACATATCTTTACATTTGAGAATTAAAAGGTTATTTCCAAATTTTCTCGCAGATTATTGTTTTGCTACTATTATGACAAAATCCAAATGATTTGTCATGCGACCTGATTATAATTTACATCATAAATATTATACCCCATCCTTTAAATTATAAATTTCCTTCAAATTTTTAATTTTTTTTTTTACGTTTTCAAATTTTTACCTCTTTTCTCCGGGAAAAACCACAAATCAGCTTAAGTCTTAAGTACCAACGAACCATACTAGAGCATATCATGGCTCGAAAACCTCAAACTGTTCTGAATTATTGATAACTTCGAGTTGTTTAAACTAGTGGGCTTTCTTCCAAAGTAAAACTGTATTACTTACAACATAAAAAAAGAGACACTGTCAAACTCAGCAAATGAAAAGAATAAGAAATGCCACAAGTTTGACCATCCACACATCCAAGACGTTCTTAAAATTGTAAGCACGATAGTAACCAGTTGCGAAAGTGAGCGTTCAAATAGTGAGCTCATGTTCATGAAAATGTTTTCACGTGCAACACTAGATGAAAAATGCATAACTGGATTAGTACTGCATGATGCACGTCCATTATGATTTACACCCAGACCTTGATATGATCGTTTTCTCTTTTGCTCGCAGACATCAAAGACAAAATTTATGATGATGATGACTATAATGATGGATGATTGTTAAACGTTCAGTGACAAATTGAATGTTCAGTATAAACCCTGCATTGTAATTAACCGACATGTTGAGTCGGATTTAAACCTAGTTCATAAGGAAACAGTCCACAAGAAGATATGTCACACTACCAGGACACATTATTCGGACACGGAGCCAACCAGTCTTTAATTGATCTTACTCTTACATGCAGCGTGATTAGCGGAGAAGCAGTAAATACCAATTTTAAAGTCTTTGTTTTGACCCGCCGGGGCTCGAACCCACAATTACCTCCCGCACTCGATGCGAGCACGCTACCACAAAACCACCGAGGCAGTCAAAATTTTGAATTTGAATAAGATTTGAATGTGTTACCATTTGTATTGTAACTACCTTAATGACCTTAGTATCAATAAAAAAGATATGTGAAATATTTTGAAAGTTCGTTTTGTTGACACCCCTTGAAAAATCTCTGGATGTCAGGAACAACTTAATTGTAAGCTACCATGGAACATCAGTCGGTTCCCGTGTAATTATTGGCATCTATTATTACACAAGAAACTCAACGATGTTAATTCAAACTGCATCCAGTAGTTGTTCCTCTACAAATATTTCAGTTTTATTAACTGATGTTCTTTGAACAATTGAGGACATCTTCAATTTTGTAACGAACCATATGTTACTGGTAATAGCGCTATCATGGCTTTTTACTATTTCTAGTCTTCAAAAATTTTGCAAATGCTGTGTTCATTTGAGGGTCGGTTTGTCTCCATAGACATTAATGGTTTCTCTACTATCTAAAATAATTGCACACGAATTGAAATGAATAATTCCATTGGTTTAATTACTAGACAATTGTTAGGTTCGTTTTAAAATGAAGTGCACCGTCAAGCGATTGGTATTTCGATTGGACAGTAACTGATGCTTTATAAAATTAGCTTAATTTATTCATAGATTGTCTAGACTGGGAGAGCAATAGAGCTTGGCAGATAACAATGACACTTGTCTAGACCGGAGACACTATAAAGATTGACAGATTCCAATGACACTTGTCTATACTGGGGATCCAATAGAGCTTGGCAGATTCCAATGAAACTTGTCTAGACTGGGGATCGAATAGATCTTGGCAGTTTCCAATGACACTTGTCTAGACTGGGGATCCAATAGAGCTTGGCAGATTCCAATGACACTTGTCTAAACTGGGGATCCAATGGAGCTTGGCAGATTCCAATGACACTTGTCTAGACTGGGGATCCAATGGAGCTTGGCAGATTCCAATGACACTTGTCTAGACTGGGGATCCAATGGAGCTTGGCAGATTCCAATGACACTTGTATTGACTGGGGATCCAATGGAGCTTGGCAGATTCCAATGACACTTATCTAGACCGGAGACACTATAGAGATTGACAGATTCCAATGACACTTGTCTAGACTGGGGATCCAATAGAGCTTGGCAGATTCCAATGACACTTGTCAGACCTGGTACGCAATAAAGCTTGGCAGATTCCAATGGCACTTGTCTAGAACGGAGACACTAAAAAATAGACAGATTCCAATCACACTTGTCTAGACTGGGGATCTTATAGAACTTGGCAGATTCCAATGAAACTTGTCTAGACCGGAGACACTATAGCGATTGACATATTCCAATGACACTTGTCTAGACTTGGGATCCAATAGAGCTTGGCAGATTCCATTGACACTTGTCTAGACTGGGGATCCAATAGAGCTGGCAGATTCCAATGACACTTGTCTAGACTGGGGATCCAATGGAGCTTGGCAGATTCCAATGACACTTGTATAGACCGGAGACACTATAGCGATTGACATATTCCAATGACACTTGTCTAGACTGGGAATCCAATAGAGCTTGGCAGATTCCATTGACACTTGTCTGGACTGGGGATCCAATAGAGCTTGGCAGATTCCAATGGTTCTTGTCTAGACCGGAGACGCAATAGAATGTAAACGATTCCAATGGCATTCGTATACAGTGGGGACGCAATAGAGCTTGGCAGATTCCAATGACAATCGTAGAGACCGGGGACGCAATAGAGCTATCTAGATTCAAATGACGCTTGCCTAGACCGTGGACGCAATAGAGCTATAAAGATTCAAATGACACTTGTCTATATCAGGGACGCAATAGAACTTGACAGCTTCCAATGAAACTTGTCTAAACCGGGGATGAAATAAAGCATGCTAGATTCCAATGACACTTGTCTAGACCGGGGACGTAATAGTTTGACAGATGCAGTTGACACTTGTTGTTGATTCTGTTCAATGTTTACCTCTTTATTGTTGTTTCCGTTCAATGTTCACCTTTTTATTGTTTTTTCCGTTGATTTTCCCTTTTTATTGTTGATACCGTTCAATGTTCACCTTTTTATTGTTTATTCCGTTAATTTTACCTTTTTATTGTTGATACCGTTCAATGTTCACCTTTTTATTGTTTTTTCCGTTGATTTTCCCTTTTTATTGTTGATACCGTTCAATGTTCACCTTTTTATTGTTTATTCCGTTAATTTTACCTTTTTATTGTTGATACCGTTCAATGTTCACCTTTTTATTGTTTATTCCGTTAATTTTACCTTTTTATTGTCGATACCGTTCAATGTTCACCTTTTTATAGTTTATTCCGTTAATTTTCCCTTTTTATTGTCGATACCGTTCAATCTTCAATTTTTTATTGTTTATTCTGTTTATGTTCCCTTTTTATTGTTGATACCGTTCAATGTTCACCTTTTTATTGTTTATTCCGTTAATTTTACCTTTTTATTGTTGATACCGTTCAATGTTCACCTTTTTATTGTTTATTCCGTTAATTTTACCTTTTTATTGTCGATACCGTTCAATGTTCACCTTTTTATTGTTTTTTCCGTTGATTTTCCCTTTTTATTGTTGATACCGTTCAATGTTCACCTTTTTATAGTTTATTCCGTTAATTTTACCTTTTTATTGTCGATACCGTTCAATGTTCACCTTTTTATAGTTTATTCCGTTAATTTTACCTTTTTAATGTCGATACCGTTCAATGTTCACCTTTTTATAGTTTATTCCGATGATTTTCCCTTTTTATTGTTGATACCGTTCAATGTTCACCTTTTTATAGTTTATTCCGTTAATTTTCCCTTTTTATTGTCGATACCGTTCAATGTTCACCTTTTTATAGTTTATTCCGTTAATTTTACCTTTTTATTGTCGATACCGTTCAATGTTCACCTTTTTATAGTTTATTCCGATGATTTTCCCTTTTTATTGTTGATACCGTTCAATGTTCACCTTTTTATAGTTTATTCCGTTAATTTTCCCTTTTTATTGTCGATACCGTTCAATGTTCTTCTTTTTATAGTTTATTCCGTTAATTTTACCTTTTTATTGTTGATACCGTTCAATGTTCACCTTTTTATAGTTTATTCCGTTAATTTTCCCTTTTTATTGTCGATACCGTTCAATGTTCACCTTTTTATTGTTTTTTCCGTTGATTTTCCCTTTTTATTGTCGATACCGTTCAATGTTCACCTTTTTATTGTTTATTCCGTTAATTTTCCCTTTTTATTGTTGATACCGTTCAATGTTCACCTTTTTATTGTTTTTTCCGTTGATTTTCCCTTTTTATTGTTGATACCGTTCAATGTTCACCTTTTTATTGTTTATTCCGTTAATTTTCCCTTTTTATTGTTGATACCGTTCAATGTTCACCTTTTTATAGTTTATTCCGTTAATTTTCCCTTTTTATTGTCGATACCGTTCAATGTTCACCTTTTTATTGTTTTTTCCGTTGATTTTCCCTTTTTATTGTCGATACCGTTCAATGTTCACCTTTTTATTGTTTATTCCGTAAATTTTCCCTTTTTATTGTTGATACCGTTCAATGTTCACCTTTTTATAGTTTATTCCGTTAATTTTACCTTTTTATTGTCGATACCGTTCAATGTTCACCTTTTTATAGTTTATTCCGTTAATTTTACCTTTTTATTGTCGATACCGTTCAATGTTCACCTTTTTATAGTTTATTCCGATGATTTTCCCTTTTTATTGTCGATACCGTTCAATGTTCACCTTTTTATAGTTTATTCCGTTAATTTTCCCTTTTTATTGTCGATACCGTTCAATGTTCACCTTTTTATAGTTTATTCCGTTAATTTTACCTTTTTATTGTCGATACCGTTATATGTTCACCTTTTTATAGTTTATTCCGTTAATTTTACCTTTTTATTGTTGATACCGTTCAATGTTCACCTTTTTATAGTTTATTCCGTTAATTTTACCTTTTTATTGTTGATACCGTTCAATGTTCACCTTTTTATAGTTTATTCCGTTAATTTTCCCTTTTTATTGTTGATACCGTTCAATGTTCACCTTTTTATAGTTTATTCCGTTAATTTTCCCTTTTTATTGTCGATACCGTTCAATGTTCACCTTTTTATAGTTTATTCCGTTAATTTTCCCTTTTTATTGTCGATACCGTTCAATGTTCACCTTTTTATAGTTTATTCCGTTAATTTTCCCTTTTTATTGTCGATACCGTTCAATGTTCACCTTTTTATAGTTTATTCCGTTAATTTTACCTTTTTATTGTTGATACCGTTCAATGTTCACCTTTTTATTGTTTATTTCGTTGATTTTCCCTTTTTATTGTCGATACCGTTCAATGTTCACCTTTTTATAGTTTATTCCGTTAATTTTACCTTTTTATTGTTGATACCGTTCAATGTTCACCTTTTTATAGTTTATTCCGTTAATTTTACCTTTTTATTGTCGATACCGTTCAATGTTCACCTTTTTATAGTTTATTCCGTTAATTTTACCTTTTTATTGTTGATACCGTTCAATGTTCACCTTTTTATTGTTTATTCCGTTGATTTTCCCTTTTTATTGTCGATACCGTTCAATGTTCACCTTTTTATAGTTTATTCCGTTAATTTTACCTTTTTATTGTTGATACCGTTCAATGTTCACCTTTTTATTGTTTATTCCGTTGATTTTGCCTTTTTATTGTCGATACCGTTCAATGTTCACCTTTTTATTGTTTATTCCGTTCATGTTGCGACCGTTCAATGTTCTTTACTTTTTATTATTTATTCCGTTCAATGGTTTCGTTTTTGATTGTTGTTCTGTTTATTTTCACCTTTTTTAATTGTTGAATCCGTTCCATGTTCAACTTCTTTTGGATTACTGTGTTCGTTATCCACTGTTTTATGTGTTTAACACTATTCCATGAGACTTATTCTCATATAAAAACTCATTGCTATTGTTTGCCCTTTCCACCTGTTGAATACCATTTCGATGATTTCTAAATTCACCAACAATATTCGCGTGCAGATAAACTAATTCAAACGTATTGTCATCTTTACTCTTATTCAGTGAACACAGCTGATGAGTCAAGCTTTTTTCCTCTACTTTTTACAGGTTTTTTCTAATGTTGTGCTCAAATACCATGTATACCACTGTTCAAATTTAAAGTAGGGTGAAGCGCTCTAAAAGTGGTTGATGTTGGTTAGCATCTGCCATAATTGTTTTTGTTGATTTGTTTAAAGCTTAAATCATTTCAGTTCTCTCTTTTGCATTGTTGCACATTTTATAATACTTGTACGCTGGGGCATTTATATTTTGCTTAAAATACGACATTGGTTTTGTCATTATTGAAGGCCATGCGGTGACCTGTAGTTGTTTACATCCTTCTCCTTTGTTCTTTTGTGGACAATTACAGTTGTCTCATTACGAATCATACTACATCTCCATATTTTGCAATGCTCTGGAACTGTCTAATTGATTTGGCCTTCTAACTCTGTTGATTCGGACACAACGGATGAGTCTTGTGTAGAAAAAACACGTGTCTCTTGCACTGAATTATAAACCAGTTATAATTGATGTGTTTTTACAACCACTGGGTCGATGCCCTGCTCGTGGAAGTTTCGTCCCCAAGGGTATCACCAGTCAAGTAGTCTGCACTCTTGTGCTGACATGAAATATCATTTATACGATCATTGTTGGTAAATTTACTGTTATATAAAACCACTCGAAACGCTAAGGTTTTCCTACAACATGCATAGATGGCCTAAGCTACATTTGGTAGATTTTGTTTTTGAATTTTTGGTTTTCAATGCTTTTCAACTTCTAGATCCATTTAACTTTCCTTGCCTTTTGATTCGAACACCACTGATGAATCTTGTGTCGATAAAACGCGCGTCTGGCACACCAAGTTAAAAAGCCTGGTATCTTTAATGAGTTTTTTTTTGTATATCTCCGGGCTTAAAAAATAACATACACTCTTAAATATATTGATTTATAAAACAAATAATGTAATGAATTGAAGAAAACATTTCCCAAATTAAACAAGCTAATCATGCTACAATTATGTGAATTTTATTTTAATTTAAGTACAATTACGTTTCACTTTGTCAAAAAACTTTGCAAATTCTGTTTCATTAGACATTGTGTCCGATGTGTATCGAATTATACCCAGATACACTTCATTCTCTTGTATATATAATCTCAATTCCTACAGTCTTTTTCAAATCTATAAGTTTACACTTCAAATTTTGTCCTATTGACGTCATTCCATTAACGTCTTCATACAAACGAAGGCAACGTAAGCATAGCTCAGAAATAAGATTAACCGTAACACGATTACTGTCACATACAAAGAGTATAAGTTCCCCTATTATATCTATTGCCATATATTCTTTGTCACGTTCTAAATGCTTAAACGCACTTACAATAGTGATAGTTGCACGATTATACAACAATTTAATATGCTTAACTTTAACGTCACCTGTGACATCTAGCAGTAGAGACATTACTTTCTCTGTATTTCCCATCGCAAGAGATAGTAAAGCAAAATCTATTTTCCACGAAGGCAGGTAGCTGATTTGATCTATTTCAAGACTACTAAATTTTTCTAATGATTTTTTGAAATATATATTTCGACAATCTTTACTGTTCTCCTGCAATCCTCTGGAATGATACAGGTTTCCAAGCTGCCACATCTGATTAAAAGTATTTCTCTTGTCTTTAGAAATACGTGCCATCAGTCTAACAAAATTAATGTTTCCATCGATTTCTGTTTTAACATCACAATGTAAAAGGGGTTGAAGTAATTGGAGAAACGACGAAATGTTTTTCGATGCAAATAAACTACGTTCGATCTGTAGCAATATCCACGTTTTATCATAATCATAATATATTAAAATCTGAATCAACTTCCGTATAGACATTGGTACCAACATAGTATCAAACTTTCCATCCCCTATTTTACCAAATTCATAACATTTCTGCCTTTGATATTTTATGAGAACGATCACGAAAAGTTGTAACCAGTAAAATGTGTTTTGTTTTTTGTCTGTTGCATCTTTGGGTGGTTGTTCTATATTGTACCCAGGGAACTGCTGAAAAATATTCGATATGAAACCAGATGCTTTCTTGTGATGCATTTGTGCACTAAAATCTATACATCTAAAACACTTATCGATGGAACTTCTCGTTGTTTTTGTAACCTCAAAGTGACCGCTTAGCACTGTGCAGCTCACATTGAGCAGCGATAAGCATAAATCCGAAACTGTGCTACTTGGATATCGACTATCTGCATAGTCCAGAACGATTTTAAATAATTCAAACAAATGCGACAAGTCGAATTCTTCTTCAACACTAGGAAATCTTTCTGGAAAACCTTGCGTTTTGGGAGACAGCTGACATTTTTGACAATTAAGAATCTGTACAGATAAATCAAAGAAATACTTATCCTTATCATTTCCTAAGTGAAATTCGTCTACATCGCCTAACAAATGGTATGTTAAACTACACAGACACATATTTGCACTAAAATAAAACAGGTTGTCTTGATTCACTTTATCTATTGTAATATTTGTAAGTTCTGTTTGCTTCAACTGCAATTGCAAGGAACTGGAAGCTGGCAATATTTTTGTAGACAACAGAAGCTTATACAAATTTTCAATTAAGGATTTTGAAACAGACTCTATACCTACACATGCTGCTTTGATAGTACTTTCACTTAAACAAGTTATCATATTATTTTCAACGACAAAATAATTTGGCAGTGACATTTTACTATATGCTTTTAAGAGATTATCCAAAAGAAGTTCAATGTTCTTGACATGTGACGACTTATCCCAGTCATCCATTGGTCTTTCCTCACAAAGCCAAAATAATATGGTCTGTAAGTGGTATGACTTAATAATGTCTTTTGTTTGCCCATTTGTCTTCAGCAGGGCCTTCGTCAGTCTATAGGCTAGTTTTTGCTTTACGGTCATTTCTTGTATTATTCTTTTTTCCGCCAGTACACTTGACAACCTCCATTCGAAGTCATAAAGCGCACTTCCATGGTAACCGACAGGTACAAATTGGCAGCCATTTGTATAAATGTCAGATATAACTCCTTTCCTTGGAAAGTCATGCTCTCGTTGTCTTTCAAAGAACATTTTTGAAAAGTCTGGCCAAAATGGACAATGAATGCATGCTACACAATCAACTGATTGTAAAACCCCCCCTGAACCCTTATGTGAACTAAAACTAATTGACGGACCATGTCTCTGTGGTATTGACAGAAAAAGAAAACCAGAATACTTATTATAACTCTTAACATGGTTTCTGATTTCTTCTGTTGCTGTATTACAGGACAAAGCATATTTACTGATTATTTCTGGATCAGACTTAACTTCATCATTTGCATAGTCCGAGGGAATCAGATAGCAATATCCTGGGTATTTAGATGGACAGACCCAGTAACAATTTTCTCCTTCCATACGACTTCCAGTTGGTATATCAGCAGTAATTTTGATAGTTTCATTGAAAAGCAACAAGTCAATATCCGTGCTCACATTCCAAATGCCACTAGTCCTGGATGTACGAAAATAATATGGCAGATACATCCCATCTTCAATACTTCCGGCATATACTAAACTTAACGTTGTACTTTGGTTGCACATATCTTCTATTTGTTTAACGGCTGTTCTATACGAGTCCCGCACAGACTTAAACATAATATCAGTAAATGTAATTCCATGAATGAGGAGATCGACGATAGATATCATTGTTAGTAGCTTAAGAAAATTTTATACACAAATTCTATATGTATACTTCATTGTTCGAAATGTGCCTATTAATATGCTTTGTACGACTTTGCCCCCAGCAGAGCTATAGAAAAACAGTACATTAACGGATGTTACACGGACACTTTTTAGATGATACACGGACACTTTTTAGTTGTTACACGGACACTTTTTATGAATAGAATCACTCGTGCATGATCAGTGAGTTCATGGGCACTTTAAATTTCAATTCGATTTGAACTTTTGTTTCACCGACATATTTCCTGTCTTTTTAATTAAAACATTTACGTTAGCATCAATAACTATATTTTTTTTTTCAAACAATTCCAGTAACTATTCATATTAGTACACTAAGGGATTGACCATTTAACTTCAAAAGGTGGGTTATGGTTTTTTCCTAAAAAAACATTTTGATCCCCAAATTTATGAGAAAAAATATATAATATATTATATAGTTGAAAAACTAAATAATTTTCTTACTCAGAAAAGAACACACCACCTTTTGAAGCTAATGGTCGGTCCGTCAATGTGTTTTTTTTCAATAAATGGACATGAATAGTATTCTGGACAATAGAAATACTGGTACCAACGTTTATATTTCAATAAAAAAGACAGGAAATATATATAAAAGAAATCAAATCTAATCAAAAGATAAAATCCCTATCAACTCACCAATGCACGATTGATCCTATAAATAAAAAGTGTCCGTGTAATACATGTTCAAATAGGCAGCAAATCGTGAAGAAAATCATTCAACTTATGTCATCAATTTTGGACGGTAAGCTCTGATTGGATCATATAATGACACGTGTTTAATCCTGATCAACACTATCAGAGACATATAAAAACCT